AAGCTAAAGCTAAACAGAAAAAAAAATGTACAAAGAAAAACACATTTTGGTATATGGGGTCAAGGGTGCCTTACCTTCAGGACATTGAGTAATAAAGATTTCTTTCTTGCTGTCCATTCTTTCTTTTATGCAATCACTCTGTGATCCAAGACAGTAATAACACTTGAGGGAATATGCTGTAGTATAGATTAATAAGTTTTAATATATTTGAAAAAAAAAATATAAGTGTGGTAAATAAAAGACCGACAACTGTAAAGACAGTAGATAGGATCAAGTTTACTGTTTATGGCAAAAGACAAACGTCAGATTCAGGTTGATAGTCAGGTCTAGCTCTCACAGATTAATCAGATAAAAAATTATCCAGTGCCGGGATGTTCAAAAGAGGCATAAAACTACAGTGGAAGTTCTCTTAACGGACACTCCGCTCGTAAGCGCACAGCTGTAGCTACTTAAGGCGGCCACCTTCACAAAACCACGTCTAAACTCCCAACTAACTCCCGTTCAGACTCTGCATTTTTAGATTCCCGTAAGCAGGCAATGTTACCGATTTAGCAGTATGACTGTCAACAAAAGAACAAAATACACGTTTTTTTTTTCCCTTTTTTTGCCAAATGAGACATCACAAAAAGCAGGATTTTATTAAATAATTACCAGGTTTCTTGCTTTGAACCTAAGGATGGAAACACTTCTACAAAAAACCTTTAGTTATTTCTTTCCCGTTAGAAGTGGCAAGAACTTGGAGGTTATCCTATTTTATTCCCACAAATAGAAATAAATGGTAAAAATTATAAGTTTTTCAAACAATTTACTAGACTCTTAAAAATGTTTTAAAACTCTGGTGAAAAAATGCTTGCGACTTGTAAAACAACCATGGGAATTTCCAAAGTCATCGTTTTTGGATGGCCTTCAAACTAGCCATGGAAATTTCCACCGTCAAAACGATCCTAAGGAATATTTTTTACGGCATTTTTCTCGTTACGCAAAATGACCATGGAAATTTCCAACGTCATTTGTCAAAATGTAAACACCATGGAAATTTACAACGTCATTTTAGGAAAATCATCGTCATTTGAGTGAAACGGCAACCAACAGCGCGAATATACATTCATTAGCTCGAAATACGAACATTTGCGCATAAACCAGATTCAATTACGATTTTTGCATTTTAATGAACATCCAATAACACTTTTGGGCATTCATATGTGTCATTGTGCATACAAAAGAGAAAAATATACTTTCATTAGCCGTGTATTTCCCACTTCGTTGGCGATTTAGGACCTTCAAAATGGGAACTTTGGCGATGTGAATGATGGAAAATGTGCGTTATTTATCAGGACATCTGTTTCTGGCGGAATTGTCTCCATGTCGCAAATGTCACGGAATTTATTGCCGCCGAGAGCGGAGCCGGTCAAGAGAGGTTTGCCAACCTTCTCTTCTCTTCTCTCTACTGTCATCTGGGTGAAAAACTGTCGCTCCAAAAAAGGCCTTAAACAGTGCCTAGGAGGTCTGAAATGCAGTCAGAATACAAAGAAAAACAAGAAGACGCTAAAGGTAAGCTTCAAAGCGATATTCAATGTACATTTTGCTAATTTAGTGAGCAAAGAATATTTCTCCATACAACGTCTTATAATTTTCTTGCTGTATGAATAATTAATTAGCAAAGTAGGATAATGTTGTTCAGGGCTCTCATAGTCAGCTTGGGCTACCTGTGGCGTAATGAGCAGCGAATATTTTACGAGAACTTCTCTGTATTTGGTCAGATTGAAAATCTTTGAATGGATTAAGTTTCTTAGAAGACATTTACATCAAATTCAGGAAAACGGAGCTGGTAGAAATTTCATAACTGCCTCGCGTGTGAATTCACGGCTCATTACACATGCAAGAGTGCAGAGATCAATCTGAAATCTACAACTACCAACGGATTCCACTTTTGAATAATAAATTCATTAATGGTTCTTGGGGTGTACGCTTGACTTGGTTTGACTGTAATCCCTAGAGTAAACAATCCTCAACAAAATCGGCCGTAATGCGACCCGCGCCGAATATAGCAAATTTGCAATAAGCATGTGCTGCTTTTCTGCAATCCCGCGTGTTTTTAAGCGAAAATGAAAAATGAAAGCCAATAGAAAGAAAAACAAAATAATGGGCTCTTTCTTATTACTATAGTCTTAGGAGGACTGGGAGTCTACCGTCGTCTTCACAAAAATACCTGAAACTGAAACTCCATTTAGGGCATGTTTACATGGAGTGGGGGACCCCGGTCTAGTGGGGTAAGTTTCTTTTGTTTTGTGCCCTCCAGAGCGTGAAAACAAAAGAAACCAACCCCACTAGACCAGGGTCCCCCACTCCATGTAAACAGGCCCTTACACGTGCTAAAAAATCAGCACGGCGCGCCAAATTTTTGGCACCGTGCCTCGTTTACCCGTGGGGAGGTAGTCTCGGCACCTCTAAAATTTTGAGCACTGGTGCCACGTTACATTTGGGACCGATATGTTTACACGTCGAAAATTGGGAGTGCCGTGCCTTAAAATCGTCAGCGTGGTGCCAAAAATTTGGCGTGCCGTGCCGATTTTTTAGCGCGTGGAAATAGGGTTTCACGTGCCAGTGTATTCGCGGCGCACTTGTGGTGGATGACCGAAGTGCAAACATCTGCAGCACACTGAGATGAACTGTTACGAAAGATACTATTGTCCCGTAAAGACAAAATTACTATTCACGCGAAAATGGGGAACGTAATATTCCCCATACTCCGAATATTCCAGAGTGTATTCTTAATTCCAGCTCATTAGGATGCACCCTCAGATGCGAAAGGCTGAAAATATGAATACCGAATTCAATATAACAATGTCACAAGAGTCAAGTCACTGCATTCCTGGATTTTTTAATTTAGTAAATTCCAATGCGGTGAGCTTTCTTAGTCTTTTATTTGCGTCTAAATTTCAAACTCGAGGAGCTGGCTCTGAAAAAAGTTGATCTGGAACATTGTTTCATTGTTTCCATCTGAGCAGGAGCTGAGCAGTCACGTTTCAAAGGGCATCAAAAAATCACAAAAGACAATATTGTCGTTACTGAGTTTTTGTTATTTAGACTAAAACTTCAACTGAAACTAACCTGTTTGAAAGACTGCGAAGACACCAAGAGCGAAGAAAAGCACTGACTTCATGTTGATTTTGCTTATCACAACTGAACACGAAGCACCTACTGATTTACAGACCAAGAAGTGCCCACAAATCAAGCCTGATCGTACCCGACGTAAACAGCTCGAAAAAAACACTTATTGTTAACAGTTTGTTTAAAGCGACATCTGATTAGATCATATTTAACAGTACTGTCAATCCTATCCTGCGCGCACGGCTGTTCTCTCTTGTGTGAAGGTGATGTAACACGGAATGATTCGCAACGACGATTTTTAGAGCAACGCAGCGTCGCAATGCTGGAACAATGTTGCAAACATTCGGAACACTGTTGCAACAATGTGGCAACGCTGTGTTGCGCAAGAAGTCGTCGTTGCGAATCGTCTCGTGTACCCCATGTAAGGAAATCCATATTTCGGAATCCGGAATAATTTTGTTTGTGCAATTTGGAATTGTTGGATTTGGAACCGGGAATCCTGGGCTTTGAAATCCGGAATTCAGATCAAGGAATCCGAAATCGCGATAACGATTGACTCTTGAATTCAAGTTTTAATCACAAGGGATACGGAGATCCAAGTTTTAAAGATAAAGGAATCCGAAATCCAAAAGCTGGAATTTTGAATCCACAACGTTTGTTCACAGATAGCAGAGAGGGGAATGACGTGATTGCTGTTATCTTCTCGCGCTGTGGCGTGTACAAATCATTCTTTGCGACTATTCTCTTCTTTGGACTAAGATAGTTTTGCTGAATAACAAATTCTCCGTCTCAATTTTACGTTCTCGTTAAAGGTCTTCGTAAACTTTTTTTTCAGTATTAAGAGAAAAATCTTTGCAAACCATGAGGTAATAAAAACATAGTCGCGCAGAAAGTGGCGCGCCCAGCTTCGAGCGCGCGCTAGCTTTTGTCACCCTTCACAATGCACCCATGGGCAAATAGTAATGGGTAATTGACCAATCAGAGCGCGCGCTTTACGCTTGTTTTGTTTTGTTTTTTTTTTTTGATAAAGGCTCTTGTGAGCCAGCCCATGAATGAATTCCGTACGGCCAGAAAGTTATTTGGGGAAAATTTAGAAGTTCTGTTTCAAAAATAAACTAAAAGTAGGCCGCTCCCCTCAAACGCTAAATGTTTGGGCCCTTACCCAACTTAATGCTTAGAGAGCTAGTATAGACCCAATTTTCCCTTTCGTGAACAAGCGATACTGTTTCGGTAAAAGAAAAGGGTTGCCTCGCTATCTCTCTAAGCTCGGACGTGATCTTCAGCTCATACTTTGTATTCCAGAGTCAGGTAACTGGGCGAATTGTAATAATTTCGGATAATTTTGAGAAGGAAGAACTGAGTCAGTTTTTCTGTAATGTTGTCATTAATAGCGTCGCCTTTGTCCAATCGTAAGTCACTTGCACTGGATATCTTAAATGTGGGTCGGTTATTGGCTAGGGAGGAAGGCTATCTTCCTACCTATCTTCTTGAGAAGGAAAAGAAAAGGGGACCTGATAGCACTGGATAACTTAACCTCTCTATCTTACATCTATTCGACCTACATAGACCTGTTCACTAACGTTGACATCTCATCACCGTTAACACTGAATTGCTCGTTAAAAAAGGCACAGGAACTGACCCAGAGGAATTAATAATAAGAACCCGTAAGATGATTCCTTTATCGAGTAGCACCTCTTCCATTCGCAGTAAATGTTTACATGTTTATTCTTCCCCATCAAATAATCTTACTGAGAAACTAACCTAGGTTCAAGGAAAATTAGCCTTGCTTGTGTCAAAATTTGCTGACAAATATCAATACTATGCTGAGTGTGTACTAAAGTCATACTTGTATCCCTTCGGCTAGGTTTGTACATCTTTCACTTCGTTTGTTAACGTTTAATGGGGCTGCGAACATGACTAGTTCTTTGGAAAGGATGTAGACGGCGGCTCATTCCTCTGCGCCCGACTATGATGGTAGGTCCAACACCCTTTACTTTGTTAACAGGAAATATTTGTCGCTTACGACCTGGACGAGGAAGGCCTGATCTAGGGACTTGAGATCTTGTATTATTCGTGTCCGTATTGTTATCTTCTTCCCTAAGGTCTTCCTCTAAATCCATTGTTAGTGAATTCTCGATATCTTTATCAAATTCGTCTATTATCTCATCTCCAAGTTCTTGACTCTCGTCATCACGTTTGTCCTCAACCTCATCTTCAAGTTGCCTCCCAGCCTGGTCTTTAAGTTGCCTCCCACCTTCATCTTCAAGTTGCCTCCCAGACTCGTCTTCAAGTTGCCTCCGAGTCTCGTCTTCAAGTTCTTCTTCAGCTTCTTCTTCGATGGCTTCAAATTTGTTTTTAAAATCATAATCAACTACCCCTTCAAATTTAGTTTCAAGGGATTTCCGACCGCGATATTCATTACTTGTCGTCAGTTCTACGCTAGGTCCTTTTAGGCTGTCTTCACCTTCAGGTGAATCTTCGTCAGACCATCTGCTGCAAACAAAAAAAACATTAAATAAAAAGAGACCTGAGTCTTGCGATTTTCACAGTATGATAAGAAAGAAGATATGAACTTAAAATGAATATAAAATAAAATAACTTGATAGACATAAAACGGCCTCTCTAGTACCGTCTAGCAGTGCAATAGCTGACATTAATTTTTAACAAAGACCTGCGTTGTTTGAGAATGACCCACAGGTTCTTTGGAAGTATTGAGCATGATAACCTCTTTTAAAGTGAATAAAAAAAGATCAATTTGTTAACAATAACTAAGGAGAATATAGAATGAAAAATGAATAAATAAAGTGACGGAAATGACCGATATACATATAAGGTGCATTTTGTTTTTAATCCATTTTAATGTTTTTAATGGCTGCAATTTTCTAGAAAGAAAAAAAACATTGAGTAAAGTGGTTTAAAGTGACCATGTTGGAAGAGTAAAAATATAAATAAAAGTTTGCATTGGAATGAATATGACCTACTTTAAAAACCTTTCAAAATGGCCGGTGCATATTCCTACTGCTGGCCAATTTACCCGAGCCACAAGAGGTCTTGCGATACACGTATTTTTAGTTATATTTAGGCTTTGTCTACACTGTAAGGAATAGCTCTTGCGCCGGTACGAAAACCATATCCGATCATATCGCGTTTACAAATGAGAACGTTGATTTTTATCGCTGCGATTGCTTGAACGGAGGCGGCTGTGCCTCACCAATCTTGAAAGCGGACCCTCAGATATTCAACAAGTTTCTGTGCCACTCCAGGGGCGCAGTGTGAACAGGGGTGTTTGAACCATACCGAATTAGACTGCAAACCAGTATTTTTTTCTTTTCCTTTTTTTGTGTTTTGTTTTCACAAAATTGGTTTTTCAAGACGTGAAGTAATGTCAGCTGTAGGGTGGATTTAATTTCCACTGTCACGTAATTAACAATCCGCACGAACATATGCGTCCTCGGAGACCCAGGGGCAGTCAGTCGGTTTGGGAGAAAAGGCGGGACGAACGTTTTCAAGTACCGGTGAGCTCACCGCACTATTTCCAAAAATTCAAGCAGATGCCAGCTCCTGATTGGGTACAAAAAAATGCTTTGTATTATTGTGCCCAATCGGCGAACAGTCTCTTCAAAAATAATCACGTATCCATCCGCAAAACATTTGGTTTTTAGCGGATCACGTGACCGTATACCCCATAGCGAGCGATCCATCCGCAAACAGCGACCGTCTATCCGCACTACAGGCATACCAATGTAAAATAACTCAATCAACAGGTATGGCAACCCAAATGCGACTCAAGGTTTTATTTGGAAGGAAGTCACATGGCCGCCCGGACAACAACAAAGTCCTGTCGTTTTCGGCGTTATTTTTTGTGTTTACACTAGCGTGGATAACAGAGAAAGAGCTAGAGCGAGTTATTGAAAACAAAGGAGACGAATTTCGTAGGAAGAAAAATATGGAAATTCAAAGCGGCGGTGAGAAAAGGACAAATGCTAGCGGCCAGCAAGGTGAAAATGGGCGGCAGTGAAAAATAAAAGCGAACATGAACGCAGGAAACAAAATATTGGGTAAGCACATACGACAATTCCTCCATAAAAATAATGTGTAACTAGGAAGTCTGACTTTTGTAGTCGTGCAAAACGACGGAAAGGGAAAGACAAAAAAGCGTGCTGCGTGCTGCGTGTTGTTTTTTGCTAATTAGAGGAAAAGGGTGCTGCACGGGCAATTTGTTTTTTTTTTTTGCTAATTACTTCTATTGGTCTTGAAGCCATTTTCATTGTCGTCCCCGTTTAGCATTACACGATTCAATTTTTTTTTGTTTACACTTATTATTAACCAGAGCTTCGCCTTTAGCCCTGGCTAAATCCATATATTAAAAGATACCACGACGGCTGACAGCCACGAAAACGTCGCATGGAAAAGTGAATTCACATTTTTTCGGTCTCTGTCGTGATTATTCCAACTCGCTTACTTTGTCAAATTCAAGCGAACTCTTCTGGAGATGAATTTGTATCAACCACATCCAAGTTCATGAGGAAAAAGAATTTTGTCACTACTTGTTTACGTCCTTCACAAAACGTGAAATTAGGCATTTCCACGGATAGTCGTGCAGTTGACGGCAAAGAAATGTACAAAAAAGCGTGATGCACGTGCAAAGTTGTTGTTTTGCCTTGTCAAGCTATTGTTTATTTGACTTTCTCGTCGCCGCCACTTCTCAAACTTCCTGTTATTTACGACACATTGTGATCCGTCAAAAACAGAATATTCTCGGGGCAAATTGAATTGCTCCTGCTTATAACATCCCAGACGTTTTTTCGACTCATCGGTGGTTTCTTCGTTTCTGGTTAGGAAAGTAGAAAATAAAAGTTTCCCTTGCGCGCACAAGCTTGGTGCGCGAGCCGGGCAAGAGTGGCGAGGCAATATCCGTCGTGTACAAACTCACGAAAAGAACTCCGGAGAAACTGTTCGCCGATTGGGCACAATAACACTAAGCATTTTTCGTGCCCAATCAGGAACCGGCATCTGCTTGAATTTTTGCAAATAGTTTTGTGAGAGTCGGCCCTGCCCCTGGGTCTCTTCCCTGGAACATATGTTGACATCATCCAGCCATTTACGTCAAAATGACCAAGGAACGTCAGAGACTAGCTCCATAGGCGAATCTTTGCTGACGTCAATGTTTACACTTTCCTCATTACCTTGCGACTTAACTCAAAGCCGTGGCCGTATATATGAACTAAATGCAAAAGTTAAAAGAGCTGATTAAGTTGAGCAATTTGAGCAATTTTCAGCTCTTTACAAGCAATATTGAATGAAATATCAGCCATCAAAAACTTCGAAATTGCTGTGTGGCAAAAAAGTTAATGAGCCATGCATACATTCTCTGTGAAATTTCGAGTTTTTAGAAGAGAATTTCTCCGAAACCATTCGGTGTATTGCAGCGATAACTGAAAGTGTTATGCCCTTTCAATATTCAGAGTTTTTACTTTATTAGCCATAACAGATAGTGATACGCATGTGTTAATAATGTTGCAAAAAGTGTAAACAAAGATTCGCCTATACGCCTATAAAGGTATGCTGTAGAGAGATATCCACCTCACAGATTGGATGATGTAAGTCTTCAAGAGACGGTGGAAGGTAAATCTTACTCAAATTTCAGGCTTGTCACTGATCACAAGTGATCCAATTTATATTTTATAAATATTTTTTGAATGTCCTATTTCATAAGAGTGATTTTACTTGACCGGTGAAACAGAGAATAACAACTAGTGCAAAATACTTACAAGTAAACAAAAGAAGACAATGGAATTAGCACATAATAGCTAAAGTATTCTACTACCTATTTCGAGGGTTAAGTAAAATCGCTCTATTTTATATCGTAAATGGCTTATACCTGTTTTATCTTGGTATTTAGGGAAACATCATACAGTCAACCTCTAGTTTTCCTTTTCAAGACGTTTTATAATTTTTCTTTTCCTCATCTTTTTTGTCCAGCATGCTAGTTAGAAGTAACTTAAGAAATTTTAACGTAGATAAACGTAGATATTAAGTTCGTTTCAATTCTTACAATTGTTTTGGTAAAGGAGCGAAGTCATCTTGGATATTCTTGAGCTCCGAGCTCTTTAGCGTCGCTGCATCCTTCCTCGATAATGGGACTGAAACCACACTGGACAAAACGAGCCCAACCAGAGAAAAAACAAGAAGTAAACTCATGTCTAACTGGAATCTTTGTTCAACTAAACAGGAATCAATGTTTTTATCTTGCCAACTGGAGTGATATTGCTGCAAAGAATCAAAGCGGATAAAGTGAAAGTACGGATATTGCTGAGTCTTTTAAGAAAATTACTTCTGGCTATACAAAATAGTGTTTTGTGCCTAACGCAAACAAAAGACTCCTTTACAAATACTTTCCCGGTCATTACCCCCAAGTCTGTACAATATTATTGTCTCAAAAACTCGAGATTGTATCTTTGAACACCTTGAATACCAAGCAGAGTATCTAAATACTAACTATATCCTCTGGTAGATGGTTTATTAACCATATATTTTCACATTAAAATGCGACTGCTAATACAGATTATATCTCCACCACTGTGTTAAAAATTTATGAAGTATCTAAAAAGGCAGTTAAAAGTAGCGGATATTCACTTTTGCGAAATTTTTACGGGCACACGGCAGTAATAAATTATTTCTGGCTTTTAGTGCGTAAATTAAATTAAATAGAGATGATGTAAGGTATTCTTCACTCAAATCCACCCACTGTCGGGCACTTTTTACTTGCGTACTGACGTAAAATAATAATAGCCCGCTTTTACGTACGTAAATAGACAACATGGGTTTTTTTGAGAGGTCATGCGGTGGGAAAGGTAATTCTCGCTTAGAGCCACCCACTATCAATGTGTAAGCACGTAAATTTTATATGGCTTTCGTGTGTGTAAATAATTACAGGAGATTTTTAAAAAGTCGGGGTTACCTATGTTACCACTGGGACTCCAGAAAATAAAGGTTGCTCTCTTTTAAAATGGAATGTTACTCCCAGGGTTTCACTTTGTTTCGAAGAAGGGAAGAGGAGAAATACTGCGAACGAGGTTAAGGCGAGTTACGGCGACCCTATGTTCCTGTGGTCGGGAGCGTAAACGTAAAACAAGGTTCAACCTTTTCCATTTACGCCAGGCTTTTCATACATTGTCTCTGATCAGATTTATTTAGTTCGATTTTTATTTATACAAAGCAGTTGAATTTTCAGTCCTTACGCACGTAAATCATTCGCGACAATGGAAATCTACCCTGTACATATACCTAATCACCTGCGGGTAATGTCCGGAAAAGACGCTGGCTAAAAAGCAGAAAGCCAATACAATATAGTGACTATTACTTACAAAAAGCCGGTTTACAATGGGTAATATGGGGTCTGTTTGAATTTTTTTAAATATCGGAAATTCACTTACCTCATAAATTTGCCTTAGGAGTGAAGGCAAAACCTCCCAACAAATAACAGGCAATGATGAAGCATATCCCCAGGTTTGGTCTCTTAAATCGAAACGTTTCGATGATTATTATAGTCGTTCCAGTGAAACTGCACGATAATTTAGATCACTCAAAGAAGAGAAGTATAGCTTGCGCATGAATAAGCAAAACCGGCATATTGGCTGAATATTCCCCCTTATCTACGCCAAGTACGAAATTATGAGTTTTTCACCTCCACGAAACTAACTTGTTTCGAAACTGCTTTTATCGATTAACGACCGGCAACGCTCTAAATCAGTTACACTCCCCGACCCTTATTCGAGGTCATCCGCGTGGCGACCAAATCATACAGAAATATTTTACCTTTGAGTTTCATAAGTACAACTAAATGGACTCACCTATACCTAGGAAGAAGAAGAAGACGAACCAAGAAAAACATCAATTGAATTTGCAAATGCATTTAATCTCTAAAATAACCAACCGGCAAAGATACCTGCCTGGGGATTGAAAATCGATGTACAAAGTAAACTTCGATGTCTCGAGGCAATATTATAATGAAAAGACCACAATGTTGCACCACACTGCTTCATGCACAATTATCACATGTAAAGTGAGTACAAAAGCAATACATTTTTATAAATTTTATTGAAATAATGGCTATATACTGTAATATGAATGGCTAAATTCTTAATCTCTATAGCAAATCGGTGGCTCCCCCAATATGGATTCGTCGCTAAACTCTAACCTTTGAAGCTTTTCCTCTATTTTTTTAGAGTATCCATAACTATTAAAAACACAGTATTGTTTCCTAATTTGCATTTAAGAATTACGCCGGGAACATTTCATATAGTATACTGATTTTTTTAAAGCAGACTCTTTCTCAAAATAAACCTTCTTATAGGGGCATTCAGTGGCGGATCCAGGGGAAGGGCCCGAGCCCTTACTTTAAGACCAAACTGAGGCCCAAAGGGCCGAAAAAAAATTTTTTCAGACCACCTCCCCGCCCCTTATCTCAAGGTCTGGATGACCGCTCTCCACCCCCCTCTTCTGAAGTTCTGGATCCGCCACTGGCATTATCGTTCACGAGTCTAGTCAGATACATTTCTGAGGTAAAGGCCGACTATATTTAGAGTAGTGGGTTACGCACAGAATTAACCTTTTCCATGCGCAGGAGTCTCATAAACTTGGGCAGGAATACATTAACGCCGATGACGTCATGCATGTCATATAGATAGGATGATGTCATAGTTTATTTTCAGTTTACAAGGAGCAAGTGACGTCAGAATTTTATACCCTGTACAGTACTTTCTACAGAGTCTAGTAAACAAAGATTGACATTTTTGCTTGACAGGTAGTTTTTCGCTTCGCTTGGCTTCGACCTCGTTTTCATGTTTTGCCCTAAAAATCAGTACATATTCGCATTCGCTTCACCCATTTTTCGCATTTTTGAATGTCAAGAATGATTTCCTTGATAAGGAAGGGGCATTTGATGTTTTTTCGAAACAACAGAAAAAAACTGTTAGGTAAAAATAAACCATAATATCATCTTACCTGAATGAATATGACATCACCATGACCAAGTAGGGACATGATAACACTTTTCTATTCATAGATTACGATCTCAACATTTTTATGATGATGTCAACCCCTAGGAGACTCTGACGTCACTTGCTTCTTACAAACTGAAAATAAACTATGTCATCATCCTGTCTATCTGACATGCATGGCGTCATCGGCGTTAATGCACTCCTGCGCAAGTCAATGAGACCCCTGTGCATGGAAAAGGTTAATTCTGTGTCTAATCCACTACTATATAGTTAGCCACGCTTGAAATTTCTTTATGTCTTCAATTGTAAACGTATGTTTACTTGTTTGGGTTTTCTAGGCGAGCGAAGGAAAGCACGAAGCGGGCCTGGAGTGCGAGACGGGCGAAGGGGAAGGCGCGGAAAAATAATTCCCAAATATTATTTATGCGGTTAAAAATTTAACGAATCCAAACGAAAGGGTTAAAGTTGTCTTCTTAAACTTTGAATCAACCAGCCTCTTACACTTTGTTCGTTTTTGCAGTATTCGGTCAACGGTTAAATTAGAAGGTGGAACAATGAAGCTGCAACTTATAGAAGCAAGTCGCTTGTGCACTGAAAATTAAAAAGATCTGTTTCAGCCCCCGGAGTGCCAATTCAGTCCTGAAGGCCAAAGTCTGATTCAGCGCTCCTGAGTCATTTGAGCACAAATTAGACCAAAACAGCCCCATCAAAAGGCCATTCCACCCCATGCTGGGGCCCATTTCACCCCTTGGATCCAAAATCAGCCCTAGGTAACTGGACTGCATTCGCCCTGATTAAGGGAGCCAAATTACACCCAAAAATGGGACAGTATTTTACTCACCGAAACAGCCCCATTTTTAAGGCTGAAACAGATCTTCTTGAATTACAGTGGGCGGATTTTAGTGGGTTTTAAAACCTTGGCTGCAGTAGATATCGCTAGTGAAACAATAGACAGTTGCTCCTCAACTTCAGCTGTATCATTAGTTTTTTTCTTTGCCGTTGAATCGACGCCAGCAAAGTTGCCAGAGTGAGCAACATGTTGAAATACGACAGAATACATGCTTTTCATTCGAGGGTGGATGAAAGCCTTCCCCAGCTGGTTCAACTGGTTGTTAAGCAACCGCAGTGTCAAAGAGTGAACATTTTCTGAGCTTTTGGCCTCACTAAGAGCTCTGGCAAACAGGTCGCATTGCCTGGAGAATTCAACGAGTGACCTGTTTACAGCAGCAACCCCTTCTTGAACAAGTGTTTTGTTCATAACTGCAGTTTGGATTTTAATAAGTTTATCGTACGCTTCATGCAGGGAGTTCTTCAGTCGTGATACGTTTAAAGGGATAAGCTGGGAATCAGCTAAATCTATCAACATTCCCCCCATTAGTAAGGTCATGGCACGGTGGATTTCAAACTTGGGATCTGCGAATTTTTCAATCCAGTAGAACGTGTCCTCTTGTGTATGATAAGACGGATAAAGCTGCCATCCGCTACTGGTACTATAATTATAGAAATAACTGAAATCCGCCGATGGTATACCAGCCATGAAATAAAAGGGTATGTAATCACTCATGAACTTGAAAGGTGGGACTTGCGGCTCGCCTGGGACTAAAGGAGTTGGTCCTCGCTTTAGCATTACGTCAAACATGGATTCGTAGTTTTCATCATCCCCTGGCACCTTAACTTTTTTTGTCCACTTATAAATAAGATCAGCCAGCAGTGGATCTGTTTGCGCAAGGAGGCTATATTTCCCTTGCACTGGAACGTCGGTATTTAGGTACGCAACGCCGCGGTCCTTGAAAATCAAACTGTTTTCATCCATCCATTCAACGGAGCCAATCAAACCGAATTCTTCGCCCCCAAAGCTGCACAGTTTTATGGTCCTTCGTGGCCTCCAGCCTCCTTCCTTGACTAGCCTGCCTAAGACTCGGCCTGTTTCTTTCAGGACGGACATTCCAGTTGTCGCATCCGCAGCTCCGTAAACCCAGGAATCACGGTGATTTCCCAGGAAAACGTAGCGGTCCGGTTCCTCTCTACCAGTAATCGTTCCGATAACGTTATAGATCGTCGTCTGTTTCAGAGTGTTGTGAATACTCAGTTTTATTGTCCGATTTCTCCTTTGTTGGTTAGATTGGTCAAAGTTGAAGGTTGCGTTGAGGTCCTTAAACCAATCAGGGAGTATGCTGTCTTCTGCAACAGTAAAACCATTTTCAAAAAAGGATTTTTTGCGAAGTTGTTGTTGGTTTAGAGATCACGTAGGTGATCTACAGATTGGCTACGGATATTTCTCTATAACAGTCAATCTGAATGAATGACTAATATAAATAACTTGAAAAAAAATAAACAGAAAAAAAAAACAAACAAACAAACAAGCAAACCTAGTGCTAAATCTGTAGTTGCTAGTTGAAGTCGGTTCACAAATAAATGATTTACTCTCTCATGGCAAATCACGATATTTTCCTAACTTCGTCCAAGAGCTGTTTAAAGTCCTACAACAATTGCACCGAATGAACAATAACAATAATAATAATGAAATAATGATGATGATGATGATGATAATTATTTTGATGATTATCAATTCATTTAAACTACGTAGCCTCACCCATATGCAGGGCCCGCGGAGCAGTTTTCAAAGTACGGGCGCCGATTCACCTCTTTTGAAATGTAATTGGAGGGAGGGGGGTTGTGGGGTTGTAGACTTTAAAAATGGTTGTCCTGGTGTCGACTCAATAGTTTTTAATACAGTTACAACTCATCAATCGTTTTTTTAAAATAGTTTAACAAACGAGAAAGGAGTTAGTAGCAAAAAAAATGTAGCCATGTACAGCAGCATCATGATTTTTGCGTACTTCATTTACTTCAAAAGTTTGTCCGTTTTCTCCTTGCGGCTTTGTTTAGAACCTTTCATTGGTCATTGCTGAACGGAGGCTTGTTTTTAACTTACGAGCTGCCGAAAAGGACCTTTTCCTGCTGCAATGGTTGCAGGATTTACCATCAGAAGCTTGCAGATCGGGGAAAATTTTCACTGATTTATCAATATCATGCTCTGCTGCGGTAATTGCTAAAACTTCTTCATGTTATCTACCATATCATCGAGTGCAATTTGTTTTAAGAAATCGTGGCTCCGTGGAGGTTTAAGAACATTGACAAAAGAGACTCCATGGAATTTGTGCATACACTACATCACCTGGCTGATGAAAACGCACAAGTCTTCGACTAAGTGCAGTTTTGTAGAGATAGTCGTTTTGAGGCTTACCGTACCTCATTCTCTCTTGGGCTCATCTTATGATATAGGTTCGAAACGGACCAATCATAAATTTGGATGCTTCAGCGAGGTCCGCCAGTCGAATATTCGTACTCCATCAAAGATTCCTCTTATTTGAAAATGTATATTTCTTATTTTTTTCCCAAAAAGTAGGGGGGGCCTTGCCCCCAGCCCCTCCCCCTGCGCGGGCCCTGATATGACAACTCTCCGTTACTAACTTCCGCTGAATTTCGGTGGGTGTGTTTGTGTGTGTAGCAATTAATCAATATTTATAAATTCGGGTTAGCATATTCTTAGGAATACGAAAAAATATGAAAAGTGCACTGAAAAGACAAAAAACGTTTACCTCCAGTCTGTTCCAAGAGAGAACGAGCAGTGCCATAAGAAATGGGTTGTAGAAGAATACGAGGAATAAACGACAAGGTCTCCCTCACTGATTTCCTGTAGATTCCGTCTAAAGAAGGTAATCCGTCAGTTAAGGGATCTCCGAGTTTGTGGGAAATCCCTGCAAGTACCACTGCGTCAGGATCAAGCCACGGGGTGTGTGGGTATGTTGAATTTTCTCCAAAGCCTTCCCTAGCGTATTCGTTTGGGTCTAGGTACATAAGCATTCCTTTTGCACCCTTCTTTTCAGCCAGAAAAGCCTAATAATGGATTTAAAGAAAGACTATTTAAATGGAAATCAGGCTAAGGAGATAGGAAAAAAAAAACAGAAAAAAGATGAACTTATATATTAATTAAGCGTTCAGATGAAAGAAATTGCCGTAACGCAATCAAAGGTTAAGTTAAAGTCTACGTTCGAGCCAAGTGGCTCAAAAAGGTCAAGCTTTATCTGGTGTGTGTAGCAGGAAGTGAGTAAGAATATTTCTACTTTCCCCTGCAGTAGCCTGATCCACGCGTTTAGTTGGTGTGGAGCGAGTTAAAAATTGTTCGCAGCGAACGCAAAAGGTAGACGATGGGTGAAACGAGGGGAGATTGGGGCGGTCTCCCCTCGTCAATTTGTTCGCCCACGTTTTTCTGTTTGAACGCCTGGAACAAGCTATCCCTGAATGGGATGTCAGTCCATATCAGGTTTACCTCCAACATTAAATTCGCTGGCACCCAGTTACACACCTGAGTGGAAATTGGTAATAAATGTGAATGAAGTGCATTGCCCTAGTCTGCGTAGCATGGCGGTTTTGTAGAGCCGGCCGCACGAGCGGCGAAGCCGCGAAATTCGCGCGCGAAGCGCGCGAGAACAATCTCCTCGCGGTTTCTGTGCCCTCGCCCGCCTTTATTACTTAGCGCGCCCAACCAAAACCGCCATGCTACGCAGGCTAGCATTGCCCAAGAAACACAACACAGCGACACAACCAGCCAGGGCTAGAACCCAAACCTGTTCGTTGATTAGGTTTCAATTTTGACTGAAAAGTAAAGGGACACTTTCATGATCTTTTTAGCCAGTAATCGACGTCAGATACGCTCCAAAATTCGGTCGAAAATTGGTTTTCTACCCCACACTTCACATCCTTGAATGTTGTTAGCTGTTAAAGCTGTGCAAAACTTATAGGGGTATGTTTGTGTAAGAAACTCTAAAGTAAGTCTCAAAGTTTTTGGCCAGGAAAACAGTTCATGTTTAAATGATTTCTTACGCGTAAATAGACTGCACTGTCATTTTTAGGGAGTCGTTATAACTCCAAAAATGGAGTAAACATTTTAGGTACAGGATAACCCCTTTTTTGGGATTATTTTAACTCCTAATTTAACTCCGAATTTGGGATCATTTTTACTCCTGAAAAAGAGTTCTTTTTACTCCCAGTCTGGAGTGAAAACCACTCCGAAATGGGGTTACTTTTACTCCTTACATGGGTTGTTTTTACTCTTTTTGGAGTTAATTTAACTCTGAAAGTGGAGTAAAGATTTTAGGTAAATAACTCCTTTTTGGGGGTTATTTTAACTCCTCAATATCTGGGGTCACCTTTTACTCCTGAAAAAGAGTTCTTTAAACTCCTTTTTGGAGTTAAAATAACTCCCCAAAAAATAACTCCACTGTAAGGAGTTAAATTAGTCCCCACTAGAGGAGTTATTATAACTCCCTCAAAATTACTGTGTGAAGAAAGACAATGACGTACCATTTCCCAGATACTGTTTTGTGGGCCTTATATATATTAAAGCCTTATTGCCAGAGACGGCTCCATAGCTCAATTGGTAGAGCAAATGAGTACATGTACGTGCAGTGCAATTGCTTTATACCTTTACATTTTACGTTAAGGCTTCCCCGTTTTCTTTTTGTTGTTCTGCTTCTTTTTCAGCAGCTACTAAAGCATCACAATTTGGAGAATATTACATATCTGACATATTTTTGTCTGTTTCTTGAAAAGTTAAGTCACTTACGGTTAGGTAAAAGTTTAAGCCATTCCTGCCTATAAGAATACTCCCATTTACGGTGATGTTGTGTTTTTCAAGCTCTTCGAAATCCTTTCCAGTTCCCCGGTTGATGTAAACAAGTTTTCCTTCAGCTGTGCCATTCATGGAATAAGCCGTATATGGTGCGAACAGAGACGTGTTTCTGGCTCCAGGCCCAGATGACACCTACGTGGTAACCAGAATAAAAAAGTGCACGTTAATAATTGTAATTATTATTGCATTGGACCACAGGAGAACGCAACTCCTTATCTGTGGAATCCTGTGGAACAGGACAACGTTGACCTACACAATATTCTGTCAGAAAATCGCCGTAACGTTTGGGAACGCCATTTATAGGTTGGTTCAGTGCCGGATCCAGACCTCGACATAAGGCGGGGGGTGGGGGCGGCCATCCAGACCCTTAGATAAGGGGAACGGGGACGGTCTCCAAAAAATAAAATTTTTCGTCGGGCCTCAGTTTGGTCTAATAATAAGGACTTATTGTATTGATCGCATGAGTGTAACATTAAAAATATTTAGAAAAGGGTTCTTAGTGTTGTTTCACATTGCAAAAAGAGGAGCCCAAGGGATCCTGACAAGAAATGTTACAGGACAGATAAAGGAAATATTTTATTTTATGTTTATGAAGAATCACGTTCAGTTCACTGATGATGTTTCAGTCTATAAGAAAACTGGATAATTCAAATATAATATTTAAAAGAAAAATACTGTAGCATTGTTCACAAAACGCATATGTATTAAGTTTTTACGCTTATTTCGGCTACCCGAACAAGCTTTCTTCAGGTATAGGATGTTACTAAATACAGTGCTTAAACTTCGAAATAATACATGTCGATAATTTCGCAGAGCTTTAGTAATCATGACCATAATAACAGTAAGACTAAAAGAAAGTAATGCAAAATACATTTCGTGATGTTCGTTTAAGCCAGAAAGTTCGAGGGCTCTATCTTTGTAATAAGATGTGCCTCTCTAGCTTAGCGTCACGTGAAGAGTTATTTCGGAAACAATAGTGGGTCTAGATTTAGTATTATGCTAATCACGACATAAGAATCAAATTACACACTGACTAGTGCCACATGCAAGTTTTTCCATAGCAGCTTTCCTTCACCTGCCAGATGCCTGCCATATAGTGAAACACATAAAGAGTACAGAGATCATATGTCACCTTTAACTGCTCGGTAAAATTTTTCACCACGGTTCCATTGCTATCCACGACTGATATCATATTTGGTTTGTCCTTCTCCGGATACGACAACAGCACTTTGTAGGCGGGCATCTCTACTTCGTCAAACCCATACTGCTGCCAATCCTGTGCTAACATATCTGCCATCTGCCGTGATCTTTCCGAACCAGCCAGATGAATCTCGCTGGAAAATATTCTGCAACATTATAGGTACAAAAAAAACCTTATTAAGATAACTAGAACATCCAATATGTTCTCAGGCGAGTCAATTGGGGAATAGCGTTGAGTACCGGTTAACTTTACTTGCTTCCTTTACGTCTCTTGAAGACTGGATCCACAGTTAAGCCTGGTTCTCATATGCCGCCGATGTATCTGCAACGTAGCCGCCGGTACCGTGTGAACGGACGAATGAGAACATGCGCCGCCGGCAACTAGAGCTATCGCAGAGCTTTACCGCCGGCATGGCTGCGAATTCGAAGTTGAACTCGAGTCAACTTCGCAGGCATGCAGGCGATAAAGACTGGGATGACCAATGTTGCCGGCCACTTCCGTTCTCATATCGGAACAGTATCCCAGGCAGTACCGGCGGCCATGTCGCAGGTGCATCGGCGGCATATGCATGAGAACCAGGATTTACTATATTCAATCTTTAATTGATGTTGAGTAAAATGAAACTATTGATAACGTCAGACGTACTCGGCAGTGTATTATAATAATTTTTCATTGAAGATATTTCGTCGCTTCCAATTGGCTTTATGCTCCCAGGTAATTCTGCTGAACCGGGTGACACCGACCAAAATTGTAAGATGGCCGCAATATACCACCATCGATACGATTGTATATTGCCATCAATATACAATCAATAATTACAATCGCAAAATTTAAGTGTTTTCGTGATTTTTCGGATTATTTCAGAAGCTATTTACAAGTAAGAAAATGAAGAAACCGAGACGAAGAGCCGATTGCTCTTAACGATTTAGAAATGCCTTAACCGCAACAAATCTTCAAAACGTTGTTGTCGCTTCGGAGCCAAACTCAGTGTGAAAATCTTTACTCGGTTATTCTGCTTTGAGCAAGTATTTAATACGGAAATATTTATTTAGCACAGCCAATTGCAAGAGAGAATGATCTTAGCTCATTCTCCCTTGGCACAGCACACAGTTACTGATGATTCTATGCAAATCCTACTTAATTTAACCGGCCTCGCCCCTCATGAACCGAAGCAAATTTAGAGGGACATTTGTGGATTCATCAGAGCAAAACAGGGCTAGTATTTCAGAGACAATTTGCCTCGAAATCCTAGTTTTTGGCTAGTAGACCATTTAGATGTTGTTCTATCAGAATATTCTGACAAATCCCTTAACTTCAGAAATTTAATTTTTATGACGTCACCACTTTCAAACTCTATTACTGATCCATTACTGAAAAGAAACATGACAACATGCACGGAATGTATTTGTTAAGTACTTGAGCAAAAGTTAGATTTTTACTGAATTTTTAAACTTTGAAACTCATGGTTTGCATCAACGGTTGAAATAGAATGGTCAAACGTTTAAATTACCCTTCAACTTGAGAGGAATTGTAGAGTTTTATTTGCTTCTGTTAACGCGCTCTTTTTTTTTTTTTTTTCGTTTTTTGATTTTGTTTCTTTTTTGTTTGTTCCGAGTTTTTGTTTTTGTTTTTCATAAATTAGCTTCGATTTCTGGGCAAAACTTGTCTTGCTAGCAAATACCGAGTTCAAAAAACCGGGCTCTCCTCAAATTTACGGGAAAACGCTGTTTGGAAGGTCCCTTTTTCTTAGTTTCACAAATGTCAAGCTGAACAGGTTACTGTACTTTCAAAACACCAATTCAAGCCAGCCATCTGATTTCTGCCTCATTGACAGTATACAATCGTTGACTCAAAAACTGTGTTCTAAATTTAGTCAGCGCCTTCTTCACTGAACAATCCGGATCACTTACAGAGATGGTAAAATGTCTTTTAATCGTTAATTTTCAGACTTAAATACGAATGCAAATCTTCCCTACTTTCACATGTGGAATACAAAATCTCTATTGAATCATTTTTGCAGATATTTTATACAGTTGTTTGATATCTTTATTTCTAGAATGTTTATAAAATGACTGCTCCGAAAAGAGGCCAGCTCACTGGCTATGGAGAATTAGCCAGGGAATTAAAGAGTTCACTTTATTTCTCGGCCTCCTCTTAGCTTTACTGAAACCTTATCAGCTGAGTTCCTATCGACTTTACTGATACTGAGTGAGCTTCAATATCTTGCTGCTTCTCTAACATTTTTCCTTTTCGGTATTTCGTCCCAAGGGAGTTTCAAATCCGGTTACTTTATCGTCTATCACAAGAGAATAACGACTACGTACTTACTTTGTCCACGGATGGAATGTGTTTTCTTTGGCAGCCATCTTGAATTTCTTGGTCAGCTGGTGGGAGGTCTGGAACCGAGAAAACTTCGGCGCCGCTCAGTTCTCTCAAAATATGGCAGGCAGAGGGTCTAGGACTCGACACTTCATCATACTCCGAACGATCGGATCATTGGAGAAGCAAGACCCCTTTCCAAACCAGACCCATGCAAAATTCAACATGGCCTCCGAAGTAAACGCATTCCACGAATTGCTAAAAGTATGGTTACATTTATTTAAATCATAATCACGCTAATCGGATATAAGAACCAACTGTTTTACTTTAGAAATGTTATAGTCAGTTTTCTACTGATGAAAATGGAAAGTCACGTTGAAGAAAAAATTGAAAAGTGAACATCAGAGTAAATGCACAATTTATTTCAACGAAATTAACACCTGGCTTTCAGGAAAAAAAAATGTCACCATATTCTTTCATTTAAAGCTGACCTTTAATTTATAATCCCTGTATCCCGTGCCAAATGAAGCGTTATTGCGGATTAACTTGTTGTTTTTGTTATGTAAACTATGTTTTTTCCCCTTATTTCCTTATAATTTACAACAAAATGTTTCCCAACAAGATCTGACAAACTTTTGCTAAGTCGGCGCGAATCTCTAGGCGAATGTCACAATTGTTCTCACGGAAGCCTACAGCGTAGTTTCAACTTGTCCTATCATAAAGCTGATCAACGTGTAGCCAACAAGAGGTGGGGTGATCTCTTTGTTCTCATCGATAAATCCTTTTACTCCCAAAAGAAGCGGAAGGAAAAAAATAACCCCCCAAAAATCAAATTACGTGTTAAAAGACACGGAGAAAAAAATAGCACTATACAATCGTTCTGCCAAATAGGTTTAATGTCAAATGGTAAGACTATGGGTTTTGTCTTGCCATGTGTAACCTATACGTGAGAGGGCTATACTAAGGGAATCGCGACTTAAAGGAATGACACCTTGGCAACCGTGCCCAGTGGCTTATCAGTCGCGGAATACTTTTCCGTGTGAAGCGGGACAAACACTTAGTTGGGAAATTATTTGCTTATCAACACCTAATGTGTCTTTGATTGCTTTTACGAATTGCATATAAGCAAATATTTCATGGTTGAAGACATTTTGATCAGACCTAATTAATTTTATACAACACAATAAACAGCACCTCAGGGAAGTAATTCTCAGTAGCCGACTTTAGATTTCAAAAATCTTGAACCACCTACTATGGCATAAATAGAAGCAGCTTAGGAACGTCAATATAGGAAAGCCACGTTCTGTAATTTTAACTGACATGGGCACACTTTATAGGATTTTGTTCAAAGACTTGAAAGTTAGAAACACCTTGCCATGCCAATACAGAGAAACTTACGTCTGTTCATTGGCTACTATTTACGTACGCTATTCGGTAAGTTTTAATCAACAAATTTAGAATCTGCCAAACTTTAGAATCACCTTACACAGCGTAGACTAATGAGCGGCAACGGCGATATCGCTGTTCCGCCGGACCACTTGACTAGATTCATCCAGCGACAAAGTATCTTGTAAATGTTGAAAAATGTTGATTTAATACTGTACATAAGTGAAGCCGACTGGATCCCAAGAGAGGATGGCATTTGCGTAATGACATGCTGGTCAGCGAACCAGCTAAAGAGAAAAAAAGGCCATTGCTGGCTATTGCTTTAAGTATATACAAAGACGGTTAAAAGTTATCAGCAAGTGACATTGCGCAAAAAAACTCATGGAGTTGATACAAATTTTGCTGAGAACAAATATGATGCAAAAGTATCCAAACAGAGTTGAGCCTTAAGCAAAGATGATAAATTCTGCATTTGCACATCTTCTACACTAAGGTGTTAATTAGGTGCTTTGGTGAAGAGAATTGAAGTTTTTGTTCTCAGATTTGATATGCATTTTTTCGACAACGCAAATAAGACTGCCTACCTCAAATTTTCTCTTAGCTGATCTGTGTCTACTTCCTTCTCAAACTTGCTGAATACTTCGCCCACTGTTAACTTCTCTGTTTCGCTCTGATTTCCAGTCCGATTTGTTTCACCGCCCGCACATTCACGGTTTGCTTTCGCTTTGTTTCCTATGACAAAGTAGCCGATGAGGAAACCACCAGCAGCGACGGCAACAAGACCCAAAAATACAACCAACAATATTACAAAATGACGTTTTCCACAGGTGCCACAGCGGGACGAGCTTTTGAATATGGTCTCTTGGGATGATACAGATGAAGCAAGTCGCAATTTTGAGCTTGTCAGCTCCATCTTGCGCAGTTGCTGCTAATAAGTATGTACGGTAGCACACACTACGCCTATTGCCTTGACAGAAGAGCTCTTGAGGGGTAGATAGTCAAGAAGACGTCAAGCATACGTAATCGTACTTAAAGCGGTGAATAGCAAAGCAAAGCAAATATGATACCAAATAATGTCATTGCCTAGGGGATTTATTAAATCGGCAATTAAAGGTGGGTTTATTTAAAGCACATTTTAAAGTAGGAAGGCGTTTCAAATGACTGGAGAGTTTCATCATTGTTCAAGTGTTTTGTACTGTGAGATTTTAAGTGTGTTACAATTTACAAGTTTTACGGGACTTTTTACTAACAATTAAGTGACAAGAACAAAATACAACTGGGGAAATATTTTGACAAGCTACAGCTGTCAAGGGCGACTTGTCTTGTTTGCAGACTGTCCAACCACCTCTTCACCCCCGGGCCCCAGAACAAAGAGGAAGAACTAATGAAAAGTTATTGTTGAAGCCAAAGAAAAACAATCCCAAGAAAGAGAAAAATATAAAGCTGTTAAGCTGTTAAATAAAGACTGAGGGCAAATCTGTAGAAGACGAATTCCTTCTAAATTGAGTTGTATAACACCTGAGTTGTTAATAAAAAAATGAAAGATTTCATGCTACTTGGTAATTACTGAAAAGAGTTAATTTCGTAATAAGAAGACTCTTTTAGAGTTTTCAGAGCGAACAACAGAAGTGCAATTAATGACATGCGATACAAAGTATACCTAAACATTTGTCCAGGTTTATACTGAAAACATTCGAACGCAGAAAGCAAAAATCTAAAAATCCGATTTTCTATAAATAATACTATGAAAACACTAACGTTTTATTTGAATGGTAACACTGCAGTTCATACGTGGTGCCTCTGCTGTCGAGAAAAGCACGACAGAAGTACGAGGTATCAAAGTTTTGAATTCAGTTCAGCAGGGCAATAAATGTCGATAAGTTCTGTCTGTACTCTTGCACAGCAGTGACTCAAACAAGGTTCCCATGAAGTGTAGAACTAAGTGCATTAAAACGTACTTTTTTCGGGATTAGTGATTATTGTTTCATTACCGCTGACTTGATACTTAAAACGTACACTTTTAAGGTCTACTCTAGCACGACGTCTGAATCAGTGGAGTCATGTTTATGTCGTTCTTCTGTACCTGGTTCTCTAGCACACAATTTGATCAGTTACGTTCTGCACGCAAGAAGCACGAAGTATTAAATCGGCCTAAATTATTTCGTAGATTTTTTTGCATCTGCCAATGACTGAGTCTTGGGTTTGTGACATAACTTCTTGAAGACTTTGTTAGCGTTGCCTCTTTGAATAACTAGTGTTATAAATTAAATCTCTTTACGCAAATGACGCAGGGCACTTAAACTTTATAAACTGACCTCTTTGTTCCTTAAGAATCAATGTGCTGACGCATGACGTCTGTCGGCATTTGCCGCGTCGCGTGTCTCTTGGTAATGTGGGAGGTCCAGTAACACACCATTAATCAGTCATCAAACACTTTAAGGAGCTTTGGTGATTGATTGAAGATCAGTTTAAGTCGCCTCGTACTTAGGCCATCGTCCTTCCTCTTTACACAGAAGATCTTACTGATAGAATCTGAAGCCTTGCATTAGCTTTTTATCACTTAACATAACACGATGGCGTTTGAAATATGCTTTGTGAAAAGATGTGTCGTTTGCCCCCAAAGAACTACTGGCATAGGTTCTTGTTATTCTGGCTTAAAAAAATGACAAATATGTCAAGTGGGGGATTGACTGACAGGCCCTCTTTTGTACCAGCAGGGAGAAACAAATTAGAAATAAAACAGAAAAAACAAGCTTGTGTCAATAAAACCCTTCCAAGAATACTTTATCTCTTAGTCATATGTTCACATCTAAGATTTACATTATAAAGTTTTAAACTTCGAATATTCCAGACAAAAGAGTGTCATTTTACTTAAACATAATAGCTACACTGAGCCCTACTGACAGATTCTCGTCGATGAATGGAACGACATTGGTATAATTACAACTGATTACACGAATTTAGAGCAAAGACGAGATTTTAACCCCATAGGTCATTTATGGAGACGAACAAAAATTGTGGCCTCTTAGTTTACGTCTGTGAACCAAATCATATCGTGTGCCCAGTTCAAATAAGATCTCTGAGCCAGTCTTCTTACGTGATACTATCTCAGTGGGTTCAGTCTCAATGCTTTTTGCGGAGATGTTATGTGGCATTTATCCAGTCGGGAAATTTGAAAACTTTAAGTTAAACACTTGTGCTTAATTCGTTAAATGGTACTTTTAACAGTCTGTTTTAGAAAATATTTATGCCAACGACGAAATGTTTGTTTTACCTCCAGAATCTTGTCTTTTAACTGTTGCTTACGTGGATCAACAGCAACAACAGAGAGAAAAATTGACACATTGGATTAAGCTCACACTTTGAATTTTGAAGTTTCGCTTATGTTTCATGGAAATTTCGTGTTACAAATCATAGCCGGCAGGCCATTAACGACTAAAGAACAGCCTTTAATGGGTCCTTGATGTCCTCAGAGATCCAAAAGTGAAGAGTCTACTTAAACACTAAATTACTTACTACGTGCATGCACGGGGTTGACCTGCGGTTGGAAAGGCAATGCTCAAGGGTAATCTTTTCAAGAATCTTCAATTGAATTTGTTATAAAGGGCCCATCATGGCTTTCATGACAAACAGATCTGAAATTACATGAAAACCAAGCATCTCCAAGGAGATGTTTTAAATTCTACTGTAATTGTAATTAAATAAAGACGTTCTAGCTTGAAGCGAACGGCCTCCCAAAATGCCTGCACGATTTGGCATAGTTCGCTGATAGAGACTTCTACTATAATAGTGTTTTCAGTTGAGATTTTGTTCAGTGTTTTTCCTGATGATTGGTGCAATTGCTTACAAGGCATGGTGATAAATGGACCTTCGACTGCTCTCACGGCTGCTCTCACACAGTTGTTGAATTATAGGCAACAATCCTTTTGAAGATCCAGTCCTCCGTGCAAATTTACGAAACCCGTTTTTTTTCTTATAAAAACCAGATTCTTCGTCGCTGATTGTTTGTCTGTTTCCCCCATAGCCAGCAGAGAGATACTAATGAGACGTTTATCCCTTAAGTTAATTATAACCGGCGCGAGAGAATAACCGGGGTCTGTTTTTTGCTTCAGTTACGTACAGTCGAACCTCCTCTAACGGCCACCTCTCTACAACGGTCACCTCTTCTACAAAGGCCACCTCACTACAACGGTCACCTCTCTACAGCGGCCACCTCTCTACAACGGCCACCTCTCTACAACGGCCACCTCTCCACAACGGACACCTCTCTACAACGGCCACCTCACTACAACGGTCACCTCTCTACAACGGTCACCTCTCTACAACGGCCACCTCACTACAACGGTCACCTCTCTACAACGGTCACCTCTCTACAACGGCCACCTCTCAAGAACGGCCACCTCTCTACGACGGTCACCTCTCCACAACGGCGACCTCTCCACAACCACCACCTCTCTACAACGGCCGCTAACGCAGGTCCCCAACTGCCAAAATAACCTCTCGACAACGGCCAGTTTTTTTTTTTTTCGGCGACAGATGGAAAAGTCAAGAATGGTCACGAATTGATCTTAATGGCACGTTTATGATCAATCTCGGCAATAAATAACCTCTCGACGACGGCCAGTTTTTTTTTTTTCGGCGACAGATGGAAAATTCAAGAATGGTCACGAATTGATCTTTATGGCACGTTTATGATCAATCGCGGCAATAAATAACCTCTGGACAACGGCCAGTTTTTTTTTTTCGGCGACAGATGGAAAAGCCAAGAATAGTCACGAATTGATCCTTATGGCACGTTTATGATCAATCGCGGCAATCGTATTTTGATTTTGTTTCATTTATACTGCTGCAGTTAAGCAAAAATTGTCTACTATACTTTCAGCGAATGTTGCGAACCTCACTCGTTTTGTTATTACGTTAACATTTTGATTCAAAACATTATTGAAGCTTTTGATGTATTTTATCTCTATGCATTAATATATGATTGGATTACCCTGGTTATGGGATACAGTACGCGTGAACTTAAGACAAAAAACATATTGTACTCCCCCAAAAAATTGTCATATAATACCTCTATACCTCCCCATAACGGCCACCTCTCCACTACGGCCACTTCCTTCTGTCTCCGAGGTGGCCGTTGTGGCCGGAGGTTCGACTGTAATTTAAAACAGGATTAACAGGATCAAGAGGCAAGCCGGTGCACAATCCACCTACCGGATGTGGAATCGGTATTGCATTCAAAAATAGCTCTGGTCCTAAATGGAGCGGAATATCATCGCATGGATTTGGATTTGCAAGCAATTTGGAGTTAATTAGCGGTTATAGCAACGTCTGAATTAACGGAAGTGAGTTTTATTTTATCTTGATTGGCAAATCGAAGATGGGCTTTTTAACAGGCCAATCATGGCGCATACAAATCCTGACACACAGGCGGGGGCTTAGAATACAAGGATTTCGGCGCTTTTTCGCAGACGAAGAGTTCAGTGTCTTCTGTGGCGCTGGCTACAAAATTACACTTGCCAATTCCGCTGAAGTTTTCTATGCTGACAATTTAATCGAGTTGTTTATTCTTAGTTGCTCTCGAGATCATCTGGCTTCTTGTAAAAGTATGCCATTGTTGAAAAAAAGAAACTTACGTAAAGCACACCTACATGCGGGCCTTTTAGTGGCTGATTTGTTTAAGGTTATCAGTCATCTAATATTTTATACTGCGCAGTTTCATATAAATATTCAACCATGCCTACTATGGAACAATTTCTAATAAAGGCTATATGTAATGATAATAATAATCCTTTATTTATCCCGGGTATAGTATTTATACCTCTAACGCTAGTGGGGGCCGAGCAAATGCTGAAACAAATAATTTAAATTAAACTTTAGAGGGTCAATAATCCCAACTGGCCAGTGTGGGGGGGGGGGGGGGGACTAGCTGGTTATTTACAAGCATGGCCAAGGATTTAAACTCGGGATAACCGAGAACAAGTACAGCAAGCGTTCGGGACAAGACAAAATCGGGGTCACCGAAATGCAAGTCCGGCGCTCAAACCACTCAGCCACGCTCCCTCCTTGTACAGCCTACTATTAAAAAAGCACTAATCAGGAAATGTCCTTAAGGAGTATTTTAATTTACGAGTATATACTCAACGAGTCCACAACATCAACGTGCAAGCTGATTTCAACAGCAGCAATTCAGCGCCACCTCATGATCGACACGCTGACCCTTCCTTATTTCTGCTTGCTCTACGCAATAGAAGTTGTACTCAGACAAAGATAGAGATTACTGATGTGTCGAACCATGTAATATGTAACAATTATTCCTCGAGCCCGAATGGCCTCTGAGTCAATAGCCCATGAGGCCGAAGGCCGAATGGGCTATTGACTCAGAAGCCTTAAGGGCGAGAGGAATAATCGGTTTAGTAAAATCCAGTTAGTTGGTCAAAAATATCGAGAATAAAAAAAGTTTAGCTAGTTAAAGCTTGACTTTAATCCTTTTTTGCCGCCAAAAAGCGCGCGCTTTTCGCTACTAGTGGGCTATAACATATAGCTTAGTAGTAGCTCAACCAATCGGAGCGCAGTATTGATAATAGACCACTAGTTGGATTTTACTAAAAGTAGTTATGTGTGCAAGTTAGTAGTGAGATCTTATATCTAAGACTTAAGGATACAGACAACTGTAGTTAGTCCCGAGGGGGCAGAGGTGTAATTGATATTGCACGACTAAGAAACATTCAAAGCAAGGGCCTTCAACAATGTAGTTAGCGAAGGGGTTTCAACAGATGCAATTTGTACATACAGTCATCTGTTTCATAGAATAATTTCCCATTTTTCAGTGGAAGCTCACTGCTCAAGGCACCAAAGACTATTTCTTAAGACGTTGTAACATCACTGTTTACACACTATTGGTTTAATTATGTCAGCTGCAGACAAAATGGCTTCCTGAACCAAAGACAACTGTCGATGAACTTCGGAAAAATCTCTTGTGGTCCTCGCATTCGTCAGAGCTCTTCTCACTCCAGGAAATGATCTATAAATACTGTTTCTGGAAAAAATGTGTCTGTATATTGGATCACCTGATTTCAACAAAGGCGAGATGAATGCTTTCTCCACCTGGACAAGCTGATCATTAACTGCCCTCAAAATCAATGCACTTTCCTTTCCTGTTAGTTTGTCTTTAGAATCTTGAAAAAATTCGCTCGCGTTAACAAATTCGTCGATAGCTCTGCGGACAAAATATGTCGAAATGTTCCCGAAGTCTGACGTTTTCTCTAGATATTCAAATGTCCTGTTTAAGGCTCTGGAAAAACGCACCACATCTAAAGGTAAAACATATGCTTCGCTAAAATCCAAGAGCATGCCTCCCACAAGCTTTGTCATGGTAGCGTGGTACTCGAATTTTGGGTCGGCGAAGGTTGTCATCCACAGAAAACTATCTTCTTGAGTATGATAAACCGGGTAGAGCCTGTAACTGTCCTTAAAACCATCAAAATAACTAAAGTCGACAGAAGGAATTCCAAGGATCATGTAAAATGATAAGTAATCGCTGAAGTACAAGAACGGTACCGGAGCAGGTTCATCAGGGTGATCAACGGATGAAGGCATCCTACTGACCATGGTGTCATATACACTCTTCTTGTTGGGATCTGTAACCTTTTTGGCCCTGCGAAAAACCGCTTTCTCCATCACTGGACAGGTCTGTGCAACCACAACATAGTCTCCCCCGACTGCCACGTCAGTATTTAAATAAACAACAGCGCGCTTGGATAGCAGCTTCGCGTTCTCCTGCACCCATTCTACCGACCCTATCAAACCAAACTCTTCTGCACCCCAGCTGCACAGTTTGACCGTTCTTCGTGGTCGCCAGCCTTGATTTTTTAGTTTTCCAAGGATTCGTGATATTTCCATAAGAACTGCAGATCCACTGGACGCATCAACCGCCCCGAAAAACTCCGCGTCGCGATGATTCCCGACCAGAACATAGCGGTCGGGTTCTTCACGACCATTGATGGTCCCGATAACGTTGATTATCGATTTAACAATAAGTTTGTTATTAACGCGTAGTCGGACAATAGTGTTGGCGTTGGTAAAACCAGGGCCGAACCTGTAGGTGACCTTGAGATCTCCACGCCAGCTGGGCGGTACCTCATGTCCTAGGGTAATCATAAGGAATCGATACTAAATAACAATTAACAGATGACGTTTTTAATGAGAACTTTCAAACCTGAGGTTTGTTTCATTTTCATAATTCTCGCTATTATGCCGAAACCGAGTTCAATGATTAATTTGGTCGCAACATAAAACAATCGAATTTTACCTCGTCAATCAAGTTTTCAGACACCCTATGTCTGCGACTTCGACTACTACTACTGCTACAGTCATTCCTAAGGCTATGCTTCTTCTGCTGATGCTGCTGTTGCTACGGCTACCTCTACTGCTACTGCTGCTGCTGCTGCTACTGCTACTGCCACGGCTCCTACTGCCGTTGCTGCTGCTACTGCTACTGCTACGGCTCCTACTGCTGGTGCTGCTTCTGCTGCTGACTGCTACTGCCACTACTACTGATATTGCTACTGCTACTGCTGCTGTTACTACTGCTACTGCTACAGCTGCTGCTACTGCTACTACAGTTGCTGCTGCTGCTGCTGCTGCTACTGCTACTGCTACGGCTGAAACTGCCACCGCTACTACTGCTACTGCTACGTACTACTACTACTACCTCTACTACTCAGTGCTGCTGCTACTCCTACCACTACTACAGCAAAAACCCCTGTATAAGACTCCAAGTTTTTCTAAGCTTGGCTAAGAAGGTTCTTATAAAAATTGGTGCTATCCGGAAAATTAGGCTACTCAGGTTCTTAAAAATAAATAAGGTGTTTGTCATTGGTGGGTGTAGCCTAATTTGGGCCTATTCTTGGTATAGCATGCATAATGTGTTATAAAAATCCCTTTAATCTAAGCATGTTAAAGCCATTTATGAAATTTACACCAAACTATTAAGGTTAGGTTATACGTCCTCTGCTTTGTCTAGCTGTCCTAAGGCTGACATAAAAAATTTATTGCTTTTCGTGTTAACTTTAGCTGGTATGAATTAATACACGTTTGTTTGGTTTACAAGAAATACTAAATGACAGAAAAATATGGTCAAAAACTCACCCTTAAGACGACTTAACAGGTTCAAGGCGTCTTCATACGAGATTGGTTGAACAGGAATAGTTGGAAAACCAGATTGATTTTTAGGCCTTCTATACATCCCTGGAATCGATGGAAAATAAGGTGTTAGTGGGTCTCCAAAATGAGCATACAGGGCCTTAGAAAAAACTGCGTCTTTCGACATCCAGGCTTTGTTGGGATAAGTTTCCTGGCTCTCATGTCCCTCAGGGGCAACCAAGGCAGGATCCACGTACAAAAGGGCCCCAATAGCTCCTCGACGTTCGGCGGCGGTCACCTGATAATTATAAATGACAGAAAAAGAACCATAGTTTGTTTAGCATTATACTGAATTTAATAATAATAATAATAATAATAATAAGTTTAAGTCCAGGATGAAGTCAATGAAAGAAGAAAAGTGGAAAAACAAAGCATTGCATGGCCAGTATCCAAAGATCCTAGAGAAGCCTCATGTAGACACAGTCACCACCAACAAATGGTTGTCAAGTAATTTGAAAGGAGAAACAGAGGGACTACTTGTTGCAGCTCAAGACCAGGCAATAAACACCAGAAACTACCAGAAAGTAATATGTGGCCAGCAAGTGGAGAGCAAATGCAGATTGTGTTCGCAACATGAAGAGACAGTGGACCATATTGTATCTGGATGTGAGGTATTAGCCAAAACAGAGTACATCTCCAGGCACAATAATGCTGCAGCATATCTCCATTGGAACATATGTAAAGATCATGATATAGAGATTACAGACAAATGGTGCGAACACGAACCAGAGACCGTGATACACAATAAAGATAACAACATCACCATCATGTGGGACATGCCAGTCAATACTGATAGAACTATAACAGCGAACAGACCAGATACCATCGTTAAAGATTCAGTGAATTCCACCTGCAAACTTATTGATATGACTGTTCCATCACATAGAAACATCGCACTGAAGGAAACTGAAAAAAAATGCAAGTACAAAGACCTAGAACTAGAAATACAGAGAATGTGGCATATGAAAACCGTAGTGATCCCTGTGGTTGTTGGTGCGCTTGGTACAGTGAAGAAGGGTATGGTAGAAAACATCAAGAAAGTATCAGAAAGAGCTAATATGACAGAGATTCAAAAGATCTGCATGCTGGGATCTGCACGAATCCTCAGAAAGGTGCTCAGTGTATGAACAGAATGATTGACTTGAGTGACTGACGCTCTAGGTGCATGGTTTGCGCCCGGCTGATGCACAAAAAGAACACCAGCAAAGACTGTGATAATAGAGACGATAATAATAATAACATTTACCTCTATAGCGCCATTTCCATTGCTGTCCAATGGCGCTTTACAACAACAATTACTTTTAGGAAAATAGATTAAAAAAATAAATCAATAGTAATGCAAGGTTTAAACATTTTAAATTGACCTATACATCAATTCCAAATTTCCCATAATGCACCTTAATTGCCCCCCAAATTTTGCATAACCATAACCTTTTCTCCTGGGTATTTACAGCCGCCCCAAGAGAAACTGAAAACAATGCTTATGCAAAATTTTGGGGGACAAACAAGGTGCATTATGGGAAATGTGGAAGCGGCTTACGCGTCAAAATTTACAATATTGTTAAAATAATTAAAATCAAATAAAAATCAAATTATATATATATACTACAATACCACAAGTGAATAGTAAAACAATATGTTTTTCGTCTCTCACCTATATTTCGGCCATGTTAAACGGCCTTCATCAGGGTGAATGGCCGTTACAAGCATCATATATATATATATATATATATGTTGTAGGAAACGGAAAACAGAAATGGAAGGTTTATAGGAAAACCTCGATGGTTATTCCTGAATTGTTTTTATACATGTAACAGTGACCAAACATTCTCATACCCTATTTCTAAATCGGCCTGGTGGCCTCATTTTCCAAGACACTTCCTGATACACAACCGTTCAGATGGAAATGACAGGACGAGAAACAAGAATTAATATTAAAGACGATTTAAAGATAATTTGTGAATAACCAATGTTAGCTCAGTAATAAGCCAATATTGCTAAAGTACGAGACGGTGTTGTCATGCATGGTTTAATAATGACCTTTGATAAAGACTTGATCGCTTTCTATTTACAAGCAAAACTGACAAGTTCTAAGGCCTATCAATAGCATTGTTCCACCATTTTCCTCAGATAATGTGATAAAATATGCGTTTATATGAGTAATGTTAGCAGCAGGACGCCATTTTTTAAGTGTCATATTTTCGTTATTTTAATGATTTGCTGTAAAACCCATGTGTTTCATGTACCATCCGTTGTAAATGACCTATGATCTTAAATTGACGCGCCTCTGAGAATGCGCCAGCATACACGATAGCTGCTATTAAATGAGGGCAGTTGCAATTTTTTTCCGAGATGGTTCAGATACCATTCTTTCTTGGTCTTTCTTACCATCTTCTGCCCGATATTCTGAAAGTTGAAATTTTGATTGGCTTAATGGTTGGGAATGGGAGACTCTGGCCAGACGACCCTCATTTTAGCATGTCTTTACCTTTGCACAGTGCAACCACGATATAATGAACCTCTAGATAACGAAGTCCTCGGTACAACGAACGATTTTCTTTACCTCAGTAGTAGTAAAAATATATTTACGAAAAGTCGTTACAGCGAACCAATTTTCTCCAGTCCCTTGGCCCTTCGATATTTCGAGGTACCATTGTACAGCCGCACCCCCACTCCTCAGACAAAAATTGAGGGGAGAGGGCAGCCGTACACAGGCTAGCATTAGATTTCTCTTACGTTCTCCTCGTCCGTAATCCTCTTAAAACTGACACCGGGAAAATATAAATAAAGTATCACTACCTAAATTTACTCACCGGGGTATAGTATCCTCTGATTAGCACGATCCTGTTCTTGACAGATATCTTCATTCTGTCTAGCGTCTGAAAATCATATTCACTTCCTTGATTGCAGAACACTAGTTCTCCCTCAGCCACTCCTGAAGGAGCGTATGCAATGAAGGGAAAGTATGGAAACGAGCTTTTTGATGTGCCCTGTGAATTGACCACCTGATTGAACATAATATAACATACCATCACACAACATAACATAACATAACATAACGTAGCATAAGAACTTTATTTAAGGTGTAAAATGTATTTAGCTGTACAAAATATAAGACAGCTAATTGAGAACACTAATCTAAAATACATGATAATGATTAAGAAAATATTTATTGGTCACACTAATCTAAAAATAAATAATAATACGTAACAATACATATAAAAATATATGAAATCTTAAAACCATAAAATCAGGATCTACAAAGGTCACAACAGTCATTCATTGTTTGAAAAAACAAAAAAAAAACATTTTTGAAGAAACAATTTTAGGACCAATTTATTAGGACATTGAATAAAATATGTGTAAAAGTAAGAAAAACCGTATTAGCAATTATTGGATAATACTGAGTATGATATGAGGAATTATAGAGATCGAAAACGGTATTATTCGCCAAGGCCGAAGTGCCCCGGCGGATAATATCCTCCGAGATGTCCATAATTCTCCAGATCATACGAATGCCGAATCCAATGATCGTTTTATTTTTTATTCAAAATGATTGCTAGTTTAAAACAAGGTAAAAGGATCTTAACCCGATCGATGTTTCAACATCGACTGCTAGAAAGCAAGGAAACTTCCTGTTTCTTTCCCCTGTAGGTTGGGAAGTTCAATTTAGACTAGCAGCCGAAATTTTCTTCATATAGCAGATGTCTTCCGTCGACTTGTATTCTTTCTGTTCTCAGGGGCGTAGCCAGCCCATAGACCTAAAGGTCCGGGCCTACAAATTTTGGGTTTGATCCGGCTCTACCGCTTGCAACAAAAAATTATGCGTTGTTGGGGTGAGCTAAAAAACTTAAGAGTCTTGGTGAGGTCAGTGCCTACTAGTCATACGTGCAAATTTGAAGGATACGTGTAAATGAAAGTCTGCCAGGCCTACAACTAGTCGAAAAGCTGGCTACACCCCTGGTTCTTGCTGTGTTTTTAGGCAGTAGTTCGAAACGCGTGAAATATTCGGCCATTTTGTCTTGCTCTACCACAACAACGCAACCTCGTCACCAAGCTAAGGTTTCTCGGTTGCCGTCCATTTCTCTTACTACTGAAGTCATTTTCCAAATATCGCAAAAGTGTTCAAAATTTGGTCAACGCTAGCTGATTACCAGGAATTAGCAGAGGCATTTGAGCCAATTAGAAACGGAGAAATGCACGGAATGAATAATTATATCATTTACCATTACACGCACTATAGCCTAAGCGGAGAGCCACTGCTAATTTCCCCAAGAAATGACGTTTGAGAAGCAAGCGCAGAAATTTCGTACTGATGATGCTTCACTACCCAGATCTGAGAAGTGCTTCAAAATTGCGTAAGAGTTTGTTTCATGCAATCAGAAGTATTAAGCACTACTCAGACCTGAGAAGTGACAGGTCATCAGACTGGAATTTCTGCGGTCGTTCCCCAGAGGTCATTTCACGAGGAAACCAGCAATGGCGTCGCGAAATGTCAGCTCTTCTCTCAGACTTAGTACAAATGATAAAATCGAAAGCTTACTTCAATCCGTCCAGTTATTGTGTAGTCGACTAGTCCATTGGTAACGACTTCAACCGTGTTTGGCTGGTCTTCCTGTGGCAATGACAAAAGCACTTGGTATTCTGGCATTTCTACCTCGTCGAAGCCGTATTGACGCCATTTTGATGCGATGTGGTCGGCCAACTCTTTCTGTCTTTGCGAGCCACCGACGTGGGGCTTGGATGAAAAGAACCTGGAACAATATATAACAATTAGTATATGCACACTCAGTGATGCTGCTGTTTGATCTTGCTGATTAGTTGACTATTCAACAATATTCACCTCCTAGCGAGTGGATAATGCTTGAGCTTGGTGTCTTTTCAATTTTTTTAGAAAACGATCTTCTGTTTTTCTTTCTTTCTGGCAAGAAAAGACTTTGAAGGATTCAAAACAGCGTTTTTCCATTTACTTTAGATGATTTAGTTTTTTTGCTTGATGAATGTGTATTAAAATATGAAACGGCAAGGCGATGAAGAAGCAAACGAAAGAAAAAAAGAATATATATTTTTTGTGTTATTCTTTTGTTTACTTTTTCATCGCCATGCATAAGGATCAGTTTGCCGTTTCATGTTTTTCTACAAGTTTAATTGTACTAATCCAGGTCTACAACTGGGAGATCCGGCACCACTCATTGGCTTGTTGCTGTGGACTCGCCGACATTCTATATATTTTTGAATGTGTATATACTAGTACAATTATTCTTTTCAATCTCGGCGAATAGTGCCCTATTAGAAAAACTTCGCATATATAGTTTTCAACTGCTTTCTTTTCGTATCAAGTTGTCAGATCTCTTTGAGGAAAGATCTCTTTTAGAGAAATTAAAATTGTACCACTATAACTGGGTTATTTGCTCGTTCCTATAGCTTCATTGTAGTGGGCTCGGTACAGTTTACATGCCATATTTATCAGGGGGGAAATATGTGTAAGTATAGACCTTTACACGATACTAGCCATATTCAGTGTATATTCAGTTCAGTGTATTCCAATTCCTGTTTGTAAGATATGTCACTTCTCACAGTAAAAGCAATGATTCTTTTCCATAAACGCTGCCATCTTATCGAATCTTAGGTATCTGCCCTCTCTGCCCCGCAGAGGCTCCCGCTGAGTATCCGTATAAAAATAGCAATAATCAAAAAAATAGAAAGCGCGCGGGGGACGATGGGAAGAGGGCCCTTCCCCCTTCCCACCGTGCCCCGCGCGCTCTCTTTTTCTTTCTCCCCAGCCTCCCTACAACACAAAGAGGCCTCTACGAAGGAGACAGGGTATCTGCCTATTAAAACCTCTGTACAGCTGTGATTTTCTCAGAGCACATAATTAGTGTACAGCACTCAGTTTACTTATCTTCTCTGAATGCCGGTTTACTGCTCAATTGCTTTATAAATATAATCATAATTTAACATAAAAACGCTTGCCATTCGTTGAGATAGCATAGCATTAGTTTGTATTAAAAAATCAAGCGACTGGTGTCTTTGTTCAACTACAGTAAATTTCGGATTAGGGTAAAGAAGACTAATCTTAAAAATTGTTCTGCTGCTAAACCTTGCAATTTTGAGCTTCGAAATCAGTCTTTTGAACAAAAATTAATTTGTGAAAGGTTTGAACCCAGGAGTCATTTCAAAAGTAGGTTGAGTTTTGAGTTTGATCGTCCGGGTGAACGTAGTCCTGAATAGGACTGTTGTTGCTGACAGTGACTGACGTTTCGACAACCTGTGCGGTAGTCATCTTCAGAGTCAAAAACAACAACAGTCCTATTCAGGACTACGTTCACCCCTACGATCAAACTCAACCCACTTTTAAAAATTAATTTGAGTTCTAGACCTGCCAACTCTCACGCATTATGCGTGAGTCTCACGCCTACAGACTAAAGACATTGATCTCACGCATCAAGGACAATTTTTCACGCCTGACTCACAAATCCGGACAAATTGTTCTTTAACAAATGATAAATAACGAAAATTCAATCGAAAAAGGCGCTTAAGGATGCCTTTGTGTCGCTTTTTGTGTTCTAACGACATCAAAGCAGGCTAAATATGTCCTCTTTTAAGTGCTCAACGGTCTTATCTGCGGACATTTCCGGCAACGTTCGGAAGTCTTCGGAAAGTCGCCGGAAATTTTCGGAAGTCGCCGGGACGTTTCCGGAAATTCCGGTCCTGACAAAATCTCACACATTTGACGCAGAGAAAGTTGGTCAGTATAGAGTTCGTGTCATCAGCGCTTTGACCCAGACTCATATTACGGTAAAAGAAAGAGATCTGTTGCATTTTTTACTTTTTTGGACGTAAAAGTACGGTACCGATGGAAAAAAAATCCATCTTTTAACTTTTCAAGATCGCAAATTGCAAAACGAACGAATTCTTTTTTAATAGGTTGAAGCCCAGGGGTTAAAGAGACATAACAAATTACAAGGAAAGAATCTTGAAACGTATAAATTATTTTTATCTTGTGGCACAATGTGTTTTCGCGTCGACCATAAACATGGTATTACGTGGTATTACGTGGTATTTATAGTGGGTTGTTTTCTCCTAAAGCTGTTCGCTGTCTGTTACGCTGAACTTATCGTTTTCAAGCCGTACAATAATTCTCTATAGTCGTAGATACTCGTGAACGGGTTTCCGACAAAAAATAACTCTCTAAATGGTTGTCTACAGATTTGCTTTCAGAATAGATTTTCTCGGATCATATGTCACGCAATGGTCGGCGACAAGGTTTATTGTAGCCTGTGCCTCCCTAGTCTGCTACACAGGCGTTTTTAGTGTCGTCACGCAATGCTCCTTCTGGGGAGGAGCGTTGCGTGACGACACTAAAAACGGCTGTGTAGCAGACAAGTGCCTCCCCACAGAAAAAAAATCACTACGACAGCCGATTGTTCCTATTTTAAAGACGGTGCATTTACAGCAGTTAAAAGTGATGCTAAGTTCCAAACTAGGTATGTGAAAGGGAAACCAATTGTCAAGAAAAGGTATACATGGTATACACGACGGTAACCTTTAGCTTTTCTGTTAAAAATGGTATCTTATATAAAAGCCGAGGGAAAGGGGTTCGACCTCTAAGCGGAGCCTCCCCGTTAAAACTTTTTTGAGTACCCCCGGAGGGCATTTTCAACTGTAGGGAGATTTATGATTGTCAATATTTGTGCCCCGGAAACCCCCTGACTAAAGCAAGTGTAGATCTTGAGGTGCTGCTGGCGAGACATAACAGTCAATGCACAGCGCAGAAGAATGAATTACTTTTCGTAATCACGAAAATGCAATCCGTCAAATTGTCAAGTCGATCGAATTACGACCGCTCAAGTCTAAGCCGCCGAATTATCGTTATATCGAAAAGAGCAACAGGATTGGAACCTTAAACTTTTTCTTACTGATCTCAGTACCATAAGAAAGACGGGAAGACTTCTAAAGAAGTCAGCGTTCTATTAAAACCATCGAAGGGTTTCCATTTACGCGGCATGAATATCTAATCGAATTTAGCTGTAAATAAATTATAAATTTAGTCTTCCGTTCTTAGTTTTCGTTATTACGAAAAGTGAGATAGGGTCCGGATCTTTTGATCTTAGCTTTCGAGGGTCTGTGTTCTCGTAGCACCCAACGAACCCTATATTTCCCTACCTGAGATTCTCCTTCAGCTCTTTAGTGTTCACCTCATTTGTAAAATTGTCGTCGACATCTCCAGGAGCCGACGAGAGTTTGTTATTACATGAATCCTTGAGCAGCTGTGGCAGAAAATAGCCAAGCAAAACTCCTAAAGCAGCGGCCAAGGTGGCTGTCACAACCACGAGAAGAATGAGACGTTTTCGAGGCGATTTTATGCATCCGCAAGTCTTCTTATAAGCAGTTTCTTCGTCATTAAGAGATGGTGGAACTTGAGCATCACAAAAAGAATCGGTTGCTTCGCTCGGTGATTCTTCTGTCAACTGTATCATCGACACCGACATCTTATTTTATACAAAGACTGCGTGAGGTAAAATAGAAACAACCTAGCAAGGAACTTCTATCTGTAATACGCACGGCAGCAGCTTTGACTTCACGCAAACTGAAGGGCAATAATTTGTCATAATCTAATGCAGTACCCGGAATGCCGGAACTTGAATTTTAATTTTGCAATTTGGTAATGTTATTCACTTCGGCAGGACTTTTCCGCGGGTGGCGGGTGGCGGGTGACGGGTGACGGGTAGCGGGTAGCGGGTTGCAGGTGAGGGGTAGCGGGTGACGGGTGACGGGTGGCGGGTGGCAGGTGGTGGGTTAAAAATATATATGAAAATAAAATATTATAATAAAATATTATTATTGATGATATAACTGTATGTTGTAATTTTAAAATAATTTCAACGTTTATGTACTAGATACTAGACTCCAAATAAAAGTACTGTCTTGTTTTGTTTTATCTACTTAGGCGGACTAAAAATGGGAAAAAAAACCCGAGAAATCATGCCTGTGAAAACAGTCACCTCTCCCTGCTCCGCACCGCAAGTGACGTGTCGTCAGGCTACACGCGGTGTGTCAAATGAAAATGGGCCATGTCAAGCAAGACACATGGCACGTGTCGATCTTGTTTGTCTAGTTTGCTTTTTCTTCCACATCAAGACGAAAGATGATTGCACTTCCCGAACTGTTTAGCCGTGTTTATAACAGACTGCAAGAGATTCGGCCTACCGTGTCGTAGCTCAGTTTTTGCCCTAGTATGCGGCATGCTTGCCATCCTAATCAGTATTTTTAAGTAGTATTTAAAAAATGCAGATCCTTTTTGTATATATATACAACGAGATCAATTCGCGTCCGAGACGCCACATGCGGCGAAAACGGTCCATGCTGTGGCAAAAACGTTCTTGCTCCTTCTCTAGTACGCATTAACATTGACAGCTTTGTTGCTTTGGCCTTACGAAAATTTCTTTGTTTTCTCGAAATAGACATTTTGTTCATTTTAAACTACAAGTCGGGAACCAAATTGGCAAAGATTTATCCCATGGGCAATGCAATGTTTATCCCAACTTATAACAAAAGACACTGTTCAAACATGTCGAGAAGAGAATGCGATCTTACTTGTCTGGTCGCATGATAAATATTTATGAGTTCCTCAAGCTATCTCGTGCATGCGATATCGTGTAGAATCGCATAATTAAGTAAAATCTCGCATTCTGATTGGTTAACGAAGCGAGGTATTTAGTGTGGAATTGCGAGTTGAAAACGAGGCTAAGCGATATTGTTTCGCATCTACGTAACAACTGTCGTCAAATTCTAACACAACAACATGCAAAAAAGGTTTTCTACAATGTCATTTTAAAATGTTTTCAAAACCATTCATTGTCACTTTTTGAAGAGTTAAAAACAAACAAAAGCGTTTTCTAAAGTGAGCCGGAGGTTCTTCCTTGTTTTGAACTGAACTACAGATTCTCGAAGAGACATAAAACCTCTTTCACTCGCGACAACCAGAAAACAAGAAAATCCTGTGAACACGGCCCAGAAAATGGCAATCCAAAGTTCAACCAAACAAAACGGAGAAGCGACAACGGAGGAAGTGCCGGGGTCGATTGTCCCATATACAGAAGAAGAAATAAATACCTTCAAAGAGGACATGGCCCCTGAAAACACGAAAAAGAGTACGCCGCTTGCAATCGTCCTGAATCGTGGTACTTAGAAAAGTACAAAACAGAGCTGAACTTGAACAGCATTTCTAAAACATTTCAAGGTACTTACCTTATGTCAATCGCGACGTTAAACATGTTAAACTTTCAGTGCTTTCGCTTGGACACTTGATTTCTTTCAGTTTTGCCGCCGAAGAGGTAAAAGGTGTAAATTATTTTCCTTCTCGAGCAAATGGCCAATTTGAAAAAAGACGTTCTACATAAACGGCTTCTAAATTCAGTAAAATACCTCTATTTATCCTTACGATTAGTGTGAAGCTTGTTTACATGTAAAAAAGTTTGAAAACAAATGTGAAAACAAGTACAAGGTACAAAAAAAGTTGTCGAAGGTTCAAACGTGTACGACTGACCTTGCTTCCTATTCGCTAACGCAATGACAGTTCTGACAGTTGACTTTGAAATGGCTTTCTGGAGCGCGCACTCAGGATAAAAACAAACAATATTATTGCTGTTTTCTTTTTTTTCTTCTGATTTTTATTCAATTATGCGATTCAAGGAAAATTCATTACCTGACTCGAGAATTCCACGTTAAATTGCACTTGAAAACCGATATCGCACTCATCGCTTCGCGATTCGTGCGATATCGGTTTTCGCGTGCAATTTAACATGGAATTCCCTCGTCAGGTAATGAATTTTCCTATAGAATAATACTGCTAAAATATCGCTTTTTGTAATGTTTAGTATTTGCTTTCTTTTTTTGGTTTCCCCTTTTTATGTTTATTTTTTTATTTTTTGCGGCCTGATCCACCACCCGCCACCCGCTACCCGTCACCCGCTACCCGCTACCCGCCACCCGTCTACCCGCTACCCGCCACCCGCCACCCGCCACCCGTCACCCATCACCCGCGGAAAAGTCCTGCCGTATTCACTTAGCCTGTCATATGTTCGGCGTTTTCTTCGTTATCTTGATCAGCCGACAGGTGGATTCGTAATTTTCGAATACGCTAATGGATTTCAATCAACCTTGCGTTAAAGAATCCTTAAAACGTTAGCACTGTACGATATATTGCATCTGAAAATTGTGTATTGCCCAGGCTAGTATTGTCTTTGATGTTGTGTGTCACGCAATATGAATGGTTATCATTCTGCCTCAGGCTCTGTAGGATCTCTGGAATCGTATAAAGGAAATCTGGATTCCGGAATCCAGGTAATTTTCGCTTGTGGAATCTGGATCCAGTGAAGTCTTGTTTGTATAATCAGGAGTAGTGGACTTTGGAATTCGGAAGACAGCTCAAGGAATCCGGATCCCCCTAACGACTGGAATCCAGAATTCAAGTTCCACGTAAAAAAGACTAGAATCCTAGGGCCCGGTAAGCTGTCTCCCTTTGCATGAAAGATCGAAGTTTCAATAGTTTTGCATCTCACATGATAAAACCATCAGGTAACGAAACAAAATAGAGTACTTTGCTGGCCAGGACCCGCGCTCTTATTCTTTTTATTTCGATTTGGATATTTGATTCCGGGCCCGAAACGCTACGCGACTTTCGAGAATCGGGCCAAAGTACCTGGAATCCGGAATCCATGGCATGGAACGCCAGAATCCAGGACTGTCTTGTGTTCCCTTACTACATGGGGCGATGTGTCAAAGGGCGTTGGCTAGACGCGCCTTTTCTCGGGAAAGTTCGCAATCCGCGCAAATATTATAACAGACAGAGCCAAACGCTTTGCTGAGGCCGACCGGCACGACGGCAACATTACTTCGCTAGGAGGGTGACAAGGCTAGTCCAGTTTCGTAAGGAAATGTAGGAGTTGACACGCCCTCTCATGTTTCCTCAAGGTAGCTCCGGTAGGCAGGTAGTCACTATCTGTCCGAGAGGAGAGATGGTGACGTTGGCGGACAACTTCTCGTCATATATAAACGGTTCCTAAGAGTGTACGGCCAGGTGAGAGATATGAACTGCAACTGATAAATATAAATCTTCACCTTGCATGTTTTGGAAAAATAAGGATATCGTAGTGGGGGCAAGCTCTCATTTAATTCATGGATTTCATACTCTTGCAGACACGCTAAAGAAAAAGTGAGACTGGGAACTTTTTTTTTTTTTAGATTTTGGGTTTAACAACCTGCACCATATCCCTGGTAACACACACTGCTTTACACTAAGAACATTAAAATCAAGAGACCAAAGGCGTCTTTTGGGTCAGCGAGCGGTTGCTGGAGGGTACACGTACGATTAAAGTACTTCTGTTCTTCAGCATTTAGCCTTCAAAGATAAATTTTATTCACTTAGCGACTAGTCATTTTTACGTCGATTTTATTTATTTACGAGGATATTTTTTTACATTTTATTCAGTTTTTCTAAACCGCTCTCTCGTAAACTCAATGCCTCTATCTCTTGCTACTTTAGGGGACCACTGGAATTAATATTGCTCTGAAGAACCTCCACGCTTGCTTTTTTTTCTGAATGAGTTGAATCAATATCGGTAAGTTGTAATCTGAAAATCCTATCCTCTACACATCCTGCGTGCTCGATAATTTCTGCAAGGATAGCGATGAAAACAACAACCTGGGAGTCGTCGGAGTCTCCTTCGGGTGCTAACAGGAACAAATGTTCTCCTTCTTATGCCTCCACATCGACGGTGCTTACAGTGTCCCGGCTTCCTCCGTCTCCGCTTATCTCGACCCCGCCTGTTTTGACCACGCCAGCCTCGGCTAACCATTCCCCCTGTTCTCCCGGGAGGAAGGCGTCGAATGACCTTACGGATCACTCTTCTAGGCGTACCAGGCTTAAAACGCAGTGGCAGGGGATCTGACTTACGATTAAGAGTTTCAAGCGCAGATTCATCGTTTTCGGCGTCTTCGCTCACATCTTCGTCCTCTTCGTTCTCATCGTCATCTTCTTCGCTTTCTACATAATCTTCAGGATCCTCAAGAGTTTCCACGTCTGCGGGTTCCCTGTTAACGAACACAAGGTCATTCTGTTGCAACAACGGCAATTCGATAGAGTTCTTGCGCACTCCGTAGCCTGCGTGCAGACGTCTCCTATTTCGTTTGTTTCACGCGGCAGAGTGACGTCTGCCTAACGTGCGCCTCTCTTAATCCTTCAACATATCTTTTCAGTGTGCATCAAAGAAAAAAGGACACGTGAACATCTGCACGCAGGCCATGCACTACACTGTAAAAGTGTTGACATACTCCTTGGTTGTTATTTGTTAACTATTGATATGTACAAGGGATCCGGCCTCGTCCTAAGACCAGTCTGTTGTTGGGAGTAATTTTTTCTGACCGAACAAAACTCCCCGAATCACTCCCTTATTCTAGCAATAAGAAACACACCTGCCCCGTGATTACAACTAACCACCATGCGTCGAAGGTGAAGATATTTTGACCCTTAGTAAGACACTAACTCAAAACGTATTTAGAACTTATCTCGATTAGCAATAAACACAGTTTAACTGCATGTTGAAACTTAAAATTTGTCAGTGCAATTTGTAATCTTGAAAGATTACATAGGTTGATGGTAGGGATCATAGAATTTTTGAAAAATCTTTAATCTTTACTGAGGAAACCCCTTACTTGCTCATTAAGAACTAATTGCCTTGTCTTGTGGCTGATAAATGCAACTTTTTTGGTTCCGGGTGTGTTATTCCGAAATGGTCCTTAATTGTCCTTACACCTTAAAATCGTTTTCTTTTTTTAATTCATTTTTCAACTGTTTAAAAACTGAATTTTTCAGATGTCTAATTTTTCAGACGAAGGAACAAAAAGTTAACCGGTTAATCGTAAATGCAACCAGGACCATAAAGAGCATAAGTTTTCAGCTCCTGCTAGAAGGCTGGGGTATATTTGATGGGTGAGATGACACTGAATACGGCATTATAATTAGAAGAAGATAAGCAGCAATAAAGTACAATAAAGATAGCCGAATGAATGAAAAATTTAATCAGATACCGGATTGACGTCTATCGACGAAAATTAAGGGAAAACAATTGAATACCAGACTTGTGCATGCGGGCCAAGTGACGTTTTGTTATTTTTTCAAGGCAAACAGTAAAAACAGCGAAAGCGCCGCAGCCTTCAGATAACTTACCTCTCTGAAGAAACTCCCTGTTCGCGATATTTTAACTCGTCTCTAGGAGCTCCTTCCTCGCCTTCGCTTGGCGAAGACGAGACGCTTGTGCCAGCAAGAGCCAAGCTGATGGCTGTCAGTAATACAAATGCGTTCATTGCTTTAAGAAATTAGCTCCCTTCTTGAATTTTATCCAATTTATACCTCTCTTTATGTGTAGATATTACCCATGTTCTGTAGTTATTGATGCGTTGCTCTTCGCATATCGCATATTGCACGTTCAGGTTATTTCAGTTAGTTTCATCCAGTTTCAGAACACATATTATACAACAAAATGGTTGAGAAGATCTTATATCATTATCACTACGTGTTGAACAATTTAAACAGTCACTCAAAAACCCATATCGAGGTACAAAAATAAGTGCTATTGTGCTATTCACGATATGATGGATTTCTGTTAGTTATACTGTATCACTGCCATTTTCAAATAAGGTATTTTTTAACAATAAATAATTGGGCAGCATATGATAGCTACCAAAGAAGAGTTGATTCACACACAGAGGATATTACGTGGCCGCGCGGGGATACGAATTTTAGCAGGAGAAGATAAAATTCGTATCCCCAAGCGGCTATGTAATGTGCTGTTTATTTTATAGATACTGATGAAATCCCTACATAAAACACAGCTTTTTTTTTTATTCATTTTCGAAACTGCAAAATAGTGCAATTAAAGCGGTCACCTATCGCAAAATGCCTGTCACAAAAATGTTATGAAACTCGGATATAAAGTTATAAAGGAGAAATAAAGACAATAATACTTATAGTTTCTGTTCCGAAAAGTCAAAATTCTAATCATGTTGGCTAATCATGTTAGTAACCATGGCGACACCAATATCCTCACACGTGCAAGATAAAAATAGTATCTTCACTGCGCGCGATGAAGCTATGATTTTTTTCTAAAAGGAAAAATCTTGGTATTTCATCATTATCTATATAATAAACATGCATCTGAAGCCACCTACATTGCCAACCGGAATTTTCATCAAAAGTAACATACATTTTTCTCCTAAATAAGGGAAATACATAGTGGATAAACCAATTGTTCCTTCTTAGTTATTCCGGAATAAGGATTACTTTCTTTCTGATAATTAAATCAATCTCCCTCCTCTCATATTTACTATAGTGCTATAGAACATAACATGCCATTTACCTGCTGTACTAACGTAAAACTATTTTAAGACGCTCTGCTTAAAAAATAACACCTCCCACGCCACAGCCTTAAAAGTATAATAATATTGTCACTCGACTAGTTGATCAAGTGAAGAGATTTACGATCTAACAATAAATGGTTGCCGTAGAGTGTTGATAAGAACTTTTTAAACAGCAAGACCGGTTTCGGAAATCTAAGACGGTTTCCTTCGTCAGTTGCTTAGTGGTGCTCAGTCGTGGGGTTGCCAGCAAAAGAGAAAAAGAGCTCGTGAGTATGAATAGACCTATCGAAAAGGAAGTTGTTCAAATAGAAATTGGCGAATTAAATTGGGAAAATTCGAAACGTCGATATGCGATAATCGTTCATCTGGAACTGAAAATTCATGTAACAAAGTGCAAATCTTAATTTAGGAAGGTTTTATGAAACAAGCTTCCTTTAACATTTTTGGTTGACTCTCCGAACCTAAGGCCTGTGCCAATACCTGACCTTACTTGGTCAAAAATAGTCATGAATAGTCTCCAAGGGTAGATCAGACGAATGTTCAATACCGAGGAGGGTGGGTTCAACCCTGTTTTTTTCTTTTCTGGCATCTTATGGCAGGTAAACCGTTCCTGGACGACAGTTGTGTGCTAGGGAAATATAAAGAACATCAAATTATAGCTTAGGCTTGATGCTTTTAGAGAATAAAGCATCATCTTTATAGGCCCAGGACAATCACTAAGGACTAGAGGACTGCCGCCCGGTTAGCTCAGTGGGATAAGCGCCGGTCTGCTGAGCGGGAGGCCGTAGGTCCCGTGGGTTCAAACCCCGGCCGGACCAACACTCCGGGTCTTTAAATAACTGAGGAGAAAGGGATGCCTTTGTAATAACATCTGCAAACGGTTAGATTTTCTAGTCTTCTCGGATAAGGACGATAAACCGTAATCCCCGTCTCACAAGCCCTTGCACATGTATTAAATCTGTGGAACGTTAAAAAACCCACACACTCCGGTGTAGTGGTCTATCTCACTTTCACACTCATGTGTGGGGGCATCATTACTCATTTCTTCATTACTTGTAAACTGCACCTTAAGCAGTCTGGCAAAGTCCCCCAACCAGTGTTGTAAATTATCCCTGAAAAGCCCTGATTAGAGTGCATAATAAGATATTTACAATTTACGATTTTAAACAAAGTCTCACATGAGTGATCCTCGATCCCCGACGATGAAACAGCATTAAGTTCGAAACAAACACCGTAAGTTCGAGAGTTAAAACTCCCTGATAAACAAGAGTGGTGAATAATAAACTAGAATGGTGAAGGAAGTTACTTAGAAATTGAGTTTTAGCCAACTATTTTACATTGTCTTTTTGGCGTGGTTCAGTAAGTTCGATACCTGCTTAAACAAGTATAAAAGTTCCCATATGCTGGAATTTCAGACGATGTTTATTTAGCTTGCGCCCACGAGAAATATGATGTCGTCAAATTTATTAGCGTTTCGAGCTATTTTCCCTATTTTCGTGGTCTTGCTTTGCGAAGATGTAAAAGGATACACTGACGAATATCTTAAGCTTGAAAACTGCTCCAAATCTGGGATAAAAGGCTGTTACAAAAGAAACGATAGTTTGGCTTTGTGCTTTGAGATAAGACCAGGATTTCTACAACTGACAGACAAGAAAAATAATATACTGGTAGCATATAGAAAATTGCCAACCCAAGGATTTCATGCTCAAGTTCTCGACGACCATTTATTGTGGTAAGCAATGTCATACTTTTTACCTACAAACCCCATTTTCGTTTTCCAGTGGATAAAGTATTTTAAAATTAGTTTTCTTTGAAACGAGATAGGACCTGTTATTTTTCACAGCTTTATTTCTAATTACAGAACAGGTATAACATTAACGTTCAACCGTTATTCTGAAACTATTTATAATAAGCGCCAGTCTTTGGAGATTAATCCTGATACTGCGGTGAATTCTTTTGAAACTTCACGGAAACATTTGTCTTGTTGAAAAGTCTAGCTTCTCTTGAGAACGATAATCATATCTATGTCATTTTGTGATATTGAAAACAGTTTGAATCAGTGCAAACCTCTCGGGTTTGTTGAAAATCAACATTTCGAAACATTGAGATTCTTTTGAGAGATGAGGGGCTTAAATGAACATCAACAACAGTTTTGTTTCTTTTTCCAATATACAGGCATCATTCAGCAGCAGAGCCCTTGTTCATAAGACCAGGCAAGACGACAAAGACCACAACAGACGGAAAAAATCACGTTCTCCGTGATTTGACACCCGATGCCGAGGAAATATCCCCCGCTCTGTATCAGAAAGTAATGGGAAAACTTCTTGGAAAAAAAGAAATGGAACTCCTAGAGCGCGCTTCACACGCTTTGCACGACACTGCAAAGAACTATAACATAACCAAACTTTTCCACGTGTTTTCCATGAGCTTTCTGGCAGATCAAGATCGGAATACACTTGCGCGTGATCTAATAACCGCTGACTCGAATCGCCACAGGTGCAAGAAACATGATGACAACGAAAAACGAGGTTCCTGCAAAGACATGCGGAGGGATCCCTATAATGACGACTGTCTGGGGATGTGTGGTCCTAAATGTCGTTGTTGGTCAATAATTTGTGATAACTGCTGCTTTCATAAAGGCTGCTATGAACATGACCGGTGCTGCCGTCATAGGCATTTGTCTGGGTATTGCTTGCTTCCATTTTTTCATAGCTTCAGTTGCAAACGTTTTGGAGGGTACCCTGCTTGCCTTAAGGCTCATTAATCACTTACTCCTGTTGTTTTCCGCATTACGAGGACTATTAAAAGTACCTTCACTGTTGCAAACTGACCTTAAATTTAAAAATGAATTTAAAAGTACCTCAAGGTTTCAGGATGTGTGTACGGAGTTTTGCTTGTTTAAGGCCAATTGTGTTTTTGACGTCGTCTCTTGTAAGTCGTTATCGTAGCTGTTAGTGAGATTTATTGTCGGAATGAAAGATGACAGCAGTTTGACAAGTTTTATTCAACGTGTAAGTTATTTTAAGAGGAAACCGTTTACTTAATGCATTTTGGTAAATAAAATTTAAAATAAGCACATTTTGTCAGAAAAAGTTCATTTGTGCTTTTTATCGAGTTCTTTTACAGTCAAATTTTTTGCTCTATTTATGGGCAGCCAAGAAGTAACTAGATACCCCGCGAGACACATCGATCTTGGACCAGTGAACGTACGTTCGGTTGCGAAAGGATCTGGGTATGTGAAAGTGACAACCTCTGACTTAATAGGGAGCTGATGATGATGATGATGATACCTTTTGTAAAAGTGTCAAAACTATAAAAGCGGTGTACAACCACTCAGTGGGAACACTAAAATAAGTTGAAAAACAATAAATCAATAAATTAATTAATTGAAAACAGAATATAAGAATTAAGAAATTACGAACTTAAAGACCTTAAACAACGACTACGAGAACTGGAAAAGAGAAATGGATTTATATTAGCAAAACAACAACTCTGCAAGAGCATCACCCTTGTTTGGATACTCCTTCGCCGATGATACACAACTACAACTTAACACTTCCTAATTTCGCGTTTTGCGGAAAAACTGGACTCACGCCAACGATCTCCTCTTTCTTTTTCTGGCCTTAGCTTCAGTCCTTTAGGATTTAACTCCAAAAAAGTCGCTAACATTTCACAAATGAACGAGATGGAGTAAGAGGAATGAAGTCAGTTACAAACAGCGCAAATTCACTTTTCTAAAGTGACGTTTTTGCGCCGTCGTTGTCATGGTTGCTTAAGTTCCCAAAGGGCCCTTGTGGTGTTCAAATTGTCTGCAGCGACAATACGTATACATTGAGGTTGCCAAGTAACCAGCAAGAAAGCAATTGACTCAGCTATCCCTTTCCCGCCTCCATCTTCAAAGTCAAGAGCTTGCTCGTAGGTGCCCTGGCAAGAAACTCAAAGTCTTGTGTATTTTGTTGTGTAAAATGAAACGAAATTTCTCCGCTTCGAAAAAAGTTCAGAAACGGCTGATTTCCTTTGCGCCTTCTAATTAAAACGCGTTTTTTATTTCTTGTATCAATATTCCCGAAATAATAGCAATGATAATAAAAATAGTTTCCCAAATCTTTGCTCGCTTGGTAAACGCGGCAAGGAACCTGGTGAAGAGGTAAGTTGAAGATCCAATTTTGAGAAAAAATTCATTATTGTCAGGTAATTCATGGAGACTGGGTCCAGCGTTCTACTCTACGATTTCTGGAATCATCCCAGCAACGTCAACTCAGTTCATATATTTAGTAATCCGAACAGTCACAGTAATTTCAACGTCAATACCTGGCGATGTCTCTCAAAATTTCCTTGTGCGATAATTACGCAATTTTCATTAAAAAAAATCTTATTATAAAACTTCATCAAACTGTGGCTAAAGCCTTTTTGGCTAACTGGTTAGATCTCCATTTAAGATACGAGCAATCAGGAAGCTCCTTCCGACTGTAGGCCTCCGTGTACGCTGTCAAACCCGATATCTTTTCGTTTCCTCTCTGGAACTTCTCCTCTGGTTTCATGCACGTTCGCGGACGTCCACCTTCGGCGCCTTTGAAGTCTTGATTGGTAACGGATCCGTCTTGATGGAATTTTACGGCAGGCTTCTGGTAGAAGCTGGTCTCGTGGAAATCCCCGTATCGAATGTAGGGGACTGTCCCATGAGCTTTAAATTGCGCGTTATAAGCGGTTTCGTCAAAAAACTTTGCCTTGCTTGGCGCAATCTTCGAAGGGGGTCTTATCTTTGTCACTTTGACCGGCTCTTTCTGTTTAAAATCTTCTTTAGTGATTGTTGTGGTGGCGAATTTCTTATCTGCCGCAGCGTATTCTCCATCGTCGGGCTTCAAAATTTTGGTGCGTTCGATCTTGCTTGGGTCCCATGTGATCTTGTAAAACTTCTTATTGGTTGTCTCAAAATCCTGAGAATTGTTCATAGCCAATCGGAGTGTCGCAGGGGGAGGTGAAATGGGTTTTGGCGGTAAGGGCATCTTCCCGCCAAAACCTGGGAAGTCACTCTTCGCTTGAGTGTCGTCTCGAAATTTCGCACGCTTCTCGGTCTTCAATGTCGGTTGGCGAACCTTTGCTTCTGGTCTTGCGTCATTTCCGGGGGTCTTAAATTCGTCTTTATGGACTGTCCGTAAAAAGTGATCTCCTTCAATACCAATGGTCACCTGAGATTGCTTCGGTTTAAACGCTTCCGGTCTGGCTGCGAACTTGCCACGGTACACGTCTTGGTTCCATGTTTTAACGTCATATTTGCGGTCTTTTTCAGGATAAAGAATGGACCCCGTATAGCAGGGTAGCTCTCCAAATGGTGCGTTTGGGCTGGGCACTTTTGCAGTAAACGTTTCGTTGTGTGTGGTCGCCGACTGGAATTTGAGGCCCTTATTTTGTGTAACAGTCTGAGGCCGTTTTATTTTTACCACAGTGGATGGTCCCCTGTCGATAAAGTCTTGAGCATAAACCGTCTTTCCATCAATTTTCTCTTCTGGTTTTTTATAATCTTCCACAAACTGTTGAAATAAAAAAATATTAAAACAACATATTTTGTAGTATATAAAGCCGAGTCAGGATTCTACAGTCCTATTTTAGATGGGCAGTCACTATGGAATTTGGTTACCGCAATTCCCTAAAATTTCCACCTTTTAAAAGATGACTCAACTAACTAGTCATCCTCACAAAATTTGATTTCAACCAGCAAGAAAGAACTTAGACACCTACACAGCAATGCGGGTTTCAGAAGCAATTATATACATCTGTCACATCACCATTTTCCAAATCGGTGGATAGCAATTCTCGCGCTTTGATTGGGATGCAATTTAGAAAGGTGAGTTAAGATGGCGTCTCGCGTCGGAAAGAAAAATTTTTTAACAATAAATAAAGCAGCTATACCAGCAAATACCAAGAAAGCCACGAAAATTGGCCTGTGTCAGGGTTTACAAGTAGGTAGAAAATTATCTTCTGAAATGGCAATGGCAAGCACTGTCGATTAAAACGTAAATGAAGAGTCTTTTATTTACCAAAAAAATACTTATCCATTTCTATCCAACGGCTTTAAAAGTAAATACTTAATAAAGAACTATCCCCCTCCGGGTTGGTAACGTGTGCTATATCTATACCTCAACGGGGGTTGGTCATCAAAATCATCTGTGAAGACCATGATCAATGCTCACACTGACCTCAAAACAGTTTATCATTAGTTCCATACCTTACACAGTCCTTGAGGTTCTGGCTTTCGCTCAATGAAATCCAGTCTCTGCACTGTCCTAAAATCCATCGGAGGAGGATTGGGGTTTCTTAGTCGAGGCAGCGGTTTCCTTGGATTACGTGGTTTGGAACCTTCATGAAGCGTGTAGGTATGTTGATAATCTGTTTTGACGTCAGACATACCTGGCCTCTTGAACACTTGTTTTATCCTCTGAGGGTTCTTGGTGCAACCTTCATGGCGATGGTACCCCCTAAGAAAAGATGAAAAAAAAGAAATCATTCCCTGATTACAGTCCTCTTACCCGCAAAAAGTGAAAACCCTTTTCGGCCTCGTGTCTGCGGTAGTCTGAGCTTCGTTTACCTATCAATTGACGAAAATAGCAAACGTGTATTTTTTGAATTTAATACATGCCGCCACATAACACAAAATCAAACAGAGAAGGACTCTCTCCTTCTTTCCAGAGACCTCTTACACGACTAACTTGATAGCCACGCTCTTTGCAGCTTGCAGTCATGTGACCTTTTCAATGTCAGAATTATGGGACATAACTTAAACAGTATCAGAGTATGAAAAAGTATGTGGAAATTAGCTAAATTTTAGAAAGGTTATTTTAAGGTGACTGACACAAACGAAAACTAAGAATTAGATTTTCTTAAAGCCCGTTTCCGGCGGTTTCCACTGGTTTAGCCTGTTCACAAAGCCGTCGAGTTTATAAACCGCGGGGGATTTCCACCGGCGTTGGTGGGGAAGAAGAAAATAGATTTTTCTTTCTCGTTCACAGACCCTCCATTTTTCGCGCGCTCGAAAAGAATCTGTCGTCTGTGCGCCACCGCTGGTTAAAATAAAACGTCTTTACTGGTCCGCATTTACCAGCGACTTTTTCAAATCAAGCGAATTTTTTTTATTCAAACCAATTCCTGCATTTTAAGGAGTCTAAAACCATAACTTCAAGTTCAGAAAAGAAAAAAAATTACGGGGCCTCAAAGCACATTAGGGAGTTTAAGATATCAAGACGGTGGCGGCCACCAACGTCGCTAAAAAAAAAGAATTTGCGTTCTTTCAATCTCTGTCGCGATTTTCCCTTTATTTGTCAAGTGCAAGTGAATGTTTTTGAAGAAAGAACCATAAGTTCAGAAGACGGCTGTCGATGCACCTCCTCCAGAAAGTTGGCATTTTGTCTATTTCAACCTATTGCTGATTTTGCACGTTCTTCAACCTTTGTCGTTTGCCGTTCTCGTTGTCGTCGCCGTCGTGTGAGTCGTGGAATGGGACATTAATCCCTCGCTCATAGTTTGCCTCTTTCTTTGCGCCCGCCCTGTGATTTGATCCTTTCCAAACCTAGAGCCCGGTCCTAGGCTGATCTCGACTAACCCACTATTGAGGGCTTTTTGTTTTTCACTCACTTCAGGTCTCCACCTAGGTGGAGTTGTATCCCATAATTTTGGCATGAGATAGGTCACGTGCAGCGGAGCTAAAAATACACCTGCCCTAATCAAAGTTACCAGAGCGCGTGGCACAGAAAAAAATTTTAATTAAAAAGTAACTACAGTTGACTTAGCAGTTCGTAGACCACAACAAACAAACTGTACTGGTCTTAAAGCAAAAAAATCTGACTCGTTTTGTCAGCGTATTATATGCTTGTTTTTCAATCAGTTTTAGACGAGAAGACTAAGGAGCTGTCCACACGGGAACCAGTGCCTGGGTACCCGCACAAAATGGTGTTGTGTTCACACTTTGAGTACCGGATATGCGACTGGGTACATAGTTACTCCATGTAACCCTGTCAGACGCCATTTTGAAACATGCGATTAGCAGCGAGAACAAAGCAGTTGACTGTCCAGAACTTACAAAAATTGTGTGCCCACTTTTGTGCCCCGATCGCATAGGGACGCGTGCCCGAATTCTAGCGTAGGTTTTATTCGATTAACCGCCCTGAAATTTTTGGACCTTGAGTCGCGCTTATTCGAGGTGGGCGTTTATTCGAGGCTGGGCACCGACACCATTCTCAGCAAGTGTAGTAGTATATTTTACAACCAGACAGTAAATGGTACCAACAAAAAGTGAAGATGTAACAAAGCAAGGTTTCTGTAAAATACTCTGAAGAAAACTCCGTCTCCGGGAAGGTCTCTTATTATCTCTTATTGCAGTTATTGTGGGAGGGAGTGGGGTGGGGTGGGCGCTTATTCGAGGCTGGGCGCTTATTAACTTTTTCTGCCTTTAGCATGGGCGCTTATTCGAGGTGGGCGCTAATTCGAGGTTGGGCGCTTATTCGAATAAATACGGTACTTGAAAAAAGGCGTGTTCACATTAGTGCCCAGCGAGTACCGTACTCGGGCACCAAGTATGAACGCTGCCTAACTGTAAACAAGAGTCACATTTTGGCTCTTGGTGTAAACAATCGGAACAAATGAAAATACTTTGAAAGATATTTATAAATTAACTAGCGAATGCGGTAAAATTATTTTAGCTTCACAAGCGAAACGAAAAATAGTTCTCTTTCTTTTTATGAGTCTTTTTTTTTTCGTTTCTATAACACGATAATCGATTTAAAAATCAGTATTTTATCCACCGTTTTTCTTTATCTTAAAATGGTCTTATGGGAGGCGTACATTAATGTCTCAGTGTTGCGTGATCTGATCACCCGCAGATGTACCGTTCCTCTCCACCCTTCCATGCCTGCGTCTTATGTATTGAAATAATTTAAAACGGGATGTTGCCAAAAAACAAAAAGCTAGGATGTTGTCCTTAGGAACTAGAGATGTGTATTCGTATCCTATAAACGAAGACGAGTCCGACCAGCGTTGATTAACCGCGGAGAATAGAAATTTGTTGAGTGTTGCTTTCACTATATATGTTTTTGATACATTGCAATCATAAAGCCAAAAGAATGCCTTTTACTTCGTTTTGATAAAATAAAATGCATAAATTTAGCTAACTGCAAGAAGTTTTATGGAAACAGCTAATTATTGTTTTAGGGAGATAAAAGAAATTAAAAGTCTGCCGCGGTTTGTTTACTGTTTATTGCCAAAACGACACATAATGTGAGAAGAAGGAGGACGCCAAAACCTTACTTAAAATTTTCACACATCCGCCGAAATGTTATTTCATCTATTCATTGATTAAAGAAGTAACAGAATTTCTATAATCACACAGCAACAAAACAGCTGCAGAAAACGAAAATGTGTCGAATAACGCGCGTCTGTAAGTCGTAAGTCATGCTTTTTTTAGTAACTCACCCGCAATCGCATAACTCGCAGACACATTTCAGTCCCTTCTCTCGCAAAAGGTTCTCTGTTTCAGCTGTATATTGTCTTCGTAGAGCCATGTTTTCTTTCCTCTGAACCTGAAGTATTAGAGTCGGAATTTTGATCTGTTAGCAGGAAACAAAAGAGCTCCCGTTTACCAAAATAGTGTTCTTCTGTCGCTTTTAACGCACGCGATTGTCTCTGAAGAATGGCAAATTAGGGGTTTTACATTCAACAACATTCATCATTTATACCTTACCAGGATTACTTGAAAATCGCTCTTATTTGTGTAGGTTAAAATGAAAAAATCATTCACAAGCTACCCGCATCATTGAAGCGAGGTGTTGTGACTTGCAACGTTTACAAGAGTTGGCCATTGCTATTGACAACGGACAGATTAATATGAATATCATGAATAATAGTTCATTTTCGGATATTCCCTTGAGTAAATAAAACGTCAAAATGGAAAGAAATGATTGGTCATTGTGTGAAGTACTTATTGTTTAACCATATGGAATCTGATATAAAATAATTACTTTGTCAAATATTAAATTTTTTAATTGTTCTTGACACATCAGATTATTGCCCCAGGCGAAAATGTTCGTTCAACTCCGCAAGAGGTCGTAAGCTTTCGTTTACTTGTCGTTGGCCGATGATTGATCACATGTTTCTCACGAATTTCCCGCGTAAAACAAATATGGCGGACGATCAAAACTACAGATCCTCTTTTGAGAGATTGCTTGCCGTAAGAATACTCTAATTTTACCAAGATACACTTCTTCAGTTCCGTGTGCAATGAATCTACTGCCTTCGTCAACAGTTCGGTTAATCGCGAGTTCGCAAGTGATTACCTCCGTGAGCTCGGCAGTCAAAGAGCTCATCGAGAATTCGCTTGATGCAGGGGCAACAAGCATCGAAGTTAAACTGGTGAGTGAAAAGATTAGGGAAATCTCGCACATCTCCGAATATTATTCCTATATGCAATGCTTAGATACCATTCCTTGGGGAATAAGAAAAAGCGGATAAGAAAATTTTTCTCTTCTTCTGCTACATGTATAGGAAAAATTGCTATTTTTAATCAAACATCAATGAGATCAGAGTATTTTTGTCTTACATGTACATGTGTTTCAGGATAGATGGGGATTGGAAAGAATAGAGGTTCGTGACAATGGATGTGGAATAAAACCTGAAGATGCCCCATTTGTGGGTGAACCCCATTATACTTCAAAAATATCAAACGATGATGATCTGAAATCTCTTCAAACTTATGGGTTCCGTGGTGAAGCCTTGGGATCTCTGGCTTCAGTAAGCAATGTGTCTGTTTTAACCAAGACAGAATCTGATGAAGTTGGCATGCTGTATACTCTGCAACGCAATGGTAAAATAGAGGCAACCCAGCCTAAACCAACTGCCACTGGTACGACTGTTGTAGCATCAAATTTATTCAAAAACCTTCCTGTGAGGAAACAGTTTTCCAGCAACAATAAAAAGTGCAAAGAAGAGTTGAAAAGAGTTGAGGATTTGGTGATAGCGTATGCGTTAGTGCACCCTTCCCTGCGGATTTCCTTGCGTCACAATAAGACTGTCATCTGGCAAAAGAGTAAAGTTTCAAATCATAAAACAGCTCTGTTGTCTGTTTTTGGAACTGCATTATTGGCACAAATGGGAACAATAGAATTTCATGACGAGAGCCATTGCAACATTCGTGTGCTTGGGTATCTTCCCAAACCAGGGTCTGATTCAGAGCTTACTGGACGTGCAGTGAATGATAGATGTTTTGTCTTTTTTAATGGACGGCCTGTTAATATGAAGCAAATATCACAGGTAAGTTTAATGATGCACATCTTTTGTGCAATCCTAAAATGACTCTATTGAACAATCTCTGTACAGCTGTACATTGTATAGTACAGTACCAAAACAGCCTAATTGCCACAACTTCAAGGGCTTTTCTGACATATTCAACACACTTTTTTTTATGCAGTTACACCCTGGCAGTTGTACAGAGAAAATGAGTGTTACTTTAGATTAAAATATAATACGTACATACATTACATACATATAGATACATACATATATTTATTCAAATAAGCGCCCAACCGCAAATTAGCTCCCACCTCGAATAAGCGCCCACCCCCACGCCACCCCCTTTCACCTCCCAACCAAAAAAAAATTGAATAAGTGCCAATAGGAGACTTCCCCGAAGACAGAGTTTTCTTCAGAGTATTTTACAGAAACCTTCCTTTGTTACATCTTCGAGTTTTGTTATTACCATTTATTGTATTGTTACAAAATAAATATAATAAGCGCCCAGCCTCTAATAAGTGCCCACCAGAGCTTAGTACAGTGTATCAGGTAACTTGTGCCACAGATGAAACCAACTATCCTTGTTGTGGGCCCCCCAGCTGTGTACCAGGATGTGAAAGTACACTATTGTTGGCCATTATTTAAAATTCCTTTGTTGATTTTTCAGCAACGCTGAAAGGAAGTTTTTGAAACACCCTTCCAGAATTTTTTTTGTGTCTGTTGCAGGCCCTAAACAAGGATCTCTCCACTACTTTGCCAACATTACTAGCCAGGTTAGATTATGTACAGTACACTGTATAGGAAACAGGCTAAGAATTGGGATACCTCTCTTTTACCACAGGTGATCAAGCAGTACTACAACAGTCACACAACTGGTGCATCAAACAGATATCCTGTTGCTTTTCTGGACATTACAGTTCCTCCAGATGGCTTAGACGTCAACCTTGAACCTAACAAAACTAGTGTTTTGTTGACAAACAAAGAAGAAGTCATGACTCTGTTGACCAATCTGTTGGAGGAATTTTATTCTGATGAAAAGAACAAAATTTCTGACAGAACATTAACTGGAACCCATACTAGCAATGGTGCTGAAAAGGGAGATTGTCCTTCACAGAATGAGTGTGGTATTACTGAAAATGTTTGTAATGGGAATGTTCGTGGTATACATGTAAGGTCAAGTGGAATTGCAAATGCAGTTGGTGAATGTAGTGTCACAGAGGCTTGTAGGCCAGCTGAAAAAGTTGCTAATGGTACACCTTGCTCTTTAAGTATGGAAAATAGCCAGCATGAAAACTCTAACCTTCAAAGTTCACTGTTTGAGAGGACAGTAGAATGCAACATAGAGCACAGTACATGTAAGTCAGCAGAGAATACATCATGTAATGTTGACTTTCATCCAAACAATGCTGTGCAAAGCAACATTACCGACGGCATCAGTAAAAGTTGTTCAACTTTCAAATCATCTCATGGTAATGAAGAGTATACATGTAACAATAACTCTGGCGAAATGCAGAAAAGTGTGGATCAGGCCACAACCTTAACTTGTCATAAAGATACTTGTACAAATGCAGGGCAACTCTGGGGTACAATAAGTGATAAGTCTTTGTGTGCAATCATTGATCTGGGGCTTGATGTCCTCAACACATCTAGAAATACGACAGTAGGAAATGGCTTGGTACATGCACATCACGATTCTGACAAACATGACAGCTCTGTGGGACAGACAAGTAGTGATGATATCCAAAGCATTGAATCTTCAGGGAGAAATATGCTCAGTAACAAGGACAACTCAAAAGCAGGCATTTGTGCAGAAAAAGTGCAGGATGTGGAAGAGTCAACATGCAAGCCTTCCCTGAGTAGGTCAGTTGAGGATTTGTTTTCAGATGACCTTAGTGATGATCTCTTCGATGATTTAGACTTGGAAGTCAGTGGTGTGAACTGTAATGACAGATCATCCACTTTGGTAAGACATGTTAAGACTGTAGAGAAATCTAAAGATAAAGATTTCCCTGTGTCTTCTTCAAACAAGGATTCTGTTTCCCTGGAGAAATCTGTGGTCCCAGGTTCATCTGACACATCCGATGCAAAATGTAGCGAGAAAGACTGGAGTAAGGGACATGGAATTGTGGATAAGCAAGGAAAGCCTGTTGAGGTACATTGTATAATTATTTATGAACCCTTTAAGCCCCAGTATCCACATACAAATTCTCCAAACTGATCTCCATACATTTCCTTAAATATATTAGCTGAGAGAATTTGATAAAAGATCAAGGCAGTTTCTCTTGGGTGATCGTTTTATTAATTCTTGTAACTTATCTCTTGACAGTGTATGGATATTGTTAAGAGAAAATTGATCTTGGTCACTATTGAGACTTAAAGGGTTATAGTACTTGCTATCTGTCTTCTCATTGGCTGAGAACCCATAGTTGCTTTTGGAAATCGGTGCAACCTTCAGATTTGTTAGTTACATTGTATCTGCTAGCAGACAACTGACTAATCTGTAGGTTTCATGTGCAATGCATTGTTTTCAAGAGCAATGTCAAACTGTGTTTCGTTCAAAGGTGTGTTTGTCATTTAACCAATGAAAGAGTAAAACTACACCTTATATTACACAGGTGCTAAAATATCTAACTGTACTTAAATAAGGTAAAGTAAGTTAAGGTTTGAAGAAGTCATCTAAAACTTGTTACATTTTCTAACTTCGTATTCTCTATACATGTACACTTTATACAATAAGTTGTTTTTATTTTCAATTTTAAGCCTGTTTGCCTCATTACACCTGGTCCTCCCAACAAACAACCTTCAGCTGCCTGCAACTATAAGACTCCAGTTACTCCACTTCATGGAAAAAGAAAACAATCCTCTTGTCAGGTACAGGATGTGAAATTGTGCAATTACTGTAACATGATGGTAGAAAATACATGTAGAAAGGAAGCAGAAAAGATCTCTGGCAGGAATTTTGTAGAAGTGCCAGAGTGCCTAAATTTCACACAATGAAAATCTGTCTCTAGATGCCATCTTGGATTTCAAGAAGATACACTGTGCAGCTGTGTAACTCCCTTGTAGTGTTTACTTTTAGCAACTAATTTTTAATGGAGGAAGTAGCTAGACCACTATGAAATAATTTTCAAAGACGCCATTATGCCTCCCAAAAAAATAGGTAATTTCATGCTCTAGCTTGGGTGTGGTTTGTATTCCATCTTTGTGTATAGCTTACTCATAGTACGGTGTATTCTCCAGACATGACATTATTCAGTCTAGCCTTCTGATAGGGAGCCAAAACTACTAGGCAGTTTTCCTGGATTTCCAAGAGGTCACACTTTTGCAGTAAACAAGTCCAATGTTAGGCAAATTATAGGTCTTCTCGGGGTAGTCATATTGGTAACTCCCTTGTGCACTATTTAACATATTTCGTCTCAAAATAAATACTGGTACAGTGCTTGTTGCACTTTTTTTTTTTTAAAAATTGATAACAATTGTACCTTTCTCTATTTCTCCACAGTTAAGGTTATCTCTGTCTAATAAGAAGATCAAGAAAATTCCTGAGGTTTGTTTGGTCACTAACTCTCACTCTTATCATTTAATCTGCAAAGGGTACTGTGCATGTATATCCAATCAGGGCAGTTGTAGTAATTTGCTAGTATTAGTTTTAAAATGTTTGATGGAAGTGAATGACTTTTCCCCTCCTCAGTAATTGTAAAATACATGCGGAAAGAACCTCAATAAATAACCTTGTTATAGAGAGTATTATTTTGCTAGTTCTTGACCCTTTTGTTATAAGTTCGAAGTTAGAAGTTCCACTGCATTTCAGGCAATCTTACTTTTGGGCCATTCTGTTTTCAGATCACAAACCAGCCACTGATAACCAAAATAATGTCACCAAACCCAATGCAGAGAAAAGTTTTGTACAAGAAGGAGAATATTCCATTTTGTTTAGCTACTTTGAAGCAGTCACAAGATGAAAGAGGGAAAGATCAGAGGTACAAGTGTGTAGAATTATAAAAGTCTCTCTGTTTTTTTTTTTTTTTCATCAATATTATTTGCTTCTCAGCATACAAACCCAGGAAGGGATGTTGAATGATAAAATCCAAGACAGGAGGTCTTTGTTGCAAATGATAACCTACTTTTCCACTTCAGGGGCCACAATAATAGCCTGCTGGTTCTAAAACTGTACAATTTGCATGACTATTAAATCATCGTCACATTCTGAGAGATTAATAAACAATTCTGACTGTGATTACTTGTATTGGCAAATGTTATCAACTTTTTGCCCCCTGAAATACTGTGTGACTTTACTTTAATCCCATCGCTCCTAAAGCATGTGCAAAGATGGCAGGTATCATGAATAAGATCTATTACTTAGTGCACTCTTTCTTTACATTTAATAATGGACTCTAGCACTGTTTTTAAGTTACCTTACCAGTGTTACCAAAACATTCTAAGAAATCACATTTTACTTGTACATGGGTAGTGTTTATTTGCATTTGACACGCATGAACTGTACATTGCGATTGTATCTGCAGATCCGAACAAGAGGAAACCAATTCAGATCATTTGATTGGTCGACTGGATCCCTGGGGTGTGTGGCTAATTAAGAGGGGAACCGATATTGTTTGTGTCAATCAATACAGGTAAGTAATGAATTCTGCTTTCAGCTGCTCATTCCAGAATAGTTAGTAATACTTGGGTCATGAGTTGTCAAGGACCTTATTCTTGCTATTAGTTTCTGCAAATACACTGAGAATATCAAGGGGTGATCAGGGTCCGAAATTGCGCCTTCCTGGTCGCCAATGCGACTAAAAATTTAGTCCTGGCGACCAGAATTTCATAGCTGGTCACCAGCTAGCGACTTGTAAAGCTGATTGTTGTTGTGGACTTAAACGTTCAGAGAAACTGATTAAGATTGAAACCTCAAAGCTATTTGCCAACAGCTGTCTTACTTTTTGTCCTGCTGATATTTTTTAATTAAAAGTGAAACGAATCTTCCTGTAATAATACCTCCGCAACACTTACAATCAATACGAGTTGAGCGTTTCCAAGCCACCATGTTGTTTTCAGCTGAAATACGGTAAGTACGTTATGTATCTTGTGGACTGGTACGAGCAATGTGGCACAGTTGTGGCCTGGTACGAGCAACATGGCGGCTATGTTTCGTGGTAGTTATCGGAAGAAAATAGAGTTTTGATATGATCAGTGCAGTCATGAGCAGACAGCTTTCTGTTCCTACGTTCTAGGCCAGATAGCTTTACATGTATATCTCCAAAAAGTAATTTGTGGAAAAAATAAGACTTCACTTGTACATGTACAGTTGCTCTCTGGCATCGGGAGCGGAAGTACCATGCATTTTTTATTCGTATTTAAACTTTTATTTGAAAAAAAGGGAGGGGGAATTTTTGGCGACCAAAAATTTATACTTGATCGCCAGCTGGCGCTCGAATTAAAAAGTTAATTTCGGACCCTGGTGATGCTGTCGTACACTAGCCTCCAATTGTACCGTAAATCATCTATTAACCCTTTGAGTCCCAATAGTGGCCAACATCAATTTTCTCCTAACAATATCCATATGTTGCCAAGAGAAATAGTTATGAGAGTTAACAAAATGATCAGTAAAGAGAAAATGCTTTGATCTGTTATCAAACTCTCTCAACTAATTCTTTAAAGAAATGTATGAAGATCCGTATGGAGAATTTATATGTGGATATTGGGGCTTAAGGGGTTAAGCCCCCCTCTCAAATTAGCCCCATCCCTCTAATAAGCCCCCCTAATTATTCTTCACTAATAAATGGTTGACTTCATTAATCAATCATGACTGAAAATATTTGTGTAAACTGATCTGGTATGGTTTACATACCAACTGGAAGTTTGGATTTGATTCTGATCCTTGGCTACATGACTCCAACCTTCTTGTACTTTGCTTTTCCAATTTGTACATTGTGTATTCTAGTTCTTTATGGAGAACTGATACCATCGTCGTTTCTAAATTAAATAAGCCTCCCCCTCTCAAATAAGCCCCTAGTCTCTATTAAGCCCTGCCTCAAATGGGCTTAAAAGAGCATTTCTGGTATGTAGGTTTGAATACCAGCAGAAGCAGTGCTTTGTTGCAATGATTTGTTGTTGTTGTTGTTGTTGTTGTTGTTTTTCAGGGGTATACTCTTTTTGGTTCTAAACTAATTCAAATCGCCACTATAAAAAGATTCAAAAGCCTACATTTAAGGCACTAGCCCTTTGTCAGGCCAAAAAAAACTAAAGGACCCACCCTGACAAAGAGCTAGTGCTTGAAATGCCAGCTCTTTCTTTATGGTAGTAAATTGACTTATACATATCAAGTGATTAAAACAATTTTTTCTTCCTTACCATTGAATGGTCACGGTGTCTTCTGAAAATACAGATTTTTTTTAAGAGATTTTTTCTCTCTTATCCTTTCTAGCCCCAGTGTACACCTCAACATTCTCCAGAGTGATCTCTATATATTTCCGTGAACAGTTGAGGAAATTAATTTTTAAAAGATCGAACCTATTGGTGATCATTTATTGTTATTAGTTCTCAGCACATTTTTTTCTTGTTGGTGGGATGATATTTTTAGGCGAAAATTGATGTTAGTCACTCTTGGGACGTGAAGGGTTAACAAACACCTCCCCTAAACTAGTGCACAGTTATCATGTGTTCTTTTTACTGCAGAATACAAGAACAACTACTTTTTCAACGTCTGATGGAATGTCATTCCCTTCCCAAAGAAATTATGAATCCTCCAATTGCTTTAAATGAGAGGTATGCAGAACTGAAAATATACAGTACATGTATTTGTTGCATGAACTAAACTATGTGGAACTCAGATGGTAAAACCAATTTAGTTTTGTTGTTGTTGTTGTTGTTATATTCCTCCCCCATCAATTATGCAGTGCCGCAGTTTCTTTAGCCTGCGAAAACATCCGTTTCTCCTCGCTCTTCGCCGCTGGGGACGTTTCGCGCGGAGGAACGTCCGCGGCTCAGCAACAGAAATAGGGACTTTAAGATCCAACGACGCGACGGCGACAAAAACATCGCTTAAAAACTGATTATGCGTTCTTTCAGTCTTTATAGAGATTATTCCCACCCACTTACTTTGTCAATTGTAGGCGAACCCTCCTGAAGCTGAATTTCAAGGGACCATAGCCAAGCTCAAAAAGAGAAATAAAATTACGTCATTGCTTGTTTACGTCCTCCATAAAACGCGAAATTAGACATTTTCACGTCGCAGTCTTGCAAAAACGGGAAAGAAATGTACAAAAAAGTGTGATGCACGTGCGAAATTGCGGTTTTGCTAATTAAACCTATTGTTTTTTTGACGTTCTCGTTGTCGTCCGCGTCGTTGGATCTTTAAGTCCCTAATTCCATACTGATGAGGCAAATCAATGTTTACGTAATAAATCCGGCAGTCATGGGGTTCCAAATATAAATTTGTCCAATTTTACGTGTCGTCTGGTCGATTTTGGTAAAGTGTTGTCTGCCAACGAGCTCCAGCAAATCTCAAATGCTTTTTCTAGAGAAGACTATTTTCCACAAACATTGACTGTTTTGTTAGAGATTCTTCGCGTTTACATTTGACCTTTGTGGCCTTTTGTCTTTTGTCTGTCATTCGTAAACAATAGCTAAAACAATCCAACTACTCCGTCGACCAATCATCTCTTCTGACCGGATTCCGGACAGATTTTACGTCATCAGTATGGAATTTCTGTCGCTGAGTCGCAGACGTTCCTCCGCGCGAAACGTCCCCACCGGCGAAGAGCGGGGAGAAACGGATGTTTTCGCAGGCTACAGTTTCTTTTGTAACTAACCCTTTGTTAGAGACCTTTTAGATTCGAGGACGAGCGCGACTACGAGCACAAGATTTGAGTTTAAGTTTTTTTTGCGTATTGTCAAACAATAGACACCCCAGAATGCTTCATTGCACCTTTTTTCACTAGAAAAGTTGGCATTGTTATCATTATTGTAGGTGGTTAAGCCCTCTCCCGATCGCAAAATAAAACTTCTAACATTTAATAACTTGTTTCCGCCACTACGTCATTTTCGCTAAAAGTCGTAGTAGACTGACGACTGCCATCACGTATTCTCGCCGAAATGACGCTGGCGCACGTGCGAGAACTACTTAGTATTGAGAAATTCTCTTACTCCTAGTCCTCGTCTTGGAATCTAAAGAATTAAGATCTCTATTTATGAAGACTAAACCTATTGCGCATTTCACTAGAAACATTCTGTAAGATTCCATATTTTGTACTTACAGTGTAAGTAGAATCCTGAGCGTTATAACAGCTTGCGCATCTGACAGGATCAGCAGGCAAGTGCTGTATTCTTTGGCCGCGGATCCACGAGAGGATTGGGGACAAGTCAAATCTGCGAGAATCCCTCGCGGCTCCACTGCTTGCTTTGCATGGCTGCTCAGCTGCCAAGAAAGTACTGAGGCATAATAATCCAGCCAGCTACACAGACTACATGAATAAGAGAACCAGATAATCTCAGTACCCACTGCATAAGAAAACCAGAGCAAGTATCCTACTCCCCCACCCACCACCCCTACGGGTTAAATCACTTAACATCATCAGACCTTGCTTAGAGTACATGTATATTCTTGTTACACATGTAAAATGTATGTTACCTAATAGTTAGTCTGTTCGTTCCTCTTCTTGTTACAAGAATTGTTGGTGGTCCTGAATGCTGGAAGACACTGCTTGGCATGAGAAGCAAGTGTGACCCCCCAAATACAGCAAGGTACAAATACATTAGCATACATGTAATTCCCTCTTGAAGAAGGGATAAAATTGGCGGTCATTTCCTTCGTGTTTTCGGTTTAGGGCCTTCATAGCTAATAAGATCTTGACTTACTTAAATTAAAACATAACCACCAATTTTATCCCTTCTTCAAGAGGGAATTCAGTTAAAACCTCCATTAAGCGGCCACCCTCGGGGTACCCCTTGGGATACCGTCAGGTGGCCGCTTGATGGAGGTTGGCCGCTCAAACACGCGACAGTAGCGGTATTACTGGTTCACAATCAATCATCACCTTCTATCGTGAAGTGTATGTTTCTTCATATTTCTTTTAAAAACTCCAAACATATTGTAGGATGACTCTCTTTGGGTTCATGATGAGGCCGAAAGGTGGCAGCGGTAGCTTGGTGGAGATGGTCGCATAATAGAGGTTTCATTTACGGTTCTTTTGTACATCATTGCGGCACTCTCAGTTGATTACTGACAGGAAGCTGCTTACAGTCTGTACCATCAACTGACGATGCACCGCTCACTTTTACCTCGATGATGACTTCGGCACAGGTTGTCGAAATATAAGTCATTACCAATAAGTCTTACTCTTGACTATCCTTACCTAAACGGCAATAATTATTCTACAAACTTTTATTACATAACAAAGTAAAGCGCGCGCTCTGATTGGTCAATTACCCATTTGCTATTTGCTCGTGGGTGAATGATGACGAAAGCTAGCGGGCATCTTTCGTGCTTAGTAACCTCAAGCGTGCAAGTATAACTCAATAGTACACACTGAGCCATTTACCATTCGTTAAATAGTCTCTTCCAGGCGTTCAGATAGTGGAAGCGGGCAAAAATAAAGAAGAATAGAGGGAGAGAGGAGGGAGCTCCCTTCGCTCTCACCCCCTACCCCACCCCTCACTGTTTTTTCTGCTCACAACTTTTTGTGCCGTTCCCACAATCCTTTCAACGCCTAGGGCGGGCCTAACAAACGTATGACTGTCTTTGTTGGTTCAGAGCCATAAAGAAACGAGACAAAACATTTGTTTCTGCGAGATTTTGCAGTGTAGTACGGTGTTAAAATGGAAGATTTTTGATCTGCAGGATTCAAAGCTAATCCTTTCTTACACATTTGTGTTAGATTTATTGACGACGAGCGATTAACTGCGAACGGATTTGACGTTTGTTTGAAGACTGGTAAGTGTGCATTACTGGGTTCGTTCAAAGTGTTGAATTCGTGAGGGAGTCTTGAAATTTGCGGCGAACCAGTTTTCTAGACCTTGAAAAAGTCTAGAAAAATGGGGTAAATCTAAATTTGCAACGCTGTCTCTTGAATTGTGCAGATTTAGGACCCGAAAAACTCCTTTCCGGTGGTCCGGAACAATTATTAGATTTTTTTGCTAATCAAGCAGGTTTTCTTACTACCTTGCCCAATTAGCAAACCACCTTGCAACTGCAGTAGAACCTCCCTAACTCGAACTCTGAAGGGAAGCGAAAAACAGTTCAAGTTAGCGAGAATTTGTGTTATCGGGTTCGATTCCAAAATTCAATTTTCAGTGTTAAAAATTGATAGTTACTGATTTTTCAGCACTTCCGGCAGTGTATAGTGCTACTGCAGTGCAAGTTTAACTTATTTATCAGAAACGGTAATGTGATTAGGCATTTTTTATGATAAAACGTCATCTGTTCGATGCACCAGTTAAAATCAAATTGCCGTTAAGTGTTAGCCAGTGTTAGATTTTTTCTTTTTTCTGATTGTGTAACAAGAACAGCTAAAAGAATGGTATGCGAGTAGAGTTACAAGAACCAGAATTCGAGTTATCGGGGTAATTTTCAGTGACTTTTTGGATGCTAGTTATCCGAGTTAAAGTTATCCGAGTAAAAATGACTGAAAAGTGGGGTGAAATCTGAGGGAAATTGGACTAGTAGTTCAAGTTATCCGAGTTCGAGTTAACCGAGTAAAAATGACTGAAAAGTGGGGTGAAATCAGAGAGGGAAATTGGACTCAAGTTATCTGAGTTCGAGTTGTCGGGGTTCTACTGTAAATCAATAACTTAGACAAGTGAGCAATGGCCCCAGGAAAGCAAAGGTCGAGAGCTACGTGTCCAAATGACAAGCTGGAATTAAAGTTCTTTTTCGCACCCTAAACTGCACCTGAAAAATGTACGGTAACGTACCCTTATGGTGAGTAAAATGGTGAGAACCAGTCGTCAACAAGTGACATTAGCTTGGTTTCCTCTAATCGTTCTGATCGTCTCGTCATTGATCCAAAAATGTCTCCATACGATCCACAGGAGTATATGTGTATAATACTCTTTTTGGGAAAGTATTGGCCAAATAGGTCATCCCTGCCCTGTGCTCGAATCTCCAAGACATTCCTGACTAATTACCACTGGTCGTGACTGGCCTGGCCATGATTGGCCTGTTAAAAAAGCTATTGTCAATTTGCCAACCAGGTTGAAGGCGTGTTCGAAACTCATTTCCGGTAATTCATAGAGTCCGTATGCAGTGGCGGATCCAGGGGAGGGGCCATTCCCCCCGCCCCCCCTCCCTTATTTTTAGACCGAAATGAGGCCCGTAGGGCCGACAAAAAAAAATTGAGACCGTGCCCCCCTTATGTCAGAGTCTGGATGACTGCCCCCCCCCCACCCATCTGAAAGTTTGGATCTGTCACTGGTCTGTGACGCAGGTTACCAGCCAGGATAGGTCAGTTTTCTTCCTAGTGGCGAAGAGCCAGAAACGGCTGTATTCTTCGGCTTCTAAAATGTAGGCGTCCCAGTAGCCACGTAAAATTAAGGTGTTTGAAGTCATCTTCTACACTCAACTGATAACCGCTGACCGTTTAGGAAACGCCTATGGCATCGCTTCCTTTCTCAAAAATTGTCTGTTACAATAGCGATTAAAGATTTGTTATTTTTCCCGTTGAAATAGATTCAGAGAGTGGAGAGACCAAGCTAGAGCTGCACAAAATGTCTACTACTATTCCATTCTATGGAGTGCCAGATCTGGCAGAAGTTCTTGGTAAGTACATTAACCGAAGCTGCCCAGTTATATAGAAGATCTTTAGATTCTAAGACGAGTGCAACTGCGAGTACGAGATTTTGTCAACACTAACTAGCTGGGCGCGCGCGTGAACCAGCGTCATTTTGGCGGGAAAAAGTGATAGCCGCGTCGTCATTGTACTACGTGTTTTAGCGATAAAAGGTAACAGTCCTGACCTATTTGGTGAAAAAACTTGCAAAGAAGCTTTCTGGGGTGGTTATCTTTTGAGAATAAACGCGAAAGCTATAACCCGTCAAATTTCGTCCTCCTAGTTGTTCTTGTCCTCGAATCTAAAGGTCTCTATTGAGTAAACACATTAGCGCATCGACTTGGGCTTCGGTTCGTCTTCCCTGAGCAAGCATTTAGTCCCACACAGTTTTGTTCCCGTTTTGTATTGGCTGCCTTGTTACCCTGCTGGCAGAGGTTTTTTTAGCATTTACGAAGTCGTTTTCATTGCATTCTGGTTTGTAGAGTGCCTTCCACATGTACGTTCACTTTTTCTATTTCTTGCATCTCGGGTGAACGTTATTTTGGCTTTACGAAAACTAACAAAGTGAAAAAGATTGAGCATAAATTGACAACAAATTCCTCAAGAGGATGGTTGCCTTCACCCAACAATTCTCAGTAGTTATTATAGGGGCCTCCAGTTTCTATTTCATGTCTGCCGTCTACTTGCATTGAATTTCACATAGGAAAAGTTTGAGAAAAATTATTAGTAAACCTTCAGAAGATTAGCCTTAAGAGACCACTCTTCTTTCCTATGTTTTCTATTTTAGAACTCGTGAATCAACAAAATGGCGACAGTAATTCCAACTCTTTGGCAAGCTGCAGACCATTTAAGGTTATCCACTATCTACAGGTTTGTACACCTCAACAGGCTTGTTATCTTGTTTACACTGCGGATTCAAGTTCACTTCTACAGTTAACTTGTGTTTGTTTATCAGAAAGCGGTCTTATTAGTGTTAAAAATAAGGTAAGGAAATCACAAGATAGTCCACTGTAAATACGATGTTTTAACTGAGAAGATATGTTTCAAAATGTTTAGAACGCTCAGCCCTTTTTAGCTGGGTTTAACTCACAAAAGTGTCGAACGCAAAATTGCATGGGATTACATGAACTGATAGTCCTCAGAACTGAAAGAGCGATGTGCCAGAAGGTACCTCTGGTGGTTGTTTCTTGGTGTTGCAGGAAAACATTATTGGTTAGCTAATGTTTTGTTTTTTTACTATTGTTCAGTGTCTTTTCAATCTTTTTCGTTACGTCAATTGGTGAAAACCAAGAAACGAGCAAAAAAATTTACCAAAAAGTGTGATGCATGTGCAGAGATGTTTTTTTTTTTTGCTTATGAAACTTATCGGTTTTTTACTCTAATTTACTCTCTCGTTGCGCAGCAACCTATTCTCGGCCGTTACTACAGAAACTGCACAGTACTTTTTAATAAATAATGACGACAACCAAATCCTGCTGTTTTACCCAAGACACGAATACAAACAAAGCTGCAATAACAAAAGCGACTTGAGGTTTCCCGATATTTCGGAAGAAGAAGGACGGTTTGTCCCTCCGAAATATCTGAAAACCTAAAGTCGCTTTTGTCTTTGCTTTTTAAAGTGCCTGTGCGGGATTTTTTTTCGTGTTCTCTCCTCAATTTGCAGTGAGAAAGGACGAGTGACCAGAGCCTGAAATTCAGCTTTTGAAGGCAGTTAACCCAAACAGCTTGTTTTAATTTTTTTTTCCATTTTTGTTTATGTAGGGCGAGGCGGTTCGAGTGGCTAGAGGCCTGAGTTCCCGGATGAGTAGAAGCGAAGTCAGTGACATAATCTCCCGGATGACCAATCAGATTCCAGAAGATACGAGGACTTGCGTTCATGGCCGACCATTCTTCGAAAAGATTGCGCAGATTGAAAGCGAATAATTGCATTCAAAACTGGTCGTTTCGATACAAAGTCGTTTCGATACAAGTCGTTTCGATAATAACTCAAGCAGTGAAATTCCACAAAAATTTCGATCACTTCAAGTAAAGTTTGCAATTGAACAAGAAAAACATTGTGGGTGAATATTCTTCGTTCTTTACGCCAAGTACGTGAAACTATTTACACCTCGAAGGAATAAACTTGTATCGAAGCGGCTTGTATCGAAACGACCGGTAACCATTGTATCAACCGTTCAATATCTTATGGACTCTTGCCAGTTTTGTTTCATGCAGAGATGTGCAGATGAGCATTAACATGCAAACCCTTAGAGTGAAAGGAGCTTTTATCAGCCATCCCTTCTCCCAAGCCAAGGTTGTAGAGAAACAAATTTAAGGAAAACGAAGTGAAAACATTCTTGAGAGTTCCAAAGGCTACAAAAGTCAACGTTATGTTAGTCTCGAATGCTTGAACTTCTCTCTATCATTTTATTGGGCAGAGAAAACTGAATGCACTAGGTTTCCATTTCAGTGTGCCTTATTGTCCTTTGCGACTTATGAATGGTTATTAAACAGTTGAAACATAATTAAAGTAAACGAAAGTCGGCTGAAATCATTTTTCATCTAATTATTGATTACTTTTGTCAACTATTTCAGTGTTTGTTGACTTTATTCGGGCTCTACTGATCCCGTGTTAGGCCGTGTACAGACGCCCCCTTTGTAAAAAAGGATTTTATTTAGTGAGGGGAAGGGGCGTCAGTACACAGGCTAATCCCGTGTGCGGTACGGTGTAATTATAAAACAAATGAAAAGCTACTTCTCCCTCCCTACCCCAGCTCAATTTCAAAACACGCCCATATACAGGAAAAAGGACGTCAGGCAAAATTAAAAAAATTAAATTGTTAGCGTCAACGCTAACGTTTTCGGCGTATTCTTTTCCGTCGCGCACACGTTTTTATTTCCGCAGTTCACATGATCTTCATTTTACGTTTTATTCCTTTCACGACACGGGTTAAGATGAACTCAACAAATTGGCCTGCTCCCAATGTATAGGTCTTCATAACTCAGTCGGTAAAGCACTGGAGCGCTAACGCATAGGCCATAGGTTCGAATCCCGTTGAAGTCCCGAATTTATTTTTTTTCTCTTAGGGTTAATTTGCAATTGCTTAAATTGCAATTACTACTGCGACGATCATTGTCATCAGACTATTCCCGGACGTATACACCGTGTACGGGCTGTTTACGTTTCCCGCGTTGTTATGGGCGAAGCAGTATCATCCATTAGAAGCTGTGATGCGAGCGTTTTCACATACCTTCGTTTTTTTTTGTTTTTTTTTGTCCTTGGGCATCCACACTAAAATGATAGGCCTCCGTTTACCAAAGACTCCACTTTCATTACCGTTTCCGAAAACTTCTTCTGTCAAAGCTCATTTTAGACCATTTCAGTCAACTTGCCAAAAAAGTGTGCGATCTTTTAGCAAGCCAGATGCACTGGGTTTTTTACGAGAAAATTACGAAAAGTGGATAAAATGCCCTCAAAAATTATTGTTTGTTAAGCCAACGAATAAGGAGTATATATATTATTCGACTTAAAATTTTTTCTGTTAATAGCTTATTAACCGAAAACTTAGTAATCGCGCTTAAACATTTCACCTTTTCTTCAGCCCTTAAAAGGAAAAATGACGTTATACAGTTACGACATACAGCTAATGACGCCATACAGCTCAGCTAGAACGGCAGTAAATTTAACCAAAGGTGACAGAAGTCAAACGCAAAGTTCATGTTGTAAAATACCAAGAGCTCATCAGCTCCTGTCAGTACTGGCTGACGAAAAGGAAAACAAAACAAATAATCTTACACAATTCAGCCCAATTGTTTGACTGGAATGATCGGAAGGGTCACAAACAATCGATTGTTCAAAAACTCAGAATTCCACTGTAGTCATAAAAACCGGATGCAATGACTAAAGGAGCAAATCCAACAAAGTACACGTTTTTCTGTACTTTGCCAAAACCTTTTTTTTTTTTTTTTTGAAAAAAGAGCGTTTTGGTTAATTACTGTTCCCGCTGTCAATTCCTTTTTGTGATATGTTGAACACCACGAATTCTGATTGGTTCAGTTCGTTAGTTTGTCCACTTAGTTGTAGATTAGTTGTGATGTGTTGAGGTCAAACTTCCGTACATAAAGACAGAGTCAAGTGGACGGATTACAAAGGCATCTGTTATTGAAGCAGGAATTATGTGATTATTGGCATCTTCTATACCAAGAGAACTATAGTGTCCGAAATCAAAAAGCGTCCACATTAATAAGGTGAACATAGGAAGCTTCTGGTATAATTAATCATAGACCTTTTTCAACGGGAAAAGCTACAAGCAAACAGTGAGTCTTCAGCAAACTCTTTAAGGTAATCCTGACCTGAATACTAATGCTATCTCGTCTTAATCTTGTTAGTGCCTTTTTTTACATAGCCATACATCTGTTAGACGTTCTTTTTACTTTTGCTGTTAGTCATAGGCTATGCTGTCATACTTGAACTAGGGCACATGCACAGCACAAAACGGTATAACACGATTCATTGCCTGAAATAGAACACAAAAGAATTAAGTCAAATGTATCCCGCAAGACAAGACTTCCGCGAGACGTGCCCGTAAATGACTCTTCTGCGAACCGTTTGCAAAGCCTGTCACTTGGAAATAGCTGACGATGAAATCAAGACTTGACCAATCTACAGGGGCACCCAACGTCAATTTTCGGAAAATATCTGTTCGGAAGATGATTTGAGATCTAGAATTTTCGGAACATTTGTTGTAAAATTTCTTGCTTGCCTGCCTCTCCTAGGATATTCGAATATCTAAAAAATGCTATAATTGCCTATTTTTAACGAATTTTTACCCTAAAAAGGTCACCTAGAATTTTCAGAAGCCTTTTTTCTGGCTGAACGTCTCGAAAAGGTAAGTTTTGATCCCTATAATTTTCGGATCACTAGACTTTCAGCTAGGAAATTCGAACAGATGAAAAATTTTTAGGGGATAAAAATATGCCTATATCTACCGTTTAAATACTAAAATACGTTTAACAATGCTATGTTTAATTGGTTTTGAACTATATTCTCGTTGGGTGCCCCTAAATCTAGAACGTTCAAAGACATTTGATATAGTTCTTTGCGCAGTTAGAGGGGCCTTCCGAAATTATTTTTCATTTCATATATTTACGCAGCTGTCCAAAGCAGTGAAAAAGTCATCAGTATTCTCTCCTAATATTGATGAGATTTTTAAACCCCAGTTTATTATAATATCAAAAAAAGATATATCTTTAAATTGCATTTAAAGAAGTGGCTTGTGGCCCATATCTGGATACGGTTATGTTGTATTTTGGTCTGTGATTGAATGACGTTTTTAGAAGTCTCGTAAGTTATGATGAGCATGCTTTTGAAAGCTCAGAATCGAACGCTGAGTGATAGCATTACGTTGGGGAGGCAAGTCGATTCGATCGAGAAAAGAAAACAGAGAGCGCTCATCAGTTCGTTACGAAGACGGAATTCAGATATCGAAAGCATCCTCTTAGAAATTGTTTGACTCTTCAGACGTTTTCCAGACTCGTTTCAAAATCTTAGCTCACCTCCTTTGGCAATCCCTCTTACTTTTCCCTTGTTTTCCATCACCTAGTGCACGCTTGCTTCGCTTAACATGCCAACTATAGCCCGGCCTTTACAATTAATACCGCTGTGCAAAGTATGGGGCTCCCCCTCCGGAGAGCAAGTGTATCTTCAACTCAAAGAGTTCAGTGACACAAAATGACTTCCTGGGGAAAAAACCATCCGCCGTTCTGAAGGCAACAGATGCATTTTGTCTTGTTTTGTTTTGTGTTTTGTGTTTTGTGTTTTTTTCTTTTTTTTTTTTTTATCTCCGCAATAGACACTCGGAGTGTCCGGATTGGCCGATGGCGAAGGGTGTACGTATTATTCGCATGTTTTGTTTGAGTATTCAGTTTGTACATTTGTAAGATTTCGCGACGTGGTGTCTCTCGCTGATAAGGAAATCGTCAAAACGAAGCACTCATTCAAAAATACCTTTATTTGTTACGTCCCCGGGGTTACGTCTGTTCGGAAAAACGATGATCAGTTGTGCCGGCTTTAGAGACAGCCAAAAAATCTTGGAAAAGGTAGGATCAGCCACATGATATATTGATACACTACTGCTATAGGCTAACATTAGCTTAACGTGTTTAGACAAAGCCTGGATGTAGAGATAGACCGTTCAGCCCGCACATGATTAGAACTGAAAACGTTTAACGAGAGAACACCTACATCAATGAAAGCTGGATTTAAGATAAAAATTCATCAATAAGTGGAATAAGCCAAAGCAAAAAGAAAATTTCCCGGCAGATTTCGTTTTGCGAGATGTCAAGAGACAAAGAACACCTAATTATATGAAAATGTTGGTTTCTTTAATACAATTTGTTTGGGAGGAAAACAGGCTCAAAAACTACAGCTGCCATTGTAGATCATAACTAAAAGTAATAAAAACAGAAAGGCGCTGCATAATGGATTATATTGGGTATTTTTCACTACTTAAGTTCCCAACATACTGCTCAGTGAGCGAGGGTTTGACTGTGGGAACCGGGGGTACTCCTGGGAATTCTTGGTGGGGGTGTGCCGCCCGGTTCTCCAAATCCTGACCATATTTCAGACTAAAAACTGTAACTAGTTTTCCACACCCGTTTTCAATCCATTTCGAACCTGGCCTTTAATTTCTTACATTAAATAGTCCATTTATTCATTACCGCTTAGATTGGAGCGCAAACGATCTGAAAATATTCTTCCAATCCATTTTATTAATTGTCATATTTCAAACTTAATTTCTTATTTTACTCATTATCCTGGAATTTGTATTCAGCGGTGAAAAACGACAAATACGATGATACACACCAGTAGCTCCCTCGAAAACCATACCCGATTCCAGACAAATGGGCAAAGTTTATACCCGTTTTCAGACCAAAACGGCGTAAAAACCCTACCCATTTGGGCGGCACATACCTATATACCCCCCCCCCCCCCCGTCAGGGGGGCCTGGGCTGTGGGATGAGTATAAATCACTGCGCGAAACTTATCGACGATTAAATGTATCAAAGGCGAACAATTTCCTTAAAGACAGATAGTTAAAAGGCGATGCCGGTACTAAGCACGGAGACCAAGAATTCGAAAAGCGTAACCTGTAATCACGGCACAGACGGCGGCGATCTTTGCAGGGAACGCGAACACGCCCGGCTTAAGTGGAGAGAGGAGAACCGGGCTGATTTTCAGTCTGTCCGGCTCCTGACAACCGCTTGCTGTGCAGCTTCTAATTATTACATTTGTTTATGTTTTAGGTCAACCTGTTTTTTAAGGATACAAAAAATAAGCCAAATCGTTTAACTTCACAAAATTCCCCTCTTTCAAATTACTGGATATATTTAAACGCGAACATTCCTAATCTAAATATTACGCCTTGTGTTGATCAATGCATTAATGTCAAGCGAGGCATAAATCATTATTTAGAGGTTATGAATCTACAATAGGCGCTTTAATTCTTGCTTTAAGAATGCTTACAATTTTCCTTGTCCGGGAGGTCAATTTGCGGCCTTTCAGTCAAGACAGATTTTATCTCTTAATCCACTAAAACACTTTCAATATTTGGGTAAATTTCCTTCGCTTGCCACTGTATAAGCAAACAAACTTAGAGATTGCTAGCATAGTTAGCTACCGGATAAATGTATTTGAATAATAGATCAAATACTCTTGGCCAATCGGCGACAAATATTGATACGCTCGGAAAACAAATCTGTCAGTTAAAGACAGGGATCACGATTCTTTTTAAAATTCTTTTCACGGTGTCTAGGGAGCATTGCTTAGTCGTCAGGTTCAAAGAGATTTTTCGAAGTAATGAACCTTAGCTTGGCGAGTACGTTTCTGCGACATAAATGTACGCGATTTGGGCGAGTAAGAAAGTAAGGGACCAAAGCTCGAAGGCAGAGAAGCACCACTTTTTTATTGACTTTCATCTGTCGAAGAGACACAAATTTAGCGTTTCATCTGTAACGTTTCCAGTGTGTCAAACGAAGCAAAAACTGGTAAGTTCTCGGTCATAATTTTTTGAATCAAGGGCAACATTAGCAATGATCTGACTTCCAAAAAATGACACTCAAGTGAGAGACACATCCAAAACTACAAAGATAGATCCAAATAGTAAAATAGTTTTAAAAAAAGTTGCGTAAATGTGTGCCGTTTTGTAATAAATGCTGTACATGAAAAAACAAAAAGTAGAAAGTAAGATTTAATTGAAATAAGGGCGTATAAATGTGAAAATACATCTTTCATTTTTTCCATCGTTTTCTTTGTTCCCGCAAATTCGATTAAATACTGTCCAGCCCGGCAGAGCCTTAATTCACGGCAAGTGTACCCCACAAATTTAATATATTCTATATCCAGTCGTTTAGCGGATGAATTAAACAACGCAATATCTTCATAATGTACGGTTTCCTCTGTTTAGCATAGAATACGCGTGTTACGCTTCACGTTATGTTCTCAATCTTCGTTACTCATGACTTAGCAAGCGAAATCCACGGTAAAGTAGCCTTCATCAACATCGATCAAACGCGAGTTAAGTACAAAACCCCAACCATGCCAAAAGAATACTTGATATAATCCGATCGTCAGGAGCAAAGCAATTGACCAGCAGCGGAGAATATCATTGGCTTCAAACGTTCGTTTCTATCGATGGTAAAGGTTTTTAGCTCTTCCTAGCTTAGCTATTTTATCATGAAACCCTTCTTTCTGGCTTTTTAATCTTTGGGAAATAAACACATAAGCCTATTGCATATGTTCCTATAGTTATTTATAATTACTGATATTGTTACTGTAATTTTTTAATGTGTAAAATATTCGGCAAAATAGAGTCGAAACATCTCTACTTCAGTATAGCTTCATTTCTTTTTTGTTTTAAGATTTTTCAGAAACATTTCCGCGTTAAATTGTTTTCAAATGATTATCATAAATGATTTTCCTTAATAAGTTCTTTAATTTTTGGAGGTGCAATTCGTGAATAAACATTTAAAATTGTATTTGCTTTAAAAAGTATACGTGCCTCGTTTTGTCGACGTTTTCTTTACTTTAATTAGGGCCTAAAAAGGAGAATTGCTTAGCAGGAAGTCGCTTGTAATGAACCCTTCTCGCCTGTCATTTCATTAAAACATTCTGACACTTTAACTTGACTCTACGTAATCCTTCCACTCGCAGAGTGATTGATAGAGTCTGACTTGTGAGGTGGTCAGGAGAGTTCTGACTTTTGAGTCGGTGAAAGAAAGGCCTGTTGCAGTGCCACCATTCAACCAATACTTTCATGTAGCTCTATTTATTTTTCAGCATCTTAAGAAGTGAAGTTGGGAAATTATGTTGCATTTTGATTTTGGTCACTCTTGCACCGAAACAGTTCAATGTCTCCATGTTCACCCCAACCGTTTTACGCGCAGCTTTTATTTACGGTATTTCTTCGAATAAATTCAGTAGGACTTAAAACTGAGCGTTTACCGAACCTTGAAGCGCCCATTCCCCATCACCCTCCCTTAAACTAGCAGATGAGAACCCCTCCCCTCCCCCCTTCCTTTCAATAAGCGCCCCATCCCCACCCCTCTCGCCAGTAAGAGTAACCAACATCAAATTTCCTCTTTAAATATTACCGTTTTAACAAACCTATGAGAATGATCATTTTTTATTTTGAAACAAATTCTCCCCAGCAAAACCACAAGGAATATCAGGAAGAGTATGGATAATTTATACAATGATAGGCCTGTCTCGATTGTGCTGGGAAACTTTTGAGCAACTTTTTGCGGTTCTAGCAACCTCAAGCAATTTTTTGCCTTTCTGGGCAATTTTTGAGCAAAAGATAGGTTTAAAGCATATATAAGTTCGAAAAAGAAAAAACGTTGTAATTTGTGCGAATTTCTATCTCAAGAGGGGATTGTCATCTCTTGTAAATGTTTATCTACTTTTTGAACACATATCCTTTCACTCGACACGTTTCGCAGGCCTAAAAAATAATTTAAACCTGCCAAGGAGCACTGAAACGCAGTCAGCACATGAATAAACACAATAAAATCCTGAATGTAAGCTTTTTGCTCAACTACAGAGAAAAAGAATAATTTCTCTACAACTTCTTTTAATTGTTGCCGTAAGCAAAGTTTCAAGCTATTTTCTCTTGTCCGATGTTAGCAATTAATTTTAAGAACGAAAAACTAGAGTCTTAAATTGACTTTTATTATATTAAATGTACAGAAATTTAGTTCGCAAATTTGAGCAGCAACTTTTTGTATTTTTGGCAACTTTATGGCAACCTTTTGGCATTCCAGTGAGGAACTTCCAGCATTTTACGGGATAGGCCTATACAATGTTACTGGGGTTTAAATTAAAGAGTTTAGTACCATGGGCTCACAAGCAAAGTCACTAACTTCTCGCATCATCAATATAGTTTCTCTCTATTACTAAGTCACTATCTGGATGTGCTGGCGGCGCTTTTCTCTATTACATTTGTAAAGATTCCTCCAATTAAGTTTTATTCGCGGCAAGAAAAACCGTTAAGAAACGTCCCCTCCCTTGAAAACGCGGCCCTCGTTCGACCTCGTTTTGGACCAAATAACCGCCCATGAGGTAGTCCCTGATATATACCACAAATATTACACACAGACCGAAAACTACTACGCAAAAGTAACTAGAAAAAGAGTCAATAAAACTAACAAATTTCCAATTAATTAATTTATTATTTTCGCATTGGTTGGTGTTTGATAAACATTGATGAGAGTGTTTCTTTTTTGTAGAAATTCTGAACGACCGCAAGCAAAATGAGCAGGGAAGCCAATACAACAGGAAAAAATGGTAAGGAAAGAAGGCGGGAAGGGCCAACAGCCTGAAGTAGTGAATTGGTGGTATACCCTATTTGTACCAGCACCGACTGGTTCTTTTGTGCCTCATGTTCCACTTAATCTGAACCTGTAAAAAACGCAATCGCTCTACCTGATCTTTGACTAGCCCACCAAAAACGGACCCAGGCAAATATCAAGGCTCGTTCGAAAACAGAAGACCAGTGCTCTATAGACTGAAAACGTAGCTAACGCTGTTGGACCTGACATCCTCCACGATTCGTGCATGTTCTAGTATTTGCAATGATTAATGTCCTATAGTATTTACCAAAGGAAATGAAAAGGATATTGAGTAGTTGGCAAAACGTTAAACCGTTTACAGTAGCAGTTTTGAATCTCCGGTCTTGATTCCGGTGACTTCACTTGTGTCAATTTTTTCCATCTCATTTGATTTTCCCCAAGTAAACACAAGTCATTTAGAGATATTCATTAACAGGATGGAATTGGGTGGCATTTTTACCAGCCTCTGTAAACCTCTGTCCATCCCCTTACAACTTCTACAATAAAGCTACATTCTAAAAGAGAGGCAGTGAATAAAAAAGGTTTTATCGCATATTGCAAATAGTTTTTATACAACTTTACTGTCCTTTTCATAGGTACAAACAACACATTTGTGACGGAACCCTTCTTCGCACAAACGCCGGCCAGCGGTATTCCACCAGACATTCAAATTGGCATGACGTCAGCTTACGCAGTGATCTTCACTTTTGCTCTTTTGGGCAACTCGCTGGGTTTGTACGCCATTTTAAAGAAGACCTCTACAAATATAACCAACGTTTTTATCGCCAACATGGCCGTCGCAGACTTGCTGTTGACTCTCACTGTGATGCCTTATACCGTGGCTTATTTGTACCGTGGACACGTATGGATTGGCGGAATTATGGGCGAGATAACATGCAGAGCTATGTTCTACACTATACCGGTCTCAATAGCGGCTACTGTCCTGACAATGATGGTTATTTCATTGGATCGTTTCTACGCTATATATTATCCCCTCAGAGAGAACATCTTTCAAAAGCCGATAATTTTGTCCAGCGTTATATGGAGCCTATCATTGGTGCTGATGCTCCCATACGCATTGTTGTTCCAAGTCAAATTTGATCCAGGCCTGAACGCGTATGTATGCCTTCAAGTGTGGCCATGGGCGGACCCCAGTGACATAACCTACGCTGAAACCTATCGCGTGCTGAAATTCTTCCACATCTCCAATTTCATCCTTATGTACGTATTGCCCCTATTGTCGACGATCACAATTTACATCTTGATTTGTCGTAAATTAACGCGACGCCAAATACCCGGGAACGTGACCCAAGGCTTGCGCGCCATGGCGGATAACTCTAAACGTAAAGTTGTGCGACTGTTGGTCATCATATGTGTGGTGTTTGCCGTGTGCTGGTTTCCCACGTACGTTAATCACTACTTTGCCTATGTCTTGCAGCCTGGTCAAGGCCCCAAGATACCATTTAGTGTTCACTTGGTTTTCACCTGGATAGCCCATCTAAACAGCGCAATCAATCCATTTCTCTATATTCTGCTAAACAAAAAATTTCGCGTGGCACTATTTTCCGTACTCCCCGTACCACCATGCCTTAGCTCTTGGCCAATAGGAACCTCCGCGGTGACGGCACAAACAGCCCTGGGAAATAACCCGGGCCGGGGCTGGGTCCAAGGACAGGAAGGTAACAAGGAATTGGAGCTTACTCCTAAAGATAACAACAGCAACTGTATCCAGTCCAGTTGAGCAATCGGATTTTTATTGGGTAGCAGGAACAAACTCCAGCGAGGAGGGGGCGGGAGAACTTCGGATGTTCCTGTTACTCCAAACCAGTTTATATTTTTTATCATTCAGCTACCTTACCGAGGGTCGAACTTACCTTGAATGCAACCATGCAAAGACAATTAACATGACTTTTAACGAAAAAGGCCGGTAGCTTTTTTACGGTCCTGAAATGACAATCTGCTTACACCACTGGCTGGATCATTTAGTTTGCTCGGCTTGAATGCCGGGACGGATGGAAAGGTGAGGAAACCATGTGCCTGAAATGCGGCTAAGATCATGCCCCAGTGCATCTGTACGTTTTAGGAAACGATCTTCTTAAAAATATTCGAAAAGAAAGAGAAAAGGTCGATGCTACGCTCTTTCTCTCTGGCATGTGTTCAACGTGAGTTAGACATGTCAAATAGTTACCAACACTGATGACACCCACCTAGAGACTGCACCTACATAAGATGCTTTTTTAAAGGGTGAAACCACCGGAAGTAGTTCATTTACAGAAGGAGACTATTGACGTTTACCGGTGAATATACGGAGCTACCAGAGAAAAATTTCTTGTTTTACCTAACACATTATATAGTGATAAGGGTCGGGCAGACCAGCGTCGAGAACGTACCTGACTGTCGGTCTGAGGACACTGGTTGCAGTATGAAAGAACTGAAATATCACATTAAGGCCATCCTGGCCTTAATGTGATATTTTTCACCGGGTAAGAAAAAGCTGAGATTGTTCGTCGAAGGATGATCGGACAAGATTCTTTTGATAATGATGACGATACGATGCTGATAGTGATGGAGGTGTTGGTGGTGATGGTGATGATAATGAGAGCTTTCAAACTGAAACTGATAAAAAAAAACCGCGTATAACATGTAATCACCTGGCTCGCAAAAGCTTGAAAATGAAACCAGTCAAACTGAAAAATGTGAGACAATTTCAACTGATTTCTTTTTAAGATTAAATACATCAAAATTTTATGGAATTATAAAAACTTGTTTTGAAAGCACGCGTTCGCAAAGTTCCTTCTTCAAAATGTACAATTAAATAACGGAAAATTTTCCCCATCAGCGAGCACTCTCATTGGTTGCTACTAAGTCACATGACATCTAAAAATAAAACTGTTGCCACATTACAAAATGTATGACGTAGGAAGGTAACAGCTCCTTCGCTTTTTCTTCCTAACAAATCACTTAATGAAGGGGCACTTAAACCGTTTTGGAGACAGCACCTGATCAAAGCAATCAAAGAAGCTTTAACTAATACCTCATCACAATGCTGCATTCCGATACAAATAAAGTTAGTGTATGCTTTGTTTCAATATTCATTTAGTTATCTTTTTATCTCCCAGTCTTTCACAAAAGGACGCCTCAAAAGCGTTAGGAAAGGCCATCTTTAAAATATCATTCACTTTCTAATTAACAACAATCTCGATGTTTGAGAAGTCTCCCAAAATCCCACCCAGACGTTCTTGCTTAGGGCTTTGTAACGCGTTCCTCCCATGAACGGAAAGGAAAGATTGTGTGGCCATTCAAAACTGAGAATGCCTGCGTGCGTGGCTAACATAAAACATACATAACATAAAACTTTATTTAAACTCGAATTTTAGGGTAGCTAACAAGCTAATATCTTCGAGCTGACACTACATAAAAACTATATAGAAAATATATATATACATTAAATGCAAGGAAAGAAAATATCATTTACAATTCACAATTTTAAGTTTAAGTATGTCAGGCAAAAAGAATCTACATGAAGGTAACATCCTGTATTTCAGTCTTAAAGTCTGCAAAAAAACTGGTACGAAAAAAAGTCCGGCAGTGCATTCCACTGCTTAGCTGAAAAAGTAAGAAAAGGAGTTAAGACCATAGGTAGTTGTTTTAGGTTTACTTAGTGAAAGAATGTAGTTGCCACGAAGATCATAGGTAGAGGACCGGGTGAAAACATATTCTTCATATAAGTAGGAAAATGAGTGAAAAACAAACTCTTATATAACAGAATGAGGAAATTTTGAATGCGTTTGTTAAACAAAGAAGTAGAGCTGACTTTTGAGAGAAGAGTGTTGTATGGAGACGAGTAATCTCCAAGTATAAATCTAAGTATTCTTTTTTTATTTAAAGCTTCGAGCTTATCTGCATCGCGCGCTCCACAAAAGTGCCAGACAGAGGAGCAATAATAAAAGTGAGGTAAAATATACGCTTTGTAAAGTTTGAATAAGATTTCCTTGCGTATGAGTTTTCTAAAGCGCAACATAACATTAAATTGATTATTAATCTTTTTGCATACATTTGATATATGTTTAGAAAAATTCAGATTATTATCTATTTCCATTCCAAAAATCTCTAACGTGTCCTTTACTGGGAAGGAAAAACCATACTCCGTATCACCGAGGATTAGACACTGGTGCTTGCTCTCATTAACTAACATCCCATTTTCATGGTACCACTGATTGGCCACGCCAACATCATGAGATACGCATGCATCCAGAGCTGCCGGATCGACGTGGGAGTAGTATACCTGATGATCATCCGCATAAGCGTTCAACTTGGCCTTCTTGACGTGGAAGAAAAGATCGTTTATGAAAATGTTGAATAGCATGGGACCTAACACACTCCCCTGCGGGACCCCACGCTTGACGCTTTCCCAGGTCGAAAAGGTGTCTCCAACTTTAACTCTCTGAGTTCTGCTAGAGAGATAGTTCCTAATTAGGGCACAACTTTTGTCGTCCATACCATAGGCCCTCAGTTTCGAAAGGAGGAGGGATACTGAATAACATCAAACGCTTTGGAGAGATCCATAGAAACTACCGCAACAAGCTCCCCTGTCACGCATCATTCTCCAGTCCTCGGTCAACCTTAGCAAAGAGGTCTCGCAACTATAAAACTTTCTATAAGCGCTTATGAAGTCTGATAAGACCCCATTGTAAAATTCATACATCTGCCCCGATAGAAGCCTTTCAAAAATATTGTTTAGAGCAGGGAGCACAGTTACGGGCCTATAGTTGATCTTACAAAACTCGTCGTCTTTTTTGTACAGAGGAGTAACCATGCCCATCTTCCAGCTAATGGCTAATGTTTGAGATATTCAACAAACGTTTTATTCACGAGCCAGACCTCAATCATAGCCTTATCCAAAAATTATTTATCAATTTTTTTAATTTTACGGATGACAAATTTCCCTAAATTTTAGCCTGAAATTTAAGCGTTAATTTATAATTTCAAGTGTGAAGTTACAAAACTGCTTTGGCAACGTTCCGTACGTATGTAGCGTTTAGGTATAGAAGATGATGTTACGAGTTAAAATGGCAGGGCATTTAAAGAAGTTATGCAAAACCTAAGCACAGGAGAGAGTACAATTTTAAAAGCAAAGGGGTTGGTAACGGTATTTTGTCGGCAACGTGAATTCAGAAATTTGTGTAAATTGTGAATTCAAGTATACAGATCATACGGATGGGTTTTTCTCTATTACACCATAACATTTCAGACCAAATTCAAATAAGTTCCAATGTTTTTACAGTAGACAGTGTTAAGCTCTGTACTGCCGCGGAGTTTTACTGAGAACAAGTGGTGGCGTCGCGAGATGCCGGTTGTTTTCTCAGGATAAAAGGTGGAAAAGAATACTCGCGCACAAACAGCAAACTGGTCAAAATACAAATGAGGCGAACGTCAACATTCATATCATTATGGGCTATTGTTTATTGATTTAACTCTATCTGTCTGTCATTAGCCGCTGTCATCTTTGCTGCGCTTCCATGTCAAGTCTGTGAGCCTTCACACAAGCGGTACTGCAGTACTTGTAAGTAAGTCGCTCGAAAGGAACTTGACCAGTCAAACTTACACTGCACCAGGCACAACTAATCACAAAAAAGAAACATGATCTTTAACACCAGCTAATGAGCCCAAGGGGGCTGATTACAAGAGTCGGGAATTGCAGGTTTTCCAGAGTGGCTCTCTATGCCGTGATACCGGCTCGTTGATTTAAACGAAACAAAAATCAACTTTGTGAATACATGACAGCCTAGTCCGCCCATTTGGCCAGGATCCCGGCTTAACGGGCTGGAAATTTTCCATGTAATCACACTCGCCGGTCCAGCCCGGCAAGCAAAGTCAGCGACCGGACAGTGGGTAACAATGCTCATGCGCACTGCTCTCAATCTCAATCAAATCTCTCAATCAAATTTTCTCAAGCGCTCATTTTCTTATCGGGGTGCAATGGCTTGGAACCAACTGTCAAATGAAACACGTGAGATGGGGGATCTTACTAGCTTTAAACTCGCCATATCTTAGGATATAACTTTTATCATGTTTTTATCTTATTTCTAATACTCATTTCTTGCTGTTATATTGTATTGTTAGTTAATCACTAGTCTTAATTTTTATAAATTGTAATTATCACACGGCATGTCTGAAAACCAGCTTGCTGAGCCATTTACCGTGTTTAAATAAAGTTGACTGATTGATTGATTGATTGAATCTCTGTATAAACCTGGCGGCTCCCAATTTCGTTCCCAGAGGCTGAGCTCCTTTTGGTTAGCACCAAGGATCACTGACCACTGGAAGAATCCGAATAAACCCAGCTGTGATTGGCCGATAAATCATCATATTCAAATCTCCTTGCAAATCCAAAAACCGTGAGAACGTTGATTTGATTTTGACAGGTCATTTGTGTGCACACAAGTTTATCAGTTTACCTCGATGAGTCACGAAACCACGCTACAATGACATTTTGTGAAAAAAATTTCCTTTCTCTTATTTTGGAAAGGCTTTTTTATGCCTTTTATAACGAACGCAGAGCGTCAGTTGCCCGTTCCGCTGGATAAGGGTAACGGAGGCTCTGGGGACGAGACTGGGCGGCTTCAGGGCTGGCTCGCTTCATGTAATACCGGGATAAAAGTCACTTAAGCAAAGCTAGCCAGTTCGGCAAACCTGGCCAGCCTGACTCATGTCGTAATCCGTAATCAGCCTCCGAAACGTTTGCTCTAATGACCCCTACCCATTGACTTCGTGGTTGCTAAAGGTCCATTTTAAACGACGAAAACGCATTTCCCGAATTCAATGCTAATAAATTAAATCTGTTTCCGCTCGATACATGGAAAGTTTGACGTTTTAACTCCCTTAAGTTCCCGGATGAACACTCTCACGAGGAATTAAAACGGGCAATTTTAAGTGAGCAGGTATTTTCTCTCCTTAAGAGTCAGAGGAAAAACCAGCAATCGTAATTTGAGGTATATACATACGTAAACGTCCTTACCATGTAGTTATCCCTGCTTGCTTGGATGCCTGCTGCTGGGCAAACCTCTTTTCAGCAGCAAGTGCTCTCTTATAACAAAAACACGAAAAAAAAAAACTGGTTAGTTATTTTCGTCAGCTTCTTTGGCGGCTAAAAACTCTCTTCTTTTCTTTTCTTTTCTCTTCTTCTCTCTCTTCTCTCTTCATTTTCTATCTCTTCGGGGAGATTAGATTAGTTTATATCTAAAGTATCAAGACTTCATGCAACCCTGCGGCAACATACAAACTAAAATTCTCTGTCGCCCCACTGCCTATGCCAACGATTTAGATTTTTTCTGACGATTTGCAAAATTACCCGACCTTGTAAAACGTTTGTTTTTCCCTTACCGCGGTAACTTTGTTTGTTGTTAGACTAAGTTCAAATACACGCAAATAAAACTCGTGTTGATCTCAGTACCTCTGCAATTAGCCTTGCTTTTAAAAAGAGGCAAGTGAACACTCGAAAATGCGCCATTACCCTGACAGCCACAAAATACGCAGAATCAGTCTCAAGTGATGCATGCAGCCTACAAAAAGCGCGGGAAAATTCACCCGCGTAAGGAACTTATTGATGCTTTTGACTGCGCATTAAAGTAAGGCTATTTTATTAACCCAATCAAATTGTGATTGGACGATGACCTACTTATTTTACCCGCTAAAGACACCCTACCATTCAGAGATAAATTCATGAATGAGTAAAAATTTGTTACAGTGTTAGAGATAATTACCTTCTCGCGTTCACTCAAGGCTTGGAGAGCTTTCTTTTCTGTTTCTTCTTCCTCCTTTTTTCGCTCAAGAGCCTTTTGTTCCTAAGTGAGAAAAACAATGAACGACCAGTTAACCAAGCCACTGATTTCAAGCCTTCAACTAACTGTAATAAATTGTTATTTTATTCCATTGTATTCTTATCAGTTTTTTCACACTATATTTTAGGGCCTGTTTACACGGAGGTGGGGACCCCAGTAAGGTGAGGTAACCCGCTTAGATGGGGTAAACCGCCTGTCCATATAATCTCCCATTTTAATTTGATCACGTTTACATGATAGGTGGGGTGACCCGCCACATGTTACCTCACCTATCTGGGGTCCCCCACCTCCACGTAAACAGGCCCTAAGATTTGTTCATTCTTTTATCATTTCACGCAGTGAAGACTGCAGTTGAGGCGGTCGAAAGGTTTTATGTTCTAATAGTTTTTTAGCTAGAGAATGTTTTTACATTTCACGACTGTTTAACCCTTTCCCGGCTCCCAGAGTGAATGGTGGAGTCGTGAAAGGTAATTCTAACATTTGAGTCTGTGCTAAAAATGGTGCAGTGTGACTATTTAAATGAAATGCCCGGCTTTGCGAGTATTTTCACATGGTACTATTTTCTTTTTTTCAGGATTTTACAAAATAAAATGAAATTTGGCAGTTTTGTCTTATTTTGACTTTGCCAACTTTTAGGAGTGAAATGGTTAACCAACAGATTGTCTGGTTTTTTGCCATTGTGTACCTTAACCCTCTGTTTCTGAGCTTTCTTTTGAGCTTTTTTCCTTTCAGTGTTTCGCTTGTCTTTTTCACTTTCCATCTCTGGTGTCAATGCACTTGGAATCTGAAGCAAAGAAAGAAATACTTTACAGTGCTGCGTACACGCTTTAACATTGTAACGTGCGCAAGAAAGCACTTAAGAAACCTTTGATTGCTAACAAAGAACTTCACGCAGCCTTATTAGAACAAAGAAAGTAGGGAGAACGAAAACAAAGTCAGCCGCGCACATTGATAAGAGTTCCAAGTTAAAGTACACAAAATGTACGTTAAACAAGGTTTGCTATACGTGTAATATTTTGCCCTCACCCCCCGGGAAACACAAACAAATAAACAAACAAACAAACGGAAATTAAAAAGCATTGCCTTCAGTTTTTCTTAGGACGACAGTGATACCTAGGACAAACTTGGGGGGAGAGAGTGGGGGACAAACAATGTGTATAATGGGGAAAGCGCAAGTGATGAACAGCAATATTTATTCAAATGTTGTTAAAGCATAGCCCGAAAGAAAGATCCTAATGATGCTGACAGTTTCATTTGAATAGATATTGGAACTTACAAGCCTATAAAATTTCTTCGAGAGGTGAATAGCAATATTTTTGTTATTAGTATGTGAAGTTGTGAAAGGTTTGAACCCAGGAGTCATTTCAAAAGTAGGTTGAGTTTGATCGTCCGGGTGAATGTAGTCCTGAATAGGACTGTTGTTGTTGACAGTGACCGATGTTTCGACAACCTGTGCGGTAGTCATCTTCAGAGTCAAAGTGTGTTGTATCGCGTCAGTTGATGGTATTATAGTCTGGTTATTGATCTGATTGGTCAATTACGTCGCGATGTTATTGTGAAGTGATTGTTAAAATGTGATTGTGCGGGTGCGTGATTAACTGCGTTATCTATTACATATTCATTTAAATTCTTGACCGCCCCTTACCTGTGCTTTAGCGTAATCGTACCGATCTGGAAAAGCAGCCATAAACCGACGAAATTCATTTCTTGTTTCCTTGCTACCAGCAACAACGAAGGGTGGTCTTCCTCTACCATCCCTACAGAGCGAAAAAGCAAATGAAACCGATGATTCCTACTCAACATGGGTATGACAGCAAAGGTAAAGGTGATTTCCGAATACAGCTATTTCGAGAAAGGTTGTCGAGAAAAATGTGCACGCGACAATTCCGAAAGGAAATACGGGATGTGATCAATATACTGTTCCTCACACTGCAGCTGTCGAACCTACTTTTTTGTTTTTCTTTAACACTCGCAGAGATACATCTATGGCCTCTCGTGTCATTCTTTCAAATTTCTTTGAAGAACAGTGAACTCAAAACCAACCACAATACCCTTCGGGATTGTCGCGTGCACTTTTTCCGACAACCTTCATCGAAATAGATGTATATTTTCCATGTGAATGCAAAACTTACTTCACTGCAGGGTTGGCTCCGAACTCCAGTAACGATAATACGATGTCCGTGCGTGAAGAACGTGATGCCACGTGAAGAAGCGTTTCCCCACCTTCACCAAAGCAGCCATTTATAGCATCTAATAACCTTTTGGAAGACATGTCGCAAGCACTTCCTTCTCGGTCTGCTTCTGTTGTTTCTTCAACCCACGATTTACTTTGACAAAGTGAAATCGAACTAGTTCTTGTGTCCTCTTCTCCGCTCCGAACCAGTCCCTTCAATTCGTGTATTTTCAAGTCTGTGTATTCACTACTGTCAGATTCCTTACCGCACTGTTTAACACTGACATCGAACCGGCAGGATTCACTACCTTGAACTTGTAAACTACTATCAAAGTCTTTACCCGTCCCTTCAACCTTCCGATCATTTTCTAAGTCACTTTCTTGTAGCTCATTCATGCCGGAATTACCATAGTTTAAATTTCCATCTGCTTTAATTGGAACTCCTTCACAAGTTAAATCCTTTTGTCCAGTGCTATCAACACTATTCCTCAGAATAGAAGATATTACTTGTGTGTTGCCAGACACAACAGCACAGTACAACCGATTCCACAGATGTTGCTCGGGAGTGACTAAAAAATAAGGAATTAAATATGCGCATTACTGTAGACCCTCAAAAATCGTCCGTTTAGCGGGGTTAAAATACAATGAAAATACAGTGCAGTCTGAAATTTCGCCTGCGTAGCTGGCGGGATTATTGTGCCCGGGGTTGCTCCCAGTCTTCACGCAGCTCCGCCGCCAAAAAACTACAGCCTCCGCCTCCTTATCCCGCTAGCTACGCAGGCTATCTAAAATTGCGAAGGAATAACAGCCGGTTATAACGAGAGAAAGATGCTTTGCAGTAGCTGTCTATAGGCCTTTTTCAAAAATATCATAATACTCTTTGTTTTCCCTCCAAAATTTTGCATAAGCTTTGTTTTCAATTTCTCTTGGGAATTACAATCGCCCCAAGAGAAATTGACGCAAAGTTTTGGAGGGACAATAAAGAATATCTTGGTATTCTTGAAAAAGGTCTATACCACTGTATATTGCAAACACAGGATGGACGAAGGGGGTTATCACTTTGGAGCATTTCATATAGAGAAGTCCAAAGGATTTCACGCTAAAGCTGTCATTTGAGCGCTACAGTTCTTAAAATGAAGGTGCTAAAAGGCGATAAATGAAGAAAACGACAGCTGTCTAAGAAGGATTTCTTCCACTGCCTTACCCTTGTTCCTGAGGCGAATAAACCGGATACAAAACCAAAACGTAACGTCCTGGCCCTGGTTGTTGAAACGTTGGATAGCGCTCAGAATCCACCGGATAAATCACTGTCAAGGGGATAAGTACTAGGGAGACCAATTGCCGACTCCACTTGTTCGAAAGGTGGATAACGCCAACCACTGAATGGCGCAATTGGTTTTCCTAATACTTAACCCAGGGCTGTCATTAAGGGCCGGGGATTTTCGCCGGCTACTATGAACATGTCCCCCGTCTACTTTTCAGTGTAGGAAAACAGAAGAAAAATAGAACCAAACAAAATCCCTAGTTGCTGGATTTCCCGCCTACTTGTACATCATTAGCCCGGCAACTTGAAATTTTAGTGACAGCCCTGACTTATCCGCTGGATAGAGATTTATGTAGTGGACTGCGCTATCCAACGTTTGAACAACCCGGGCCCGCGGGTGGATGGCGTTTTCCACCTTAGCAACAATTGAGTGCAGGTACCTTTATAACAAGTAGCAGATAATTGGGTCTATCTAACTTGTTACCTTCATCTTCTTCATTCAGTTGTGAATCAGCAGCTTTTTTACTTTTAGCTTTCTTCCTTTTTGTTTTCTTGGAAGCTTCTTGAGGTCTAGCAGCAGTTACCGTCGCGGCTTGATCAGCGTGGTGTTCAACACTGCTTTCTTGTGTATCAAGTTTCCCTCGCTCTTTGATGCCGTATTCATTCGTTTGAGTGCCCTCCCATGAGAGAATTTTGTCCTCTGTAAATTTTGGCGTATTCTCTACAGGCTTTTCTTGTGTCAACTGTGTAAAAAGACTTTGCACATCTACATCTGTATTCTTTCCTGAAAGAGACATGACAGGAAAATTTACTGTCTTTCTGCAATGTTTTCATATAGGACCTTTTTCCTTAGCAAGATAGACTAACTTACCCAGTAACTGTACACTAGATAACTCCTGATGAACACGTTTGACTTCCTTGAATGTCGGTCGTCTGGTGGGAAAAGGTATCGTTCTGATGCGCTCATCATCTGAGAAAGTAAAACGACAGGTTAGCTACAAAACCCACGAGCAGCTTAGAAAAAATTCTGGCAAAATAACTTCAGTAAAGCTCCTGCTTGTAAGACACTTGACAACAATGGCAAGTAAACTTTAGCAGGGACTGATAATTTTAATCGAGACTAATTGTCTCGAGTCAGACGACCACTGCTGTCCTTCCCGTTATTTTTTAATAACGTGAAGCACGTTCTATTATTGCTATCTTTGCAACGCAATTTTTTAGCAAACTACCGAAACACTTATCCTACCTTTTTTAAAAGGTGGTTTTTTCCCTCCAAAAAACATGGACTTGTTATATGCAGGAGTCCTGAGGAATATTCTATCGCAGTGTTCCACGTGCTGAGACCACGCCTCAAGGAGATCTTGCACTTCCTACAGCAGCAAAACAATTGCACTGGTCAAAATAGTAATTCTCTTTACTGTCATTTCCGCCTTTCCATGAGTGTTCTAAAAATTTCTTGCACATTATGGACGTCCTTATTATAGATATAGATATTAATTTCCTGACTTTACAGTCTTCTCCACATTTACACCAGGACCAAGGACCTAGTCATGCTCCAAAGTGTCACTCTCAAGAACTACTGATAACTCTTCTTTGGCATTTATCGACATTCAACGTTGTTTGATCTGTACTGCACTTAAGTCGATTCATAATGGTGTTTACAAATCGACTGGAGTAGACAGCTGGTATTAGTGGTGTCTGTCCTTAACAGCAAACACAAATTTTACAGACTTATTGATTGACTTGAGGGTTAATTAACATCCTTTAGTATCGTTATTAAAAACACGGCAGTTGGCTTCAAAACAGCCATACCAACCTGCACGAGGGCAGCTTCATTGTATCGCCTTAGACTTGCTCCGGCAGATCTATGGGTTTAAAAGAAGCTCCACCATTAGGCTTGGCTAATCATCAATCGATGAAACAAAAATTTGTTTTGCAGGATGCTTTAATCCATTTGTTTCGCGTCTGCTTGAAGCAGGACCTCTCAATAAAACCTTCAAAAAACTCAGTGGAATGACTCTACTCAGTGAGTACAGCTGTACATATTGCTATCGTACACCATGTCAATATTGTTTTTCATGACAATCTTATTACTATGTAGTAATTACTACAACTTAGCTACAGGATACTGATATGCACACCTGTAAAATATATGCGTTCAAAAAAAAAAATACTTCTTTTCGACAACGCCACCGACAAAGGCCTTTATGCATAAGAGAAGCTGATCTCTAAGACTTATGATCAAATTTCGAGTTCATGATACACTTTCTAAAAGACGTTATATTAACCAAGCAACTATAATACTAATACAAAACAATAAAATGATAATACAGTTTGCTGAAATTTGAGCTAAACGTGTCTGAAAATGCATTGATAGCTCAAAAGTTATTCACAGTCTGTCCTTAACCTTTTCATTTGTAGACAGGTAGTGTTATTGTAGTGAAAAACCCTTATCGCTTACTTAGGCTGTTTTCCTCCCTGTTGGGAATCCCTGGCACCTTGAGCAGTGCCTCGCTTTGCTCTGACTGTATAGCGATGAAATGTCTTGTGTGTTAAGACATCTTTTCCCCTGAAGACTGCCCCGGCAAAGTGACCTCCTGCTGTCATTAATATCACCCAGTAGTCCTTCTTTGGCAAACTGGTCAGTAGTGATAGCATTGCATCCGGTGTAACTGGGATGTTCTGTGAGAAAAAAATTGGAGCAAATTAAAAAAGATTAAAAAAGAAGAGTCTGGAGCAAAAAATGTAACTGCCATCACGCAGGCGCGGACCTCACCAGTTTCCGCCTTTTTACGGAAATTGGTCAGATTTTCGTAGGAAACTTATTTATATTAATAAAAAAACACTTTCAAGTTGAAATCTGGCCACTATCCTGTCTAAATGACTCGGAAACTAAGGGAAAGGGACTTTAAGGAGTAGAAATCCTGCCCTCAAATCCCCCTTGAAGCTTGTGCTTTCGGCACTCATTTAGGAAATTAGTCAGTATCCTAGATCCACACCTGTCATCATTGACATTATCATCAACATCATCATCACCATCATCATCACCATCATCATTAAAACTTACCTTCACAGAATACAACACAGTTCGATAAACAGACAAAACATCTCCATCTTCGTTAACAAAAAACACCTTGGGATGTTTCCTTTCTCCAATCACAGCCAATCTGATGTCATCTCTTCCCTCAAATTGATGATCATTGATTGGAGACATGGTGCACTGTGCTGCAGACTCCATACTCAGGTCTCCATCACTATCTGTGTCACTGTCTGAACCAGAGATGCTAGATAGTTCCCCTGTGAAAAAAGAGAGAAAGAAGTGAGGTGTTTTATCATCACTTGAGGTGCAGATCAGTGGTAGATAAAAAGTCTGGAAGCCTGACTGTTTTTTGGCAAAAGGCGGAGTCCCTTAAAAAATAACTATAATTATGGGGGTTCTTTTCAAAGAGTTTTGAAAACACCTCGTCTAAAAAGCATAAGAGTCCCTTCATGTTGCCGTGGCTTAAGAGGTACCAACAATCAGTTGATTACAAAATAATTCCCAAAATTTTATTTATTTATTTATTTATTTATTTACCAGCTTTTCTGGTCACAGGCCTGCCCAGAGGGAATGTGCACGAATGGGACTCACATCCCATGGGAGGTGCCATCCGTACCCAATTCCACAAACTGTAAAGGTTGGCCACAATACCGGGGTCTACGACCCCAACTCTTTTCGAATAATGATGTGGGTTCTTTTACGTCCCACAAGAACAAATCAGTGAAAGTGCTGTAAGACAGGACATACGGTTTTTTGTCCTCATCCGAGAAGACTAGAAAGTCTAACCATTTGCAGATGTCATTACAAAGGCAGCCCTTTCTTCTCAGTTATTTAAAGACCCTGAGTGTTGGTCCGGCTGAGGTTGGAACCCACGACCTCCCGCTCGGCAGACCGGCGTTCTCCCAACTGAGCTAACCAGGCGGCAGTTTTTTTATCCTGACGGTGCAGCTTAAAAGGTCCTCTACATTGTATCCCCGAAACTCCTCATGATAGTGATGGGAGTCATACACTGTACTTAAAGAGATTTTAAGTGACATCAAACAAAGGGAATGTTCCCAGGGGATGATCCGGATCAGGATCTATGATCCACAATGACCTCAGATTATGGTAATCAATCCTTTTCCAGATAGAGTTTAGCAGTCTTTTGATACAACGTGATCTGAGTGATCTTGGATCATAAATCCTGTTTCAGAACATCCCAAAGGACAAATTGCAAAAACTTTACACAATAGAAAATATGGCAAGCAACCATTTTCTATAGGGCAGTCCCCCTATGGGTTTTTGGGTGAACACAGTAAGAATAAGGCAAGTCACACTTTAACTACAATCCTCAATGCAAAATAGGAAAGGGCTTTCTTCAACCTTGTACTCTTTCAAAAGGGTACAGTCAAGGCTGTGCCGTAAGAAAAATTGAAGGGACCCCAGTACTCTAAACCTGAAAAATCTAGGGTGCCCAGCAAATGACTTGTTTCCAAAAAAAGATTTTCTAGCCTGGGTGCAAAAGTTGGGCACTAGAGTCCACCAGGTTAACCACTATAGGGCACAGCCACTATACCAACAGAGCTCACAAGGAGGTGTTTGTCCATTCTGATAATCATCACAGAGTATAATTATGGTACCTGAAATAGTTTCCTCAAATGCATCCTCTGATAGTATAGGTTTGTCCATCAGCTTCTGTTTCAAGTTGAACCTGTGCCAGTCCAGCTTAAAATGTTCTCTCTGCCAATGGAAACATAAAAATGTATGAGCCATATCAGCGTGCAAAGAAAGTAGTGTCCGATAGCCAGGGACTAAAGGATTTTGCTATCGGGCTAGTGACTTCTGTTTTTAACTTGCCCAATGGGCAAGTGATATTTTCTTAGGAATTTGAATAACAGAGGAACTGTAATCAATCCTGCTCATCAAATTTTTTTCGGGCTAGTTGAAATGACTTTTGGGCTACTACATGCTAGCTACAGCTTGCCCAAATGGCAAGCTGTAAAACTGACTTTCTTTGCACCCTGCATATATTTTACAGTATATGTCCATATAAAATCACTTTTCTACCAAAAATAATCACTTTCAAGTATTTTGCAGAATTACCTGAGTTTCCACAGAATCAAAGATAACTTGACAAACTGAGCAGCTTGTCCCAGACTTTTCAGCAATTTCAAGTGGAGCTGTATGAATTAATCAAATAATCAAATTAACAGCCCTGGAAAACAGAGGAAAAACTGCATATTCTATCCAGGTGGCACAGTTTGGACATAATGTGTCATGATTCTACAAATTAAATTTAAAGTTATAAATCCCACCCTGCCTATGGCCACTCTGACAGTCATCTATCACAACCTCCAACCAAAGAATTCAATAAAAAATAGGCCTAACATGACAAAAAGTAAAATTTGATATTTTTTTTTTATCTATTTTCTAATTTTGTATCTCTTGTAATCTCTATCAGGGCAAATAATGGTACTTGGAAAGTCTAAATCATGGATTTTTTAGTTATAATGACTTTACGATGTATTTTGACTCTGCAGCCTTTTATATACTAAAGAGACTGCGGTGTACATGGCAATTGCTTATCAATACAAAGGAACTAATGATGCATACCAGACCAGGATTAGTTATCTGAGATCACCTGGATTTGTGGCATTAAATTAGTGAACTGATTAATCTTTGCAAAGAGTGTTTTCATCCATTCCTTTGATACTTTGTGATCCGAGTGATCAATTGGATCGCTGATCCTGATTCAGATCATCCCGCGCACCCTTAAAATGGGAACTCATGACCCAACCTGAGTTAATTTAATATTATTATTAAATTATTACAACCTTGAAGGCTTGACAAGACAAATTAATCCATCCTAATAATATTCTAAGATCATGGACTCCACTGACTCATATCTAAACATCTTATGTTGTCTTTATAGTCTATAAGTGCTGTACAGTGTAGGCAAAACCAGGTTTGATCTTCAAGAGAGGGCTAATAAGTCAGGCAGGCAGGCAGGCGGGTTTTAGAGTGGAAGTACTGTACACTGTATTTCAACTCTAACCTTGATTAAGATTACACGCATTATTACTTTAAATAAAGATGAAATAGTCTGAGCTAACAATACCATTTTGTTGAGGGTATTCTTTTTCGCACAGCATCTTCTCGTTGTCTCCGTTTTCAGTATTTCTAGCAACTCGAAGTCCTTTTAACAACTCCATCAATTCTTGATCAAACAGCGAAACGCCAGCGGCCGATCTTGAACTCGTCGTAGCGATAGCCATTTTTCGGCAGTGATCTTTCTCTACCATTCTTCTTGTCATTAACTGATATTTTAGGATTCACTTGTCTCTATTATATTGTATTCTTGACGAATTGCACCATCAATATCTGACCGCGCGAAATAAAAAATATCCGCGAAGAGCTATTTTGGTCTTACACGTAAGCTTAAATGCTTTTCCTTCCCTCTGTTTTTACTTAATCTTCTTTCATTATCCGCTGGTACCGAACATATCCTGACATATCTGACCAAAACATAGTCCATGTTTTTTTGGCATTTTCTCTAAAAATCTCACGAAAAATTTGTCAACATCAACAGATGACCCCATGAAGCTGGTGAAGCCATCTTGAAAAATTGTGGTTTGAGTAGTTCCCATGCCTAACCGCGCTCGCTCTTGCCCAGGCTCCAACCCAGGCTCTGTGATATTCCAGAAAAACTGTGACAGGTAGCGCAAGCTCGAAATATGAGCATCGGCGAACATCGGCATAGTTGCCTAACATTCAAAATATAAGGATTTGTATGGGAAAAAACCTATCGTTTCTGTAACCTACGGAAATGAAAGGATTTCAATAAAAAACAGCTTACCTTACTTATTATATTAAATTGTGTGTTACGTCTCCCCTGTGTGGTCCACGGGCCGATTTATGGCCGTTTCATGGGTTTTTATGTAAACGATTTTCTCTCTATATAAAGGTTTACCAACCTTTACATTCATTTTCGTAGGTTACCGAAACGATAGGTTTTTTCCCGTAGAAATCCTTACATTTCGAATGTTACGCAATACGCAACAATGCCGATGTTCGCCGATCCCTCAAATTTCGAGCTTGGGTTACCTGTGGTAAAATTACAGACTTTGTATGGGGTAACATACGATGCTAAAATTTATAGGAAATACTTAATAAAGGTCAATGAAACTTACTCTCCGAATTTTCGTGATAATTTTCTCAAATTCAGCCTCCATAAAATACAATACACAGGGTAGGAGGCACGAGATGGCATCTCCGCGGCTATGCTCCCTTTCCAACACAACCAGTTTTTCACAAATGATAAATAAACGTGCTAGGATCGAAGAAATAGGATAGCATCAAATAGAGAAACCAATGAAGCTTTCCCAGCTAGAGAAACGAATCCAGCAGACTTTGACAAACTCGAAGGAAATAATCCAAAAAGGCCGAAAGTGGCCGAGCCAGATCAAAGCTCGGCTAAGCAAATGAGAATATATATATATAAAAAAAGAAGCAAGGCTGATTTTGCAGTCGGGAATATATATATATATATATGTTTTTACCAATATTTCGGAGGGCTAAAAATAGAATAAATAAATAATAGCAAATAAAAGAAATAAAGACTGTATTACAAATGATTTCATCTTTCTTGTTCATACCTAACGGTTCAAGAATACAGTCTTTATTTCTTCTATTTGTTATCAGTTATTTATTCTATTTTTAAATTTCTAATTTCTTTCCAATCACTACTTCAACTGTTTCTGTTTTCAACGTCCACTCCATCCTCATTTAAATTTTCATATGTTATTATAGTATCATATTGCACGCTATTCTTTATTTCAAATTGTAACGTCTTAGCTTAACCTCTTCATTCAGTATGTAAGACCCTGAAAAAGGAAGGCCGTGCCTTCCGAAATATTGGTGAAAATATATTATATATTCCCGACTGTAAAATCAGCCTTGCTTCTTTAGTTTTATATTTTCACTTACAGCTGATTAGATCCTTTCTTAGGATCCGGTCCTTCTTTTTTGTAAGCTGGTCCTTGCTTCAAAAATTGAATTCAAGCAAATGAGGCCTGGGCACTGCACTGTACAAATCCAACCTCGTCCCTAGGGAAAATCCCTGGAGACGAGTGTACAAATCAAATCCATACCGGGTCTCCTGCTGGGGTGGCCGATACATAGATTTCCCAAAGTTAGCCTCCCCTGTTGGAAATACATTTGCTCGAAAGCTATTGTTAACTTGAGCCAATCTTAGTCAGTAGAGCGCTTGACTCTTCTGAGAGAGGAGCTCGAGGTTCGGGTTCGATTTCCGATTTGATACTCGGGGCTTAAAAAACGCTGAGCAGGCCTGAGACTACTCAGAGTTTTTGACAAATCAACTCTTTGCCATAGTGCCAGCCCTGAATTCAGTTTTCTTTTAAGTTACTCCCATTGCACTGCGTGCAAGCTACTAGACCTTCGCGTGGCTCGGATGACCACGCAAACTGGCTGTCCCGTCTCAAGTCGGAGACGTAAAAATAGTGCCCCCAATTAGTACTTTCGTGCCAAATACATTGACGCTCGAATAAATTTTAAAACATCATTTTTTTAAGAAAATGCGAGTCAACAGGACGTGAAAAAGGCGGGAAAGCGAAAAATTGTCGAGTCCTACGTCGAGGCCTGGCTCGAGTCATCCTCAAGCGAACTGTTTTCGTGTTTAGCGAAAGTTGATCACATGATCAACTACTGATGCAAAAATGGCACTTGAGGTTACTATCGCTACCTTCTCAGCTATCTTACCATTCAGGCTGTTAAGCCATAGTTTCAATTTTCTCTCGTAAATAAGTGTAGATCGCTGTTTTCATTTTTGACTTTCATTAGGTCAACGAAACCCCATCACCCTGATAAATAAACACAAAATAACTATATAATACCTTGCACGATCTTGGTCAAGAAAGAAAGCTTAAAAAAGTAAAATAAAATAACCGCTGAATACCGGTGTATCCTATAAATGTTTTTTAAAATCTTCATAGTGGTTTCAGATTTACAGGTGGATGTTGAGAATATCTGAAAGAAAACGTGGTTTTCTATTGAAAAGCAAATCAAGTTTATTTAATAGACACACAGGCTCCCAAACTTAATATAGTGTATAATATACTGCAGATAGCGACAGCATTAATTTGATCATCATAAACCTGGCTAATAGAAAATTATTCTATAGAAACAGTGGGCCGGTGTACTTTAACAAAGCAGTTAACACGACTAATGGCAAACTTAACTGAATATAAAAACAGCACAAGCTCGACCGAAGTAACAGCATGATGGAATGCTTTTACAACAAGCCTGGCAATTCTTGCAGACCTCAATATTTTTCTCGCCATTACCGCAAATAGAACGTGACAGTCATCCTGCTCAGCTCAAAACACTGAAAAACAAATCGTTAACAGGATCTGTTTACTTGGGAACTGTTTGAATATCCGTCAGTTCCTCTGTTGCTTTCCGACGAAGCAGCTCTGTGCTCAAACTAGAACGAATTCCTCCCATATATGTTCAACCTATTTTTTCTTTGCAACAAATGTAAAGACATGGCAAACTCAAACAGCACAAGCTCGACAGAAGTAACATCATGGAGTGCTTATTCAACAAGCATGGCAATTCTTGCAGGCATCAATATTTTTCTCGCCATCGCGGCATCTCTTGGCAACGCTCTGATCCTGATTGCTCTTCATAAAGTGACGTCTATTTATCCACCAACAAAACTGTTATTTCGATGCCTGGCAGTCACCGATCTTTTAGTTGGTCTCAACACTCAACCTATTTACGTAATGATTCTTATTTCTTCAATAACAAAGAGTCGCGCGGATCACATTGTAGCCCGGCTTGAGCAATATCGAGGGTTTTGGAGTGGTTTGTTGCCTCTAGTATCGGTTCTCACATTATCCGCTATAAGTGTCGACAGACTTCTTGCCCTATCTTTAGGGCTGAGATATAGACACACTGTAACCTTAAGGCGCGTTTGCGCCGTCATAGTCGGTGTGTGGTTACTAAGTGCCCTAACTTACACAGGGGTTATATTCTTTGTTAATAAGATAGCATATTACTTTACTAGAGGGACCTTCATTTTCTTAGTCATAATTTCTGTGGTTATTTCAGCGTTCTGTTACATAAAAATTTTTGTCTCTCTTCGTCGTCAGCAAGCTCAAATTCAACAAGAACAAACATACGGAGCACGCCAGAGTCAACTAAATATAGCGCGATACAAGAAGACAGTGTACACCATAGCATGGGTGCAGTTAGCTTTACTTATTTGCTATGCTCCATACGGCATAGCATTGTTAATAGGTCTGGCTATTAACATACCCCATTCTTCCACCGAAACGAAAGTCGCTTGGCGAGCATTATTAACTCTCCTGTTTTCGAACTCTTCTTTCAGCCCGGTACTTTATTGTTGGAAGATTAGAGATGTGCGACAAGAAGTGAAGAACATTATCCACAAAGTTTGCTGTTGCTCTTATTAAAAGTTTAGGGTTACGGAGGCTGTTATCCTCTTCGATCTGCATAATTCTTTGCATCATACTCATTCTCATTCAATAATTGTTGAATATTTTACCGTGATCATTCAATAATTGTAAAATATTTTACCGTGATCATAATTACCCCCAATAAAGTAGTAGTCATTCAGGAGCTCCTCAGAGCTAAATAATGTATTCATTGAATTGCTCAGCCATTTATTCCAACAAAGGAAGTTGTATAGTAAATCAAAACGTCAAACCTCCTTTAGGGTGCATGTTTTTAGACCAATGACTATTTCAAAAGTGTTTGAAAACAGTTCAAACGCGACTGGATCGAATAAACACGGAATCTTTTTAATAAATAAAGGTTTTTGTCATGATTTTTCAACACTGAAAACGTGACTTTCTTTTCAGCTTAGAGGAAGACCTAACTGTTATCTAATTTCAAGTCACTGTTTATACTGCCCTGAGTTGTTTTTTTAAAACACTGACCCGGTCTGAACAAAAAACTTTATCACCATCATATTCAACGTAACAAAACTGCATTCTTGGCTAACCCTGATTACACAATGTTTTGTGAAAATATATTCCAATAGGAATGAAATTCGACATTTCAGTCAGAATCATTTGCATGGAAAAGAATCGTATTGCAACTGAGAGGAAAACTTATAGATTTGTTTTTTGGTGTTTTGCGAATCCTCAGACAGCTTCTGCATAAGAGGGCCAATATGGACTTTTCTCCGAAGAAAACGAAAATAACTGCTCTAAAACCCTCTATAGAAAACACCGGATCAAGAGCGGGCAATTGCAACCAATTAATAGTTTTTATCATTGTTTATTTTTCCAAACTCATTCAAAAGACTCTAGACGAGGGATTAATTTGCTTGACTTTTAGTCTATGGACTAGCTTTTTGGTCTGTGGCAAATACATGACTAAATTATATCAATTCATATCAATTTAATAGTTGCTCTTTCAAACCGTAGTTTCCACCCAACTTATTTTATAATTTATTCACAAAAACAGGAGCCCATCATGACGGGCCCCTGACAAAAAGAAATGCATACATTGATTCCGATGAATAAAATCCAGGCAGATACACTTGTTTGATATTGAAATTGTATACCATGTTTAAAACAGAAGACCCTGAGAATCCAGCCTGTTCACAGATCCTCTATTTCAGTCTTCAAAGTCCGTCGAGCGCGCGTGATATAAACTGCGGAGGATTTATTGACCGCCAGCGCAAGGGGGTAGGGTAGGGGAAGAATTTTTCTTTCTCGAGCTCCGCGCTCGCCCTCGCTCTCGCTCTCGCTCTCGCTCGCCGACGTTTTCGAAAAGAACGAAAAGAAAAATAAAACAAGGGCTATGTACAGACTACTGAGAACCATACCCTGTTCCAAGGCAAATCCCCTTTTAGCGTCTTATGCGTGCCAAATAAGTGAGTACCATCACTGTTGAAAACACATAGTTTAATTAAAGACAACCACATAAAATAAATACATCACAAAACAACAGAGTTAATAAGTCACCTCTCTCCTTCGCAGAGGCTTTCGCTGGGTATCCCAATAAAAAAAGCAGTAATCGAAAAATGGAAAGCGCGCGGGGGACGATGGGAGAATAGCACGTTAAATGACAATGACCTCTTCTCTCTTTCCCCTTCCCATCGTGCCCCGCGTGCTCTATATTTCTTTCTCCCCAGCCCCCCTACGACACAAAGAGGCCTCTGCGGAGGAGAGAGGTTGGTCACTATGAACCGCAAACAAAGAATAAACGTTTCAAGCCATTAAAAATTGTCTGCGTATCAAGAAATGGTCTATTGTTCCGGGTCCAATTCACCAAAACAATACCCTTTTGTCCTAGGTGTTGCTGTCGAAAACAGACCGAACAGTCTGTGCATGATCGTTTAATCTTCGGCGTGACAAATTTGTAATATTAGGGGGGAGGAGAGAGGTTTTTTATGCCTTGACGCGGTGCTATTTTAACTGGGGTACTGAGGGGAAAGTTTCGCCACGAGGCGCTCGTTGTCAAGTAAACCATAGGGGCGTAAACGTTTTCTGTTTGCTTATCTTACATGTAACTACTACCAGACATGATAAATTAACAAGTGAGATTTACTGCGGCACACAACGCAGGAGTGCATATTTTGCGGGTTGAGCAAGAAAACCGTTTCACTTTTGATGGTATCGTAATTTTTTTCTCAGCGCTCTGAACAAGAAAATATTATTTCAGAAATACTTTACAGAGAACGTTCTTAAACCGTTATTAAAACAAGCTCAGTATTATTTGCGCGACCTACATTCAAAGGTGCGATCTTTGAATGTAATTTATACCTTTTTCTAATTTTAGAGCGCGCAAAATGCGTCCCATAATTCTCTTAACAAAATAAAATTGACAAGTGAGTCTACAACACATTTTAAAAACGACTTTCATTCTTATTCTAAACGACTTTCATTCTTATTCTCACCCAAGCGGCCCAGAATACGTTTTAACGATCTTTGTAATCCACAAATTTTTCCTGCTGAACTGAATTATTCGACTTTCTTATGTGCGCAACTTTATTCTCTCAAGAAAAGAAAAAAAAAGATTTTAGTCTTCAGTTCATTTTTACAAGCATTTCGAAAAGTTCATTAAAGAATATCCGGAAAATCAATAAAGCAGTCCTGGAAAAAATATAAGCAAAATTATTTTGATAATATAACTGCAATGGCAACGGATTATTATTAGCATTAACGAAGCGAAAGTTGGCTTCCTTGCGTGCAGACAGAGACACAGTTATCAGTAATTCAAGCCATTCAACGTCACCTGTCCATATCTACCCATATCGTTTATACACGACAGTATTTATCAACCCAATAAGGTGGTTGTCATTTCGTAGTTTTTAATTAAATTCGGGCTGGGCGTTCGTCCATTGAATTTCCATTTACACACAATTTTTCAAAAAAGAAAGTTTTCTTATAAATCCAACAGTCGGTGCGCAAACTGAGCTCCTTAGGTTTGGCTCCTAGACCAAGAAAAATCAATAAGATAACATTTCGGTTCAAAGAGGACGAGACGTTTATCTTTCAGACGGACAAAGACACCAACACTGCGAAAAATTTATAGGTCACCCCCATTTGACGATAAAAGTGTTTTAAGGAAGTGAAAAAAAAAACACTTTATTTCTTTTCTATAATTAATGTGTACGCACGGGCGTAAAGTATGTGCGAATATGGGAGCTAGAATAACGCTCCTGAGGAAGACTACTTGTAGTAAAATCATGCAGTCTTTTTCAATAAAGAATTGCATTTCTTGTTACAATATCCTTTACCTCATAACACGAATTTATTAAACGTCACAGCCGTCCTGCTCAACTCAGAACAATTAAAAACAACCCGTTACGGTTGTCATACTCTGTTTACTTAGGAACTGTTTATACTGACTTGCAGTTCCTGTGTGTTGCTTCCCGAAGCAGTTTCAGAAGGAATTCTCTCCGTATATTGAACATATCAGAAGTTTCTTTAAAACAAATTAATGTACTGATTAAGACATGGCAAACTCAACTGAATATGAAAACAGCACAACTGCGACTCAAGTAACATCATGGTATGCTCGTTCAACAAGCTTCGCAGTTCTTGCAGGCCTTAATATTTTTTTCGCCATCACTGCATCTCTTGGCAACACTCTGATCCTGATTGCTCTTCATAAAGTGACGTCCATTTATCCACCAACAAAACTGTTATTTCGATGCCTGGCAGTCACCGATCTTTTAGTTGGACTTATTTCTCAACCACTATATGTAACTTTTCTCTTTCGCTTTTTTACAGCATGGAATGTGAATAACACTGCAATTATGGATGCAGACAATTTTTTCTTTTCCCTGCTTCCTGCAGTATCACTCCTTACATCAGCCGCCATCAGTGTGGACAGACTTCTTGCTCTGTTGTTAGGGCTGAGATATAGACACGATGTAACATTAAGGCGAGTTTGGCTGGTCATAGTTTGTTTTTGGTCGATTAGTGCCCTTCAAGCCACAGTTAGTATAATCTATGAACATCCAATACTACCCGAAATATCCTGGTGGTTATTCTATTCCTTGTTAACATTTTCCTTGCTAGTTTCAGTATTCTCTTACGTGAAAATATTTAAAACCCTTCGTTATCGACAAGTTCAGGTTCATCGCAATACTCAACAAGGACAGCGGCCAAATGGAGGAGGGGATCAATTGAACATAGCTCGATACAAGAAGACAGTGTACAGCATAGCATGGGTGCAGTTAGCTTTACTTATTTGCTATTTTCCATATAACTTATTAGGATTTTTAAGGTTGTTCGATAAAGTATCATATTCGACCGAAACATCTATTCTTTGGGAATTGTTCGTGACTCTCCTTTATTTAAATTCTTCTTTAAACCCAGTACTTTATTGTTGGAGGATCAGAGATGTGAGACAAGAAGTGAAGAACATGATCCGCAAGATTTTCCGCTGCTTTTAAAAATTAATAACTATAAAAAAGGAACTCTTACAGTGAGCTCATTTTGCTACGGGTATCAGAGCCTGTATACCTTTTGAGACCCATACAAAGTTAGAAAATATCTCAAGTAATTAAAACAGAAATTCTGAAAGGGGATGATTTTTTTGTTAATTCATGTGTCTAGAAAATTGATGATTTTCATCTGTTAAAAATGAAAAACAAATAAAAATGCTTAATGTTGGCCACTTTTATACCTTATTTACTCTTTTTTCTGTAGGCCTTTACTTAAGAACCACCTTTTTTATGGTTTACCAAAAAAAGAATTGTTGTTTTTCAACTTTCGCACAATACAACCCCAAATCAGGGCAAACTAAGAAGGTTTAGCTCATCAGTGAGAAGGCGGGAAAAAGCTGGGGAAGTGAGGGATGATATGTCAACAAGCCTAATCTTACGCAGTTCAAACTTACAGTTCTAGGGAAAAGATTTAGGGCATCCATCTGGTGAGGGTGATAGATAAGAATTTTTAGTCTGACAATTCGATATAAGATTTTTTTGTGCAGTGAACATAGTGCGATACAGAAAGACTGAACAGTCAGTATATAGCTGAGCATATAATAGGTGTAGTTGACTTTACTTGTTTGCTATGCTCCTTTAGTTACAGCATAGCATGCGCATTGTTTATAGGTCTGGCAATTAAACTGCCCGAAATAGAGCGGTCGATGTGGGGCAGGATAAAGATGTGCAAAAATACAAGAAGTGAAGAACATTAATTATTCGCAAATATTGCAGTCGCTCTCAAAATTCAGGGTAACAAAGTTAGAATAAACGACAGGTCGATTGTGTATTATCGAGACCACAGATCTTGATTACGAATTTATTTTTAAATAAAGAGCTTTCCACTGGGAAAGAGAGGTTGCAGTGCCACCCCACCTATTTCCAAACACCACCATCCGAGACTACTATACGGAAAAAGTCGGGTCTCAGAGTGTTAAAACATCAAACATTAAGACAAATTGAAAGAGTTGTTGTGTTTGTTATAGTTATCGTTTACCCAGCTATTTGAACTTGTTTTTTAAACGTTCACGTATGGTGCTCTAGAATTTGATTGTGGAGGGAGTCCAGAGCAGAAAAGACGTTCACAAAACTGTCGGACAAAGTATATGAAAATTAACAAAACAGAAGCTTTGACTGTGCTCTGTTCTGTTGTAAAGCACGCAGAAAGCGGCTAGAGCTTGAAAAAGGGAAACACGAGACGCAGTTTGGGAGTGTTTGTCTCTACTTCTTGAGTGTTAGCCCTCACTTTAACTTCTCTATTTTTCCTTAATTCCCATTACTCCCTGCTCGCGCTCTGCGTTCGTTCCAATCAGGGTTGATAAAGGTTGGGCGGTGAAACGAGCGCTCCGCTCTTAATTCAATGATTGATGGGCAGTAGGACTGGCACGAGCGCTCTTTCCGCGCTTCCGGTACGCTTGAAGGCCGGTGAAATTTTCCTTTTTGCAAACCGGAAATCCTATTTTCTTTCTGTAATTTTAGGCTACAATGTTAAATAGATAAATTTGTTTTATAACAATATTAATAAACAGTTTGATATGTTAATGTTCGTGTGCCTAAAAGTCAAACTTGTTGGTCGTGTAATGCCAAAATTTGAGTTCAATTTGAAAGTGTTGAAGGCCTCCTCCTTCCGCTAAATATCACCTAATCGTCTTTCGCCGTTTCGTTTCTAAAAGCTTAACACTTCTCAACCGTAATTTTTACATATGGTAAAGGGGGATAAATTTTACATAACATAACAAAAAATTAGCTTGATATATTTTGATATAGTGGCGTTGTAGTACTTCAAACATTGCTTCTCGGGAGGAACGCGCTATGGCGATTCGCGCAATGCGTCGCAAATCCGGCAACCGCATGTAAACAAAATTTATTGAGGTTAATTGTAAGGTTTTTTCTCCGTTTTTCTCTCTAAAAAAAGACAAATGAAACAGTAAACACTGAGGGAAAACTAATTTTGAAGTTCCGAAGAAACAGAAAGACGTACGACCGAGATGTTTTTTTCAAAATTAAAATAAGGATGATGGTGATTGAAATTAGCATAATTACACCTTGCACGAGGTGCACGCATTTATAAAATACATGCGTCCAGTCTAGTTATGAAAAACCATCTGCTGTCTTTTACTTTGCCATGGATGACATGGATGAGATTTTCCTTCGTGTTTTAGACAGTATTTAGTTGTTTTTGTTTTGGTATAACATCGGCATGGGCGTAATATAACGAAAATATAATTCAGTGGTAGAGTCATGGAAGTAACCAGAGAAACCATTTGAAAGAGATGTTTGTTTACTCCAACTAAACCTCCCACAAAAAATTAGCAACATTTGCCTCTTAGAGACAACGTACCAGCAGAAAGGAACGAGGAAGAAGTGCAAGAAAACAACTCGAGCCGCCATAATTCAGTGACAGTGGCAGTGTCAAAAGAACAAATAAACCACATCGCCCTGACCGAAGTCGAAAACAGGCGGCATTTCTAGACAGAGTCCCAGTCCACTGCATCACACCTTCTTGCTCGGACGCGCTCGTTTCACCTTTATCCGCCCTGGTTCCCATCATTCCCTATCGCGCTTCTCGCTTGTTGTTTCTCGCTTTCTTCTTTTTGGCTCGTTAACTGCTCACCACAGCGCCTTGGAAAAGGCTGTGTGGAGGAGGCAGAACTATTCATACATGTATGTTGGGATGGAAGATATACGCAAGGAGTACGTTTTCTGGCAAAAATGGTATATAAAACGGTAAGGGGCTGGACCTCGAGGCGGAACCTCCCTGTATAAAACTTTGTTCAGTACCCCCGGAGGTAACACCTACTAGAGTGAACCCTTCAATCAACTCAAATTTTTTCACTGCAGTATAAGAAAATTAATCAATACTCTAGAAAGCATTCGAAGCTATTTAAAAATAATATATAGATTTAGCCACGCCTAAAAGCGGAGCTCCCGATTTCATTACAATAATAATAACGATAATAATGATGATGATGAAGATCGTTTTATTCACACTGGTACACAATACGATATAACCTCGTTGCAAATACTGATACTTCCCAGTCGGTATCGGGATGTAATCTAGCCTACGTGTAGCCGCAACCCACTCCCGACAAAGGAAGAAGAGGAGTCAAAGAAAGCTACGAAAAAAGTACAACGTAGTTAGATAAGGTTTAGAGAGCAGGAAAGAAAAAGGTCTTAAAAGTTGAAACTAAAACTAAAACTCTATAACTTTAAAACAGCACAAGAAAAGATTAACTTATCCAAGGTGAATTCACACAACAAAGTTATATATGGTATAATAAATACATTAATTTCATATACTGGAAATGCAGAATGAAGAAATAAATTCAGGGAAGATCACCACAGTTATCAATGCAACTTTGGCACTGTACCTAACGTACCTAACCATTCATACAGTCATTCTCCAATTTCCACAGCAGCTGGTCAATTAGCCTGGCAATTCCTCAGAGATTGTGGTGGGAAACAGTTAGATGTCATGTGACCTCGAAGTAACTAACGAGAATGGTGCTGGGAAATATTTAGATTCTTGGAAAACAAAATTAACTGTTTCCCATGGGCCAAGTCTTTAAGTGATTTGTGATGTTAATATTTTAAAAAATTTATAGCTGCATGGAATTTCATTAAACCTCCCTGGAATGTAAGTTGTTGGTCATTCACGGGTAATAGTGCACTGTTACCCTCTGATGTGAATGATTTTTGCGATGTTGCCTGCTTAGAGAATATTGGCACCAAAAAGTTTCTTTGTTAGATGTCAGGTGACATTGAAATAACCAATGAGTGTGCACATGGTTGGAAAGAAATTTCCACCTATAATAACAATGTTTCTTAATATATCATTGTTGTTGGAGAGAAAAAGGAATGGACTGGATTCAAGTAAATAAAATCTTTTCTTCTGTCATCCTCCGTTTCCACTTCACCAGGCTTTGGAAACTCATAGTCCACACCAACTGCCCTTGCTCTAGCAATTAGGCGGTCATCTTCTAAGTGGCTACTATTATTTACTTCTGGAAGAGGTTGCTGTGTTTCCTGCACGTTGCTTGCTCCCTCAATTGGGCCATTTTCTACTGCAGGAGTGTGTTGTTCCAACTCTTCTCCTAGTAAATGAATTATTTGTATTAACCAACTACACAATTCATATAAGCTATGGGGCTAGTGGATTCTATTTTTTATCTTGCCTGAGGGATAATAGAGTTGCGATTCTTGGGCTATCAGATGCAAGCTACAGCCTTCCCGAAGGACAAGCACAAAACTGACCTCCTTTTCTTCGCACCCTAGTACTGCATGCTTGTATAACTGTACAAGAATTACTATTATAAAGCTGTATCTGTGGAAGTGTTCTCAAAACCTGATTTCAAATACAAAATACACAATATTTCTACTTTTGAAACTTCGGATAATACAACAACCTTGACAATCATTTTCTAAGTGCTGATATTTCATAAACCAGTCATCAAATATAATGGGAGTGACCCAACCAATGAACTCATTATTATGATCCAAAAAATTATTATCTCTATGAGAATTCAATGTATTTTAACTTTGTCCTAGTCAAAGTAATGCAACCCTAAGGTAAGTTTTCCCATAATAATAATGCACGATCAAATACAAACAGAACAAAAATCCTACAATTCAGTCATGGATAATTAAGTGCAGACATGATGACTTGTCATGTTTACCACAACAAGAACACGACAAAAGGTCTAATCAATGAATTATACAGTGTTTTTGTTTCAAATAAATATGATGAATTCTGGGACTCATCTTGTGAGAAATCATGAGTCCCAGTCCAGAACCAATGAGTCTCAGTTAAAAAAAATGAGTCCAAAATGGAAAATGTTTGGGCCTTTATGTACCAGCCGCAGACAGTTAATCTGAAGACACATTCCAAAACTCTGTATTATAGTATACTGAAATTAAAATATAGTTCTTCTATTTTAAAGCAGAAGTCAACAAAGGCTAAAACAAATATGCATCACTAAACAACAACCATAACTGCCACAGAAATTACACGTCGGGATATTTCTACAAATACACACGTTCAGATCGATATATCCATGAATTATTTTATGTCTTTGGCGATTTTTATGTGTCAGGAACATAGATAGAATGCAGAGGTAACAAAATCACTGATTATTTAGCTGCTCTTTTGAGTCCATGTAAAAAATATATATATGAAAGTTTTAACATTCTTATTTGTTACACACACACGCCCACCCACACCTTTATTAATTTCAAAATCTTGGGTACAAAAAAAAAAAAAAAAACTCACAATGAATAAATAAATAAAAATAATCAGGTAAATTCATAAAATAAAACATTGACAAAAAAAAGTGTTACAAGAAAAAGGAAAGATTACTTAGGTAAGACAACAGAGCATAATTAATTACACCAAAAAGGGGAAGTTTTAAAAGTATACATGCTTCCCACCAGCAAATTGTGGCATTAATTAGTTCTGATAAATTTCTATTGTTTATTAGCCCAATCACAGTTTTTCATTCTCTGATAAAATTGCATTATATTTCTTTCTTTTTGCATTATGTTTCCTTGTTTTTGCATTGTGTTTACTAAAAAGTACACTGCTCTAAGCCAATCAAATTCACAGAGAAATTTTTTCATGTATATTATTAACTTTCATAATAAAATACCATCTACCATAAACAACTACCGGTATATCAGTACCTGCTGAATGATTTTGCTCTTGTTCACCTGGCAGAGAGCTTCCCATGCTACATTCAAGTTGGAGGACTTCACTTTCATGTTCTTCTATGGCTAAGAAGATAAGATATAATCTTAATAAGTTGGGCAAGCAGATTGTGACACCTGAGGCTGATTGGTTCTTATATATTTCTATTGTTCAGTGTTATCCAGAAGTTTTAGAGTAGCCAGCTCCCAAAGCAAAGAAACTGGTGCCTGACACCAAGCACTGATAAAGCGAGTACTGTATCTAAGGGAGGGGTTTGGGGACATTAAGCCCAGAGATCTGAGAAGTTTTGCTCATGATTTATAAGCTTTTCCAGAGTTCTCCCAAGAACCAAGTGAGTTATCATGCTGGTAAATCCATAGAAAATGTGGTCTTTTACTTTTATAAAATAACTTTAAAGCATGTTTCAGTTTACTATGAGATTACCAGCACAATAAACTATTGGTTTTAACCAATCAGAATGCATGTACTGTCTTAGTTATTTTATAATTAAAAATATTATCTGGCAATGTCTCATCAAAAATCATTCAGTAAATATATCGATAATACCATTAGCAAAAGGCAAATTGTCATACACCAAAGAGCTTTTTGTACGACAAGTTATTGTTTTTGTTTCTTTTAGGACCTTCTGAAAAATTCAAGATAAAAGGTACAGACAGGTTTTTTTTACTGTTTTGAGTCATAAGAGTAGCCAGTGAAACCACCAGTCGCCTGCGCTTCTGGAGAACACTGATTGTTCACAGGTTTTCATTCTCTGAGAAATTTGCACTTTATTTCCTTATTTTTGCATTATGTTTCCTTGTTTTTTACTGTACTGTTTACTAAAAACTGCACTGCTCTAAGCCAATCTCATTCAAGAAATTTTTCCATGTATATTATTAAGTTTTATAATAAATACCATCTACCATGAACTATATCAGTACCTGCTGATTGACTTTGCTCTTGTTCACCAAGCAGAGAGCATTCCATGCTACATTCAACCTGGAGGACCTGACTTTCATGTTCTTCCATGGCTAAGGAGATAAGCAAGCAGATTGTGACACCTGAGGCTCATTGGTTCTTATATATTTCTATTGTTCAATGTTCTCCAGAAGTGTTAGAGTAGCCAGCTCCCAATGTAAAGTAACTGGTGCCTGACACCAAGTGCTGGTAAAGCGAGAGTACCGTATCTAAGGGGGGGTTTGGGGGCATGAGGCCCAGAGATCTGAGATGTTAAGCTGGTGGTTTACAAGCTTTTCCAGTCTTCTCCCAACATCCCAAGTGGGTTATTACACCAGCAAACCCTTAGAAAATGTGGTCTTTTACTTTTATAAAATAACTTTAAAGCATGTTTCAGTTTTCTATGATTTTACCGGCACAATAAACTATTGGTTTTTAACCAATCAGAATGCACGAACTATCTTAGTTATTTTATAATTAACAATTATTCCACGAGGGCACGTTGGATATGAGATGGTAAATAGCCAACGAGACGCATAGCGCCGAGTTGGCAATTATAATCATCTCATCCAACAAGCGCAAGTGGAATAATAATTATTTTATTAAAAAACGCCCACAAAATCCCTTTGAATCTTGTTAGAACAAACCAGAAAAGACAAGGGAGTTCCGCTATTCACATGTCACATGTCTATCAGAACTGTCAACGCGTGAACCGACTCGCCTGGACTGGATGAATGAAAAATCAAAACATTGTAGAGATGAACACTTTTAAAAAACTCATCGAGATTCTAGGATTTTACACAGTGGGACAGCTAAAAAACCTGGCAGATAATGTGAAGAAAAATAATTCTTAACAGCCATCAAAATTACTGTGAATTTGGATTTTTGGAGCAGTTACAAAAAAAGTAAGAACAACGGAGATAAACTATTACCTTGGTCGCTTGTTATGAAGTTGTTTGAAGCCACAAGCTGGTTTTGCTGAACAAGAAAAGAAGCTTTACTGACGCCTCGATTGCTGTAGTGAATGGCTGCATAGCCTGTATTCTGGTTGCTTGTGATTTATATTCTTCATGTCGGATAAACAAGCCGCAGCTATCTATCGGCAAGTGCCTCAGCGAGTGGCTTTGCAACCATGAATAAACAACACCTGTCTTCTTTTGTAGCTGTTCAAGGCACTTTAGTTCCATGTATTTTCATGTGTTTTTCGATAAACGTTCAAACAAGCTCTTGTGGCTTTTTTTTTGTTTGTTATTTTCCGATGAAATTGCATGTTTTTAGTATTCTAAGAAATGAACACGATTTGCTTGGGCGCCGTTTTATCCTTCAGCGGAAAAAAATGGAACTTACAAAAATTCAAGATAAAAGTTACAGACAGTTTTTTTTTTATGTTTTGACTCATAAGAGTAGCTGGCACTTTGGAAAAGAGTTCCCAGTGAAACTGCCAGTTGCCCGCGCTGCTGGAGAACACTGATTGTTTATTAGCCAATCACAGGTTTTCATTCTCTGAGAAATTTTGCACTTTATTTCCTTATTTGTGCCTTATGTTTCCTTGTTTTTGTACTGTGTTTACTAAAAACTGCACTGCTCTAAGCCAATCTGATTCAAGAAATTTTTCCACGTATATTCTTAAGTTTTATAGGAAAATTCATTACCTGACGAGGGAATTCCATGTTAAATTGCACACGAAAACCGATATTGGTTTTCAAGTGCAATTTAATGTGGAATTCATGAGTCAGGTAATGGATTTTCCTTGAATCGCATAATCGAATAAAAATCAGAAAAAAAAGAAAACACCAATAATACTGTTTGTTTTTATCCTGAGCGCACGCCCCAGAAAGCCATTTCAAAGTCAAATGTCAAACCTGTCATTGCGTTAGCGAATAGGAAGCAAGGTCAGTCATACACGTTTGAACCTTTGACAACTTTTTTTGTACCTTGTGCTTGTTTTTACATTTGTTTTCAAACTTTTTTACACATGAACAAGCTTCACACTAATTGTAAGGATAAATAGAGGCATTTCATTGAATTTACAAGCCGTTATCTATAGCATCCTTTTTCAAATTGGTCATTTGCTCGCGAAGGAAAATAATTTACACCTTTTACCTCTTCGGTAGCAAAACTGAAAGAAATGAAGTGTCCAAGGCAAAGCACTGATTTTAACGTTGCGATTGATATAAGGTAAGTACCTTGAAACGTTTTAAAAATGCTGTTCAAGTTCAGCTCTGTTTTGTACTTTTCTAAGTACCATGATTCAGGATGAATGCAAGTGGCATACTCTTTTTTGTGTTTTCAGGGACCATGTGATCTTTGAAGGTATTTATTTCTTCTTCTGTATATGTGACAATTGACCCTGGCACTTCCTCCATTGTCGCTTCTCCGTTTTGTTTGTTTGAATTTGGCTTGCCACTTTCTGGGCTGTGTTCACAGGATTTTCTTGTTTTCTCATTGTCGCTGGCAAAAGGGGTTTTTTATACCTCTCCAAGAATTTGTAGTTTAGTTCAAAACAAGAAAGAACCTCCGGATCACTTTAAAAAATGCTTTTGTTTGTTTTTAACTATTTATTTATTTAGTCACTCAAAACACCTTATACAACATAAACAAAAGGTGTTCATTAAATTATAAAATTAATGTGACAAGGAAGTCTAACGAAGCTTGAAGCTTATATTAATAGGCTTCCTTCAACTACCTAGAGAACTAAATTCATGGCTGAGTGCAGAGTGAGCAAGATCAGAAAATTAAGCGACAGATCGGCTATCAGTGAGATAATTCTTTAAATTTTTTGTAACAACAAATATAGAAGGAGAGCTAATTAGTGAAACAGGCAACGAATTCCAGATTTTAGGTCCTCGGTAAAGGATGCTGAATTGCTTTATATTTGATCTACAAAAATGAGGTCTATACTGAGAGGCCAGTCGAATTTTGGTATTGATGGACTTGATTACTACTTAAGAACAAGTCTCGAAAGCTACTAGGCAAAAGATTATGGTGATAAGAATACATAAAAGTAGTGACAGAAAATGAATTAATACTAAATATGTCAAGGACTTTAAGCTGGCTAAACAAAGGGGCGGTATTTGCTAGATAGTGAGCTTTTCTTATGAGCCGCACTAGACGCTTTTGCAAAAGGTAAATACAGTTTAGGCTGGAACAGTAGGTGGAGGACCAGGCGACATTACAGTATGTTAAGAAAGGATATACAAAAGGTGACAATGATTTTGAAAACATTTTAAAATGACATTGTAGAAAACCTTTTTGTAGTTGTTGTGTTACAATTTGACGATAGTTGTTACGTGAATGCGAAAAAACATCCCTTAGCCTCGTTTTCAACTCGCAATTCCACACTGAATACCTCTCTTCGTTAACCAATCAGAATGCGTGATTTTACTCAATTATGCAATTCTATAATAAATACCATCTACCATGAACTATATCAGTACCTGCTGAGTGACTTTGCTCTTGTTCACCAAGCAGAGAGCATTCCATGCTACATTCAACCTGGAGGACCTGACTTTCATGTTCTTCCATGGCTAAGAAGATAAGATAAAATCTTTAGTTGGGCAAGAATTTTCCCTCACCCCTACATACACCTATTGTTAAAATAAAACATGTCAGAACAATACTGAGCCAAAAGTTGTAATTTCTGGTTTAACTCTAATGGGGAATTGTTTTTAAGAATAAACGAGCTGAGCTTGACAATATTCCTGGAAATATTATTTACTACACTGTACCCTCCAATGAATGAACAACTTGATAACCACACTCAAAACTGGTTTATAATATTTCCCCATCTCTCAACACAAGGAGTTTTTGAGCATTTATGATCAGATAATTTTTGTCTTAATTTGGCTATTACTGCAAAGTACAATGTCTTCAATACAGTAAAAACCTAGCTGTGACTAAGAACCTGGTTTTTAGGAACCTGTTAGGCTAAACTTGCCAGTTATAATTAGGCCCCCTCTATACAAGAACCAGTGTTTAGCCCAATATTTGACACACATCTTTATTTTCTCAAATCTATAAAAAAAATTCTATACACCTGGAAAATATTCAGGTGAACCTCTTTGGGAGACATAATCTGCAATGTTTTTTTTCCTTCAGAAAATAAGAACCTTTTCATTTTAGAAAAATAGACAAATTTTTTGCCAATAACCATTTTTTAAGAACGTACCTGTTAATGCAATGGGAAAATCAAGGTTCTTACCTACGAGTTTTTACTGTCTTTTGACCGGTCCGAGCAAAAATTTGTTTGGCAGGTAATAATTTATTTTGACCGGTTAGTAACTAGACATGACCGAGCTTAAATTTGTTTGGCCTGTCAACATTCAAAAATAATTTCTAACCCTGGCTGCCCTCCTTATTTACATAGATCTCCATACACATTCTTAAACACTCGAAGATAGGTATCTACAAAATGGAAAAGCCTAGATTTATAGTAAAGTAATAAAAGTTATTTCAATTACTAGAGGGAGAATAGATCCTTCAAATTCTGTTTACTTTGAATAAAACAAATAGAGGTAAGCTCGAACAATCTGCACCAAAACGCTCTTTCAACAGACATTGAAAATCTTCAAATTCAAGGTGCTCTCTGCTCTCTTTTCAGAAAACATAACAACGCTTTCACAGACCGTATAA